ATTATGGCATGTATTTACTGTTCTCAAAGTCTAATACTAATCTTTGCCAGTATAGAAAATATAGTTTTAAAAAAAAAAATTAAATTAACTAGCTCATAGTGTAAAGGACTCCACCAGTATTTACTGAACAAGGCCCAGGCTATGGCATAGTATGGCATACTTCCCAACTGTCCCTCTTTTGTAGGGCTCATTCCTCTTTCAGGTAAACATTTGTCTGATGTGCTTATTTCTCCACAATTGTCCTGGCTTTTTGGATGGGTGTATGATCTTTAATAAAAAATAATACGTTTTAACTACCAAGAAGGTTTAGCTAACCCTTGAAAAAAGTACTTTTCCAATGGTAAAAATGTATCTCTTCAAAATTTATAATCTACTGTTGGATTTCTGCTGTGTCCTATAAAATAACTGCTTTTGTTTACATCAGATATCACATTTGCTTTCATGTCAGCAATGGGTCCGGAACTACAGTGGGAGCAGTTTTTAAAGACACAGCAGCAGTCCAGAAGTAGAATAGACTGATTTCTATTTAGTAATAAACACACCTGAACATAAAAGAAAAACAACTGTGCCTGAGTCCCGTTTGAACATTTCATCCCAATCTCTAAATGATTGAATTTGAAAGCCAGTATAAAGAAAAGTATTAATGAAAAAAACACTTGTGGGTTGCTGATGAGTGCATTACTGATGAGTTAGGCCAGGTTCACATGTTTGTTTTGCATTTTACCACATGTTACTACACGACCATGGCTAGTAACATGCAGATACATATTTAAGTCCATGGGTGATACATTGGCAGCCCTTAAAAAATGATTGAACTACCTTATTTAAAGCACATTATGAGCAACATAACTCATGTGATAGTGCACAATGGATATGTGAACTCGGCCTAAGAGAGGTAAAACTCGCAAAAACACAAAATTTGGTTCTCAGCAGTATCATACTACAATAAGGTTACTTTTCTGTATGCCTTGGAAAATTTCAAGTTGTCCATGCTAGTGTGGCACAGACAGACACACAATGCAAAGGTTTTAAGTGAACGTCTCTCCTTTTTATCTGCTTTCAGTGTGATTTCTATATTGCCCACACCTGTTACTTGCCCCAGGTGAGTTTACAGGAGCATTCACATGCTTGTAACATTCTTATTTATCCGCAGTTGTGAAAGGGTGCCAATACTTTTGTCCAGCCCCATTTTTGGAGGTTTGTGTGACATTATGTCGAATTTGCTTTCTTTCCTCCCTTTTTTTTTTTTAGTGTCCCAATACACACACAAAGGGAATAAAACATGTGTATAGCAAAACATGTGTTAATGCAATACGTTTCGTGAGAAATACATGATTTCCTGGAGAAATATCAAGGGTGCCAAACAATTTCGGCCATGACTGTATCTTCCACCATAATGTGCAAATAAATTCTTTCCAAATCAGCCAATGTGATTGTCTGTTTTTTTTTTTTCTCATTTTGTCTCTCATAGTTGAGGTCTACCTATGATGCCAATTACAGGCCTCTCTCATCTTTTTAAGTGGAGAACTTGCACAATTGGTGGCTGACTAAATACTTTTTTGCCCCACTGTAAGTTCTAAAGAAAAATGCCCATATCAATTAATCATATCTGTTTATGTGTGCTCTTTATAATGTAAAATATTGGTAACCACCTCACAAAGTTTGCATCCAAATGGCTGCAGTGAAACACATTTAGTCTAGCCACATCTGGTGGGGGAGTGGGCACCAGAGATGACTGTTGGGCACACAGTGAACACTGCTTTTTAAACATAATGGAGGGTGAATAATCTTTCTAAAGCATGCAGTGTTTTGGAGTCACTTAAATTATTTAGTGCATTATGAAGATATAAATCTGTTGAAAAATTAATTATACATGATAAAGTTGCACTTGTTCTCTTAAAAATAAGGAATTTTTAAATAATTTAGCTGTAAGTCTGGATCTGCTTTTCCACTTAAAAATTGATGTTTTTTTTTTTTTAATTTTGTAAAGCTGAGTGATGGAAGGAAGTTGGGAGCAGTATTTTCCTTTTCATCTTTTAACACATAACACATGTAATAGTAATATACTATTTTTTTCTGAGTCGTTTTCCATTTTTACTTATTAATTTCTTTGTAACATGTTGTCTGTTAAATGGAGTTTTCCTTTTTCCACTTCTATTGAGAGTCTATTGCATTTTGTTGGGTAGTTTTGCTCAATGGGTAGTGCTTGCCCCTCCAAAACCTGCTTCAATCAGCTGTTTTAAACCTACTACCTAATTTTATTAGCAGTTTTACATTCCTACAAATATATCAAAGTACAAGCTAGGTAAGCTTATGGCTATGTATTTACTGTTCTCAAAGTCTAATACTAATCTTTGAAGTATAGAAAATATTTTTAAAATTGAAAAAAAAATTAAATTAAACTAGCTATATAGTGTAAAGGACTCAGTAACAGTCATTTACTGAACAAGGCCCAGGCTGATGGCATAGTATGGCATACTTCCCAACTGTCCCTCTTTTGGTGGGCTGTTCCTCTTTCAGGACCAAATTTGTCTGTCTTATTTCTCCACAATTGTCCTGCTTTTTGGATGGTGTGTATAGATCTTTAATAAAAATAATACAATTTAACTACCAAAAAGGTATAGCTACCCTTGAAACAAAATTCCTTTTCCAATGTATGTATAAAATGTATCTCTTCAAAATTATGTTAATCTACTGTTGGATTTCTGCTGTGTCCTATAAAATAACTGCTTTTGTTTACATCAAATATCACTGCTTTCATGTCAGCAATGGGCCGGAACTACAGCGGGAGCAGTTTTAAAGGACACAGCAGCAGTCCAGAAGTAGAATAGACTGACTGATAACTTCTACAGTATATAAACACACACCTGAACATAAAAGAAAAACAACTGTGCCTGGAGTCCCGTTTGAACATTTCATCCGCTGATGAGTGCATTACTGATGAGTTAGGCCAGGTTCACATGTTTGTTTGCATTTTACCACATGTTACTACAACATATGGCTAGTAACATGCAGATACATATTTAAGTCCATTGTGATACATTGGCAGCCCATTAAAAATGATTGAACTACCTTATTTTAAAGCACATTATGAGCAACATAACTCATGTGATAGTGCACAATGGATATGTGAACTCGGCCTAAGAGAGGTAAAACTCGCAAAAACACAAAATAAAGAACTTTAGCAGTATCATAATACAATAAGGTTACTTTTCTGTATGACTTGGAAAATTTCAAGTATCAGCTCAGTACAATACAGAAGTTAGTCCATGGACTCTATGCACCCCAAATTGATAGCAGTACTTTAATGGATGGTTAATTTTGAGTTTATACTTTTAGGCATAAAAATATTACAATAGCGTCTCCATTTCTATGCCAGTATGCACAGCAGAGATGTCGGACCCAACAGCTCAGGTTCACTTTTAGGCCCAGTTCACACCATCACATTGCAGTAAAACAATTTCATACACAATAATGCATGGCATAATGTGCAGTGATGTGGGTTGGCTAATGTAGCACAGCAGTGTAAACAGGACCTTAAAGTCCTTTAGTAGAAAGGAAAATATACAGCTGCACACTGGGCGAAGCATTACTCTCTTTAATTTTGGTTGTAGTAAATACAATAAAGGCCATTGTCCTCTATTTATTGATGTCCCTATTATCATACTGAACATTAACATTTATATAATACTAGCTGCTTTTATAAATGTCTTACTGGATAATTGTAATTATTGGCACTGGCAGTGTGTAGTGAATCAGTACTACTGTAGGGTAGCAAATTGAATAACTAGCTGTCTTTACTGATCTGGCAACATTCATATTATTTGCTTTTATCCATTTTATTACTGAACAGGTTCAAGACATTTCATGTTTCATATTAGTACAACATACAGTATTTAGTTTTAAACTAAACAGCTGGATAATTCTGTCTGATGCTATTAATACTATAACCCAGTGTTAATGCAGGACACCTTACGATATATAGGGTAGCAGGGCGCACTTTCCTCATATTTTATAGATTAAAGGTGACTGACAGTCACCGCTCTGTGCTCACAATGCAAGAACTGAGCAATCAGCTGTTTCTGATCGCTCATTTCTTGGTGTGGAGAGGTGGCGAGGGACAGATGGTGCATCAGATAGATGCTGCATCTACATACACTCACCGGCCACAGGTACACCCTATCAATTGCTTGGTAACACAAATTACTAATCAGCCAATCACATGGCAGCAACTCAATGCATTTAGGCATCTAGGTGTGGTAAAGATTGTTGAAGTCCAAACTGAGCATCAGAATGAGGAAGAAAGTAGATTTAGGTGACTTTGAATGTGGCATGGTTGTTGGTGCCGGACAGGCTGGTTTATTTAAAAAACTGCTGATCTACTGGGATTTTCACGCACAACCATCTCTAGGGTTTACAGAGAATGGTCTGAAAAAGAGGAAATATCCAGTGAGCTGCAGTTATGTGGACGAAAATGCCTTGTTGATGTTAGAGGTCAGAGGAGAATGGGCAGACTGGTTCGTGATGATAGAAAGGCAACAGTAACTCAAATAACCACTTGTTACAACCAAGGTATGCAGAATACCATCTCTGCCATGAAGAATTAAGGCAGTTCTGAAGACAAAAGGGGGTCCAACCTGGCACTAGCAAGGTGTACCTAATAAAGTGGCTGGTGAGTGTAGGTGAGTATGATTATTTTTTTCAAATCCCACACTTGTGGGAACTTGTTATTACCTTTTGTCACTTCCTGTTTGGTAAAACTACTGTCACTGGGACAGTAAATCAAGGGAAATATCTGTAACGAAGTCCTGGATATCTGAGAAAAGCCTTGAAACCCTTTACCTGCACTATCCAGAATTAGGTTTTGGCCTGACATACACTTTAATTCTTCTGATTAAAACATAGGTAACTGTATTAAGGTATTATAGGTATCAAGTGTTTTTCTCATGCAATTCCATTCAAAACCACTCATTAGATTCTGCCATGTAATTCTGTTTCAGGATGGACTTACTCCGCTTCACTGTGCAGCACGGAGTGGACATGACCAAGCTGTGGAGTTACTTCTAGAAAGAGGAGCACCACTTCTCGCAAGGACCAAGGCATGTGTTTTTTATGTTTTCTGTGTTAGACTCTTAAATGTATAAATACTTTTAGACGGCAGCACTACTGAAATTAGTCAGCAGCTATGGAAACTTTGGATTTCCTTCATTTTCAGTCCCAATGGTTATCAGGAAAAATAGAAAGAGTGAGTTTTCCTAGTGGTAACACAGGCAGCAATAAAAGCTGTCAGGGTTACTAAATCTTTCCCACACTAACCAAAACTAAAAAAGAGAATGTTTTGGCCTTAGATACACTCTAATGTTATTTTTAAATAGTAAATTATCAGTTTAATTGTTTTACTGAACTAAGTATAACTAAAGGTAAAGGTTTTTTTTTTTTTTTACTTTTGAATAGAGTGGAGTGGAATTAGTACACCTGTCAGTTTGTACTTCTGTTTGTGCCCCCTATTAGGAAGATTCCCCCTCTCTACTTGTCCTTTTTTATCATTAAGTGAAAGTAAAAGAAAACCCCAAATTTTGGGTTGTCCCCATAAAAGTAATCTTCCAGTGGAGACACTAATTCCGGTAATCTGGATGTCCCCAAGGAATTCTCCTAAATTTACAGGTATTTCCTCTCAGTTTTTGTTTGGCTATGAGACTGGAAGTGAAGGGAAATCTCCGCAATGGGACACATATGGTGAAAAAAAATCTACAAGGGGTTATTATCCTCCCTTGCTCTATCCAAAAAAAAAAAAAAGTTTTGCCTTTAGTTCTACCATAAAGTGCAGTTCCACACAAATCAGGCTTTTCTGATTTGGTAGTGGAGCAAAGTTCAATCTGTGGTTAATCTTCACTGCTGTACAGGTTTATCTACTCCCAAAACAACCACGACAGGCTAGAAGACTAAATGCAGCTGAGCTACGTGTGTCACCAGTTAGTTCTACATATAAATATGTATGTAAAATCAACGAGAGGTGACAACAAGAAGCTTGGTAGAAAATTGAAGCTCTGAATTTGGCTTTAATGTACCTGGGTTGGAGTGAGTATCTTTTTACTGGGCAAATCAGGATTGTAAAAATTTAAAGAGATGAGATTTAGTCAGATCCTTTCATATAGACATCACACAAATACACTACCGTATTTTCTGGCGTATAAGACGACTTTTCAACCCCTGAAAATCTTCTGAAAAGTCGGGGGTCGTCTTATACGCCGGTGCGAGCCGGTGTCAGGGTGGCACTTTTTCGAGGCGCGGCGCCGCCCCCCTCCTCCTCCAACGGACACTAAGTACAGGGGTGGGCAGAGGGGCTGCTGTACCTTGTATTAACAGTAGTTATTAAGAGGTTGTCAAATGAATTATCATGTCACCCAATATTGGTCTCCATTCAGTAGCCAAAAAAGGCATTCAAAAAAGGGGGATTTGTGAAAAGAAATTCACAGAAAAAGCGGCTACATTATGAACAGAACGTGACACTCAGAAAAATTTCCAAAAATTATGCTTTATTACACACATATAAATATGACATATGGGCGTTCGCCCTGGTTTACCATCACCTCAGTATGAGACAATACACACAGACCTAAAACCATATAAAATGACACCAAGACCGGTCTAAATGCATGTGCAACATAATAATATATGTTGTAATATAAACAGCTGTATCCTAGAGCTCTTGAATGAAAATATGCATATTTTCATTCAAGAGCTCTAGGATACAGCTGTTTATATTACAGATGAATGGGCCCCAACCACTTGTGCCGGTACAGGAATGTATTGCATCATATATTTGACATTTATGTCTCCCTCCATACAGGCCTGAGGCTTGTTGTTCTCTTTTTGACGCATATTGTGCTTGCTGCATTGCATACATGTGATACTTATATCCATAGTACAATTTTTGGATTCCCTGACTGGGATTCACCATAATGGTATTGTTCTATTTATAAATTCAATATTATGGTATGCCTATGGTATAATTTTTGGATACACCTCTTTTGGGAAGTGTTCACCTATGTGTCTGTGCTACAGGGACATTAGACTCCTGCAGTCATTTTTTCTGTTGCACATGCATTTAGACCGGTCTTGGTGTCATTTTATATGGTTTTAGGTCTGTGTGTATTGTCTCATACTGAGGTGATGGTAAACCAGGGCGAACGCCCATATATCATATTTATATGTGTGTAATAAAGCATCATTTTTGGAAATTTTTCTGAGTGTCACGTTCTGTTCATAATGTAGCCGCTTTTTCTGTGAATTTCTTTTCACAAATCCCCCTTTTTTGAAGGGCTGCTGTACCTTACCTGGCTCCGGTCCCACGACGATCCGGTCCAGGAAGCGCGGCTGCTCCTTCTTTCAGTTCGGCCGCTCGATGGTCACGCGGCCGCTCGGCTCCGCCTCCTCACTGGTGATTGGGCGCCAGCACTGGAAAGGCACACAGGTGACCAATCACTGGCGAGGAGGCGGAGCCGAGCGACCCCGCGAAAATCGAGCGGCCGAACTGGAAGAAGGAGCAGCCGCTCCTCTCCCCCACTGACACTAACGATGGGGCACTATTCCTCCTCCACACTGACACCAACGATGAGGCACTGTTCCTCCCCCACTGACACAAACGATGGGGCACTATTCCTCCCCCCCACTGACACCAACGATGAGGCACTGTTCTCACTGACACCAATGATGGGGCACTATTCTCCCCACTGATACCAATGATGGGGCGCAATTCCTCCCACTGACACCAATGATGGGGCGCAATTCCTCCCACTGACACCAATGATGGGGTGCTATTCCTCCCACTGATACCAATGATGGGGTGCTATTCCTCCCACTGATACCAATGATGGGCCGCTATTCCTCCCACTGACACCAATGATGGGACACTATTCCTCCCACTGACACCAATAATGGGGCACGATTCTTCCCACTGACTAATGATGGGGCACTATTCCTCCCACTGACTAATGATGGGACACTATTCCTCACACACTGACACTAATGATGGGGCACCATCATTGGTGTCAGTGGGAGGAATAGTGTCCCATCATTGGTATCAGTGGGAGGAATAGTGCCCCATCATTGGTGTCAGTGGATGAAATAGTGCCCCATCATTGGTGTCAGTGGGAGGAATAGCACCCCATCATTGGAATACCATACTGAAATAGCATACCATATTGAAATCAAATCTGATGTTTTTTCATTTTTATTTGGTGTGTGTTGGAAGAGGGGTAGTCTTATACGGCGAGTATAGCTCAAACCCTATATTTTAACAGGAAAAGTAGGGGGTCGTCTTATACGCCCAGTCGTCTTATACACCGGAAAATATGGTATATTACCAAAAGTATTGGGACACCCCTCCAAATCATTGGATTCAGGTGTTCTAATCACCTCCATGGCCAGAGGTATATAAAAGCAAGCACCTAGGCATGCAGACTGCTTCTACAAACATTTGTGAAAGAATGGGTCGCTCTCAGGAGCTCAGTGAATTCAAGCATGGTACCGTGCTTGGTTGCCACCTGTGCAATAAGTCCATCCGTGAAAGTGGAAGCAACTGGGAACAACAGAAACTCACACGTAAAATGATAGCAGGGTTAGCGTATGCTGAAAGCGCACAGTGCGCAGAAGTTGCCAACTGTCCGCAGAGTCAATAGCTAAAGACCTTTAAACTTTGTGTGGCTGTCAGATTAGCACAACAACAGTGTGTAGAGAGCTTCAGGGAATGATTTTCCGTGGCGGAGCAGCTGCATTCAAGTCTTACATCACCAAGTGCAATGCAAAGCATCGGATTCAGTGATGTAAAGTACGGCACCACTGGACTCTTGAGCAGTGGAGACGTGTTCTCTGGAGTGACAAATCATGCTTCTCTGTCTGACAATCCAATGGACGTGTCTGGGTTTGGCGGTTGCCAGGAGAACGGTACTTGCCTGACTGCATTGTGCAAAGTGTAAATTTTGGTGGAGGGGGAATTATGGTGTGGGTTTGTTTTTCAGGGGTTGGGGTTGGGTTTGACCCCTTAGTTCCAGTGAAGGGAATTCTTAAGGTGTCAGCATACCAAGACATTTTGTACAATGTCATGCTCCCAACTTTGTTGGAACATTTTAGGGATGGTCCCTTCCTTTTCCAACATGGCTGCGCACCAGTGCACAAAGCAAGGTCCATAATGACATTGGTGAGCGAGTTTGGGGTGGAGGAACTTGACTGGCCTGCACAGTCCTGACTTCAACTTGATAGAACACCTTTGGGATGAATTAGAGTGGAGACTGCGAGTCAGGCCTTCTGATCCGACATCAGTACCTGATATCACAAATGTGCTTCTGGAAAGAATGGTCAAACATTCCCATAGACACACTCTTAAACCTTGTGGACAGCCTTCCCAGAAGAGTTGAAGATGTTATAGCTGCAAAGGGTGGACCAACTCAATATTGAGCCCTACAGACTAAGACTGGGATGCCATTAAAGTTCATGTGCGTGTAAAGGCAGGCATCCCAATACTTTTGGCAATATAGTGTGTTTCTTCCCCATATTTTTATAAATTGGCTTCAGGGACCATGGCTGAAATATTACTTTGTTTTGGGTTGCACTGACCATTAAAATCCTAGCTAGTGTTGATTGTTGGTCTAATACAATTTGTTTCACTCATTCATCTAATGCAGAATGGACTTTCTCCACTACACATGGCTGCTCAAGGGGATCATGTGGAATGTGTCAAACACCTTTTACAGCACAAGGCACCTGTGGATGATGTCACCCTGGATTATCTCACTGCTCTGCACGTTGCAGCACATTGTGGACATTACCGTGTCACCAAGCTTCTCCTTGACAAAAGAGCAAATCCTAATGCCCGTGCCCTGGTAAAGTGATCTGCGTACTGCTTTCTACTGTACTTTGTACTGTACTTTTTACGTGTGTGTGTCAATGTGCATATATATATATATATATATACACACACAAACACACTTGATTTAAGATGATGGTGAGATGTTTACTGACAATCTAGCAAAAGCCAATAGACGGGCATGCTAGATGTGTCTATGCGCACTGTAGGCACCCCCAGTAATGTCCATGTTTTGTGGCAACAACTTACTACTATGCATTTTCCCTTCAGAAAGGTCTACTGGAGGTGTCTACTAAGGTGTATGGTACTGTACATCTAAATCATCATGTGTTCTTTTATGATCACCTTGAGACAATAAACACCAGAGACACTAAAGACAATTTTATATTGCTTAATGCAAACCTCTGAATTTATGTAGTTATTGACTGCCTTTGTGTTGCATTGGCTGCAGAACACTACTGTGGATTTCACTCACATTCTACTTTTCACTGTTGCTTCTTCTGAGATCTGCATGTTTTTTTTTTTGGGTGTGAAGTGTGCATGGGTTTTCCTAACAGGTTGTTTCTCTGAACAGAATGGTTTTACTCCATTGCACATTGCCTGCAAGAAAAACCGTATCAAAGTTATGGAACTGCTAGTGAAATATGGGGCTTCAATCCAAGCTATAACAGAGGTAGAACAGGTTTTCTTAGATCACAAAACCTTCCATCCCATTTCCTGCTTTCCCTGTCCTGTCTGTCTCATTATACTTGTAATATCCACTGTCATTTCTCTCTATCCTCTTTTTCTTCTGCTGATTTGTAAATGTGGAAGCCCACCTTGGTGTTGTGCAGGGGAGTAAAATGCCTGTTGGTTTGTTCCACAGTCTGGTCTCACTCCAATACATGTGGCTGCATTCATGGGCCACTTGAACATAGTCCTCCTTCTGCTGCAGAATGGAGCTTCTCCAGATGTCACTAACATTGTGAGTATGTCTTACAGTAAACTAAATAACTAGATTTAATGTGCATTTTACAGCTTACTTGACAATTGTATCATTTCACCAGATGTTTTTTCTTTGTGAGGAAACTGCCTAACCTGTTGACCTGCATGTCAGTTGCTGTATTTTATTAATATAATGCCAGCATTATCCATAGGACCTTAAAGAGTACTTCTTACACAGTGGAGTGTACATTTAATCTCTCTACAAGAGGCAGCTAAAGCCCAATTGAACTTTTAGTTTAAACTGACTAAATGCATTCCCAGTGCATCAAATCAATACGTCTGCAAAAAATTATTTTTTGTATTCTTTGGAAGGCATCCACAGCCTCTAATAAGCAAACCTCATTCTCCACTGCATATTAGAGGACTCTGTATCAGCAGGGGACATACTAGACCGCAGTAGAGAGGCTGCTTTCATGCAGAGAATAAGGGTCCCTCTTTGGTGGCAGGGAACAATCTTTTCTCGGGCAGTGTCTGCTTTCTAACAAAATGTCAGACCTCATTACCACAGCATTTTAACCTGACCTGCTGCAAGAATCTAGCCATTTTATTAGGTACACCGGTTCAATTGCTTGGTAACACAAATTGCTAATCAGCCAATCACATGGCAGCAACTCAATGCATTTAGACATCTAGACATGGTAAAGAGGACTTCCTGGCGTTCAAACCTGGCATCAAAATGGGGAAGCAAGGGGATTTAAGTGACTTTGAACGTGGCATTATTGTTGGTGCCAGATGGGCTGGTCTGAGTATTTCAAAAACTGGTCATCTACCAGGATTATAATGCACAATTATCTTTAGGGTTTTCAGAGAATGGATTCAAAAAAGAGAATATATCCAGTGAGCAGCAGCTGTGTGGACAAAAATGCCTTGTAGATGTCAGAGAACAATGGGCAGACTGGTTGCTGTGACATTCATATGGTAGGGTCAGAATTTAGCATAAACAATATGAAAGCATGGATCCAACCTGCCTTGTATCAATGGTTCAGGCTGGTGGTGGTAGTGTAATGGTATAGGGAAAAGTTTCTTGCACTAGCAAGGTGTACCTAAAAAAGTGGCTGGTGAGTGTATATTGTACATTCACATCATTCCCTGCCCTCAAGGAGCTTACAATCTAAGATCCCTAACTCACATTCATACATACACATACTAGGGCCAATTTAGACAGGATCCAATTAACCTACCAGCATGTCTTTGGAGTGTGGGAGGAAACCAGAGTACCTTGAGGAAACCCACGCAGACACAGGAAGAACATGCAAACTACAGGCAGGTAGTATCATGGTTGGGATTCGAACCAATGACCCTAGTACTGCTAAGTGATGTGTTTGCATGTGAACACCTACAGACAGCTGTGGCCATCATCAGCCCATCTTTGCTTTGTATGTGCTGAGTGCCTGCAACTGTCTGCGACCACCTGTGTATCCAGTCACAAGTATACATTGGACTCTTACTGTGTAGATGTGCCCTAGGAATGAGGCCTGATACTTTGATGCACCTTAGCAGATTTAAACTGAAAGTTCTGTTAGACTTTAAGACAGAAACCAGTTAAACCTTTTGGATTGTGGAAACAAATGCACACAGACATGGTTATGCACTCCCTGTCATTAACTCCCTGTTAAAACTGTATCCCAGGATCCTAGTGCTGTAAGGCAGCAGTGCTGCTACAATGTGTTAAGTTATTTTGCTTTCAAATTTACAGTATATTAATATACACAGAAACTACTTACAGCTTAAATGACTCAGAATAGGCAAAACAATGCTATTTATGTTGGCCAGCTTACGTACATTTCAGTGTTACTCATTGAATTTGTTTGTGTCCATAGCTAATCTATGTATGTAAATGACATATTATAGTTCTGTCTGCTTTCTGTAATCCATTGAAACTGTGTCTAACCGGAAAGCCTGTTATTGCATCCATTCAAAAATGATATTTTAGTTATAGATGGGTGCAGTTATCTTTCAATATGCGCAGTCGGGCACAATTCCTGCATAATGCTGTGTATTCCAGACTCTAATATAATCTGCAGATGTTTAGTTAATGCAATTATTAAAAAGTAAATATGACCCTAATAAAAAGTGAAAGGATCAGCGATTATTAGTAAGAGCCATGAGTTCTCAAGAGATTTGAGTTGATAGAGTTCAATAATAGAATATATCAAGAATATTTATGTTTTCTACTGCTGACCATATTGATTTGTGCTCATTTCAAATGCTTGTAAGCTTTTTGTTATTCGTTTTCCATATTTATACAGTGCTGGTCAGGACTGATTTTCATTTAATGGACCACCTAAGCTTTTTTTTTTTTACTTTTTTTTTTGTTGCACAGTTCTATTCAAAGCCTATATTATATAAAAATGTATTCTACTGTCAAAATGTTTATTTATTAATATATTCTACTCTGAAGACTTAAAGCATTATAAAACCCAGTTGGGCAGCACAGTGGCTAAATGGTTAGCACTTCCGCCTGGCAGTACTTGCGTCGTTGGTTTGAATCCCAACCACGGCACCACCTGCCTGGAGTTTGCATGTTCTTCCTGTGTCTGCGTGGGTTTCCTCCAGGTACTCCAGTTTCCTCCCACACTCCAAAGGCATGCTAGTAGGTTGATTGGATCCCGTCTAAAAATTGACCCATGTATGTATGAATGTAAGTTAGGGACCTCAGATTGTACACCCCTTGAGGGTTAAGGACTGATGTGAATGTACAATATATATGTAAAGCGCTGTGTAAATTGACGGCGCTATATAAGTACCTGAAATAAATAATAAACAAAAAAGTAGTATATTGCAGTTTACCATTCCATAAAAGGGTGTCTGCATTCATTCTTGTTTTTTTTGTTTTTATTTACTTTTTTCCATTTATTTTCACTTAGTGGTCTGGTCAATAACTTCCTGTCTTGGGGTGTCTCCACTGCACTGGAAGAGCAATGGAGACACCTTTAGGCAATAGCATTGTCAGTCTGTTGAGAGAGTAGTCATAGGTGCACATGCAGATTTAAATGGACTTGACCAACAAATTAAGCCGAAACCCAACTAACACTTTACAAGCAGTTACAGTAAGATGTTTTCCTTCCTAGATAAAGGTTCTACATAAAAAGCAGTTACAGTAGCATTTTTTCCTTTTGGGATAAAGGTTCTACATAAATGAATGAAAGCTGACTATGTCAGTGTTCAATGGATTGTCTCAACCCTCTAACGTCTACTGTTGCTGGACAGCTTGGTCTGTTAAAGGAAGTTGAAAAATAACATAGTGGCTGGCCAGATCACCAGGTAATAAGAATGAAAAAAACTAAAAAAGGAAACTAATGCAACCACTATATCTAAGAATTGGTAAACTTTGAAATAAATAATATTTTTGCTTTTTGCAATATTATTGCCTTAAAGAGGTTGTAAAGGCTGAAGGTTTTTTACCTTTATGCATTCTATGCATGAAGAAAAAAACAACCTGATGTGTGCAGCAGCTCCCCTAGCCCCCACAATACGTACCTGAGCTTCATTGTGGTCCAGCAATGTGAATGACAGCCTCGGCTGTCACGGGTCTCTGCCTTCTCATTGCCTGAGACAGCAAGCAGGAGCCATTGGACCCTGCTGCTGTCAATCACAGTCAGTCAGCCAATGAGGAGAGAGGGGGCAGGGCCAATCCACGGCTCCTTGTGGGAATGGACACACTGAGCAGCAAGTGCTCCCATAGCAAGCTGCTTGCTGTGGGGGGCATCAGACAGAAGGGAGGGGCCAGGAGAACCTGTGGGGGACCCTAGAAGAGGAGGATCCTGGCTGCTCTGTGCAAAACCACTGCACACAGCAGGTAACTATAACATGTTATTTAAGAAAAAAAAAGAACCTTTAGGATCGCTTTAAGAAAAATCTAATAATTAAAACAGGCAAACATTTGCATTTCTGCACATTTTAGTCTAGTGCCAGCATGTTATGTATTTATCTTCAAAGTATCTGTTTACCACTTGTGCCCTTCTGTGTCCCATTGCAGTTTATGTTTTTATGTATGACCCTTCCCATGTATGGCAGGATTAATTGGTTTGCTAAAACCCCATTTAGTTGATAATTTAAAAGCAAGGCACTTGGATCAGGTCTGTTCGCAAGCAAATAAGGTGATTATTTTATATTTACTGGCAAATGCAATGGGACAATTGATATACACTGTCACACAATGATCTTTCATTTTTTGAATTTTAATATTGTTGCTTGAAGAGCCTGCGTTTGGCAATATGTTATCCTGTGCAACATTTTAGTGTGTTATCTCCACAGTAAAAGAAACACCCCTTGCTCTTGCGTCCCTTCCTTGTTAACATCAAGAAAAGTAGTCTTGTGCATTGAATTTCCTGGTCTTTTCTTTCCTTATGAGTTGTTTAGCATCAATGAAAAAAAGGGACCTACACGCAGTTGATGATGGCCAGCCATGCATGCTTGATCCAGCCGCCGTAACAAATATTCTTAACTAGTTGTGGATCTTAGGCATGTTAAGTATGCCCAAAGAAACACCTTCAAAGTACACAGGGCATATATAACATGCCCTGTTCCTCTTCCTCTGCTGCCACTCCACCCTCTGCATTTACTGGAAATTCCCGGTTGTCAAAATAACAGTTTCTGGTAAGGGATTTGCAATTTTGGGACAATTTGTCTGAAATTTAAAGAGGAAGTATTGATTTAAAATGAGAATCTGTTTAAATAGCTAAATATCATCAGTTAACAATATTGTCTTCTTGCAATTAGAGAGCAATTAATATACAGAAACACCCAATATTTGTAAAAACAAGTGTGTCTGCCCACCCCTTCTTATCCACTGTTCTGGATAGAAGCCCAGCAATTTTCTATAGGGACATGTGAGATTAATTTTTTTTTCCTGATACAGAGCTGTTCAGCTGCAGGGCAGTGACCAACTCAGGCTCATGCTCTAATCTCTGAATTGTTTCCCATATGCATATTTGATACACTTATTTTAGCCCCCAGTTAGATCTTTGCAGTGTGACATTGTACAGTATTTCAAAAGTTAATATGTATTAAGTTAAGGCAGTCTATTCACTTTTAAGTAGGCTGTCAACGCATAGCAACAGACCAAAAACCGGACTAGAGAATGTGCGCTCTGGTGGACCACAGTGCAGATCAATGGGATCTATTGTACTTGTGTGTTGGGTGCCATTCTAAATGAACAACATCACAATGCAGGGCACTAAATTTTATGCATTATCGTGTGTTGTGGTAAAACGCACACTTTCCTTCAAGTTATTGAAACACATGGGCCTGGAGGGGACCTTGAACATTTGCCAGTTTTCTGAAGTTACACTGAGGATGTAATATGTGGTCAATTTAGGCTCATTTTAGTGCTTAGCATGGGGCTTTAAAAAAATAAAATAAAATGATGACATTTTTGTGTATGTCATCTACATTTACAGCTAAGCTTGACTGGCAGGCATCTAGCAGGCAGGGCAAAACAGTTACCTTAATGGTGGCTCCATCAACTGCACATGCTTCACTCCCTACCATTCAGTTCAGTTGCTGGGAGTGACAATAAGAAGCCCTGTTTATGCTCCACTCACAACTTATAGTGGGCTTAGGACTTTCTCGCTGTCCCCACATAACAGTGAGGGGTGCCTGAGTAGCCATTTGCCATATACCTGCAATGCTGAGTAATATTAAGGGGAGTGTATCATTATATCTTAAAGTACTGTGTATTTTACTATTAAGTGGTTAACTATAGAGAAGGGGGGGGGGTGTTAAAGAATGTAATGCATGTGGAGCCCGCAAGATAGTGAACCTGTTGATTTGTCCCGCATAGGTAAGACACAGATTTAAAGTGGAGCTCCCCCCAAAAGGGGAAGTTCCGTTTTATGGACTCCTATCCCGCTCCCCATTAAGGATTGGCACCTTTGGGGGGTGGGGGGGAGCGGGATACCCGAATTTGACGGGTACCCGCTCCCACTTCCGGTCCGATCGCCTAGGTGATCGAAAATGGAAGGTTTCCTCCCTCCCTGTAGTCTTTTGGCAGACGTGACAGGTCCCAGAAGACTACAGGACCATTCATGAGTGGGTACCCGGCTGTGAAGCTGCAAGCTATCACAGTTGGGTACCCACACTGAAGATGCCGGAATACAGGACGGCCGGTAAAACGGGCTGCGGGGGACACACCACGGGACCAAGGGACAGGTAAGTGGCTGTTTTTTAAAAGTCAGCAGCTACAGTTTTTGTAGCTGTTGACTTTTATTTTTTGACAGGATGAGTGGATCTCCACTTTAATTGAAGTTCATCAAGTAAAACAGCAGTGGGACCAGTGTTTTTCTTTGTGGTATTTTGTCTGATAGACATTTTATACACAAGATGGCGTGAGCACTTGCAGACATAATATATTTTCATTAATGCAAGTTACCTAGTAGAGATGAATGCTCAATGAAATATTTGCTTTTACAAATAATACATGTACTGTACATGTTGCTGCTGCAGCCCTTGATCCTGTGAATAGCATCTCTTGGTGCCCAGTCCTCACCCTTCCAACACGACAGTAAAAACATAAGAATTTACCAAAGAGTAGTAATATTGGAAAAAGTGCCGAAATGCTTTAAAAGTATTACTGTGTTAAATGCCATGAATGTATTTAATATTTGAATACTGGGACAATTTTTCTATGGAAATAATTTACAATTATGTCCTGCTAAATCTATACAAATAGTTGATCCATACAGTTCTCCTATCTCCTTATGTTAATATTTTGTTTTCAGTGATTAGATATTAGTGGTGAAATATCTGTTTTGCTTGTATTGAACTTTCACCTACAAGATGTTTCAACTTTTTGTTTCAGTAAAACATAGTTTTCAGGCATATAACCAATCTCCATCTCTGTATTTTCAGCGTGGGGAGACGGCTCTGCACATGGCTGCTCGTGCTGGACAGGTTGAAGTGGTTCGTTGCCTTCTCAGAAATGGTGCCCTGGTAGATGCCAGAGCCAGGGTAAGCCGGATCACTGGTACATTTGTTGGGTTAGAAAATAGAAAAGGAGGATAGAGGACGAGTTCTCAGCTTCAGAGAAAACATTTCAATAACTGATTTCTGTAAAAGTATATTGACTTTTTGTAAAGTAGAGCTATAGGCAAAACATTTTTCCCATTTTGGATAGAGCAAGGGAGGGTTATAATCACTGTCAGATTTTCTTTTTTCACCATCTCTGTTCCATTTCGGAGATTTTCCTCCACTTCCTGGCCCTTAGCCAAACAGGAAGTGATATAAAATCCCTGCAAATTAAGGGAATCCCATGGGGACCCCCCAGGCCACCAGAACTAGTGTCCCCATTGGAAGATTTCTCCTCTATTACTTTTCTGGGGAAACCCAAAATTTGGGTTAATCTTTACTTTCACTTTCAATGACAGTGGTAACCAGAACAAATAGAGAAGATGAATCTCCCTAATGGGGGCATAGAACTGTCACGTGTTCTAATCCCTCTCCACACTATCAAAAACAGAAAAAAAAGTTTTTCCTTTAGTTATGCTATAGACTGATGGTCTTGAATTACCAAAGGAGTAAATGTAGTAAAACTGTATTCATTTGAATACCCAGTCACATGCAAGGGAAATAAATACATAAAATGGGATTTTGCACATAATTAGATGATTGAAGGTACCACAGCATTACCTCAATAGGCTGAACATACACAGAGAAAATTATCTCTATATATCTTTGTCTGATATCTTTTTGTCTATATCTATCTGTCTAGCCATCTGTCCTTCTATACAAAAATATTTTATGCAGAAGAATATATAAAATATTAAATTGTTTATCCATTCTGCTCTGGAAAAGCCTACAGTTGGAATCATTGTAAGTGACTGTGCTTAATTGTAAATGGCCATGCGGCAGCTTTTCTTCATAGTTTACGCTACAAGCCTGGCCATGATGGGAATCCCTGGTACCTGTAACCCCAATGCTTATGCCTTATAGTTTATAGAATACTAATAGCTTTTTATGTTTCAATTAACATTTTGCATCTTTAGTTTCCAAGTTATATGCATGCATGAGTAATTATTACAACTGGTTTCATTTGCACACCAGTAAATTTCTTTCATTCTTTTCTTTCATTCAAAAAAAGTTACCTGGCAATGGTGACTGTGTTAATATGTTGTTATGTTTAAGTATTAGCTTGCATCTAAACTCATTGAAATGCAAAAATGAATTGTACCTGTTCCAGTACACACTGTATTGACTGGCAGTATTAACAAACACTCCAATTAAAGTAGAACGCTACGCATGTTGTCCTCAGGTTTGCATCTTAAGCAGTATGCCCCTTTAAGCCTGAATTTTTTGCTCCAATTATTCTAGATATATTTGCTGTTTTTTAGGACATATAAGGTCAATTCATTGGACATAAATAGTATTTTTGTTACATCCTAATATTTGCTATATTTTTATAATTAAAAATTGTCAGTTTTGTAAGGTTTTGCTGCAAAAATCAGAAGAATTTACTCCTACAGTATACATTATTGATGTTTGTGTTTTTTGCAGTGCAAAAACTAATTTACAAAAGAATCTAAACCACCAACCAGTTTTTCACTCCATTAAATTAATGCTTTGTGGTTGATTTACTAAAACTGGAGAGTGCAAACTCTAGTGCAGCTCTACACAGAAACCAATCAGATTCAAGGTTTTATTGTCAAAGCCTAATTGAACAAACTGAAGCTAGACGCTGATTGGCTACTATTTACAGCTGCACCAGGTTTTGCACTCTCCAGTTTTAGTAAATCAGCCCCCCTTGTGTCTACTAAGGAGAACAAAATAGAAGCTTTCAGTACAGGGCCTTGAAAAAGAATTCATCCCTCTTGAAATTTTCCACATTTTGTCATGTTACAACCAAAAATGTAAATTTATTTTATTGGGTTTTGATGTGATAGATCAACACAACGTGGCGCATAATTTTGAAGTGGAAGGAAAATGATAAATGGTTTTCGACATTTTTTACAAATAAATATCTGAAAAATGTGGTGTGCATTTATATTCAGCCCCCTTTACTCTGAAAATCCTAACTAAAATCTAGTGGAACCAGTTGCCTTCAGAATTTACCTAATTAGCAAAGAGTCCACCTGTGTATAATTTAATCCCAGTATAAACACAGCTCTTCTGTGAAGCACTCAGAGGTTTGTTAGTGAACAAACAGCATCGTGAAGGCCAAGGAACACACCAGACAGGTCAGGGATAAAGCTGTGGAGACATTTAAGGCCGACCATGCATGGGTCAAAATTCGACCGATTTTTCGTCTGAAAATCGGATTTAAGAATAATCGGCTGATTTTTGCTCTGCTAGTGGGTCACTGGCACCGGCTGATTTTCGTGCTTCCTTCCCTTTTCGGTGATCAGGCATGTTGGAAAATTCATGAAAACGACCGATTTTCGACTCAATGATGGTCATCCACCTAAACTGTAGGCACTGTAGTTGTTTAAAAGATACAATTCTCCCATCTTAGAAATATTTAAGTATATGAATTGATAATAAAATTGCTGTGATATGGATGGGGTTAAAATAACTCACACATCTTAGTACAGTGCCCCCTTTTGTTCAGAATACATATATATTTATAAAGCATTGAATGGAACATTAAGCAGTGAATGGGGCACACACCTGCAGGAACATACACCTGCAGTGAATTTCACATTCTCTGCTTTATAAATATGTTCGAAAAGTTATTCTGATCATTTTAAATTGTGTACAAGTTGGATAACAACAATCACTCTTTGAACTTAAATACCGAAATAGTATTCAGTTTTACCTTTTTTTTTTTTTTACGTTTTAAACACGTGTGTAACATTTGCACTAGTAAACATGCCCAGGTACATCCTTAAGCTTGGTACACACATACTGAAATTAACATGAAAGCACATGAATACTGGGCTTTATCTTGATTGTAGTGTTTGAGAATAACACATCTTTGGTTATTGTAAATTCTGTCTTCATAAAACATGCAGTAACCGTTCAAGGGGACTTGACTTACCCTATGTTCTGTGCTTACCTTTACCTTAGGAGGAGCAGACACCTCTACACATTGCATCTCGTTTGGGCAAAACAGAAATTGTTCAGCTGTTACTCCAACACATGGCTCACCCGGATGCTGCTACTACTAATGGCTATACCCCTCTTCATATATCTGCTAGAGAGGGGCAGTTAGATGTAGCTTCAGTCTTGCTGGAGGCCGGAGCTGCACACTCCTTGCCTACTAAGGTAACCACTTTATTTATTCTATATGACAGTGTTGATACCTATGCACATATAAAAAGGTAATGTGGTATGTCATTGTGCAGTAGTTTATATAAGAAAATAATTTAAGTATGCACATATTTTCTGTGCATGCACCTATATACTGGATCTCTTCTGCTCACAGGTGTATTATTACTTTGTAATGTTTTGCAATAACAGTGTTTTTGTACTAGAGGGCAGTAGAGCACAGTCTATGATTCTCACTGCAATGCTGCAGCATCTAATTATTTGACCTGTATTATAATAAATATAGTTTGTACAGCATGAACATATTAAGTATCAGTTTATGGAGAAAACCTGACTATTGAAATCACTTTTCTCTAATAGAGGTTATAGTTATTGTCCTTATATGAGTGATATATGAACACGAGACACATGCACACTAAATGTAAAGAGTAACTCCACTTTTGTTGAGAAAAAAACATTCCCCTCTATGTGATCTATGTACATTGCAGGGATTTTAACAAACTTTGTTGCAGAGTCCTACCTTTTGTTACTCTGAAGAAATAGCTGTTGGCTTTCTATTTCTGTATAAAATGAATGCGAAGTGGAGTGAATGATTATCAATCAGATGTTGCATATACAAGGCTCTGATGAGGAATGTGAAAGTTCTGCATCTCTTTAGACATGATTTCCCTTTGAGACTATCTCCCCAAAAAATACATTTTTGTTGCAGGGGATGTCCAAAATCTGACTTGCATCTTAGTACAGATGTCTGCAAAAAATGAATAAGTCAAATCACACAAGCAGGAAATTACATTTTCAGGGGGCATTCTGTACACTTTTTGTATACAGAACACCTCCAGGCTTCCACATTGCATTATTTTTTTTACAGAAAATTACAGCTCTGCAGTGCAAAAAGGAAATGTAATTTTTAATAACATTTAATTACAATATGACTTGTGTAGCAATTATATGTGCTCTATATATTTTTTTTATTTGCAATTTTTTTCTAACGATAGTGGAGTTACCCTTTAAAGCAGAGCTCCAGACTCCCCTTAAAAATTAAAAGTCAGTAGCTACAAATACTGTAGTTTCTGACTTTTAATATAAGGACACTTACCTGTCCAGGGATGCAGCGATGTCCTCACCTGAGCCGAATCTTCAATGGGCATTGAATGCAGGTGCCATTATCGTAAGTAAGGGAAACCAGTAGTGAAGCCTTGCGGCTTAACAGCCGGCTTCCTGCTATGTATGTGCGATGCACGCTACGCTTTGTGAATGGTCCCACAGTCTTCTGGGACCTGTGAATTGTCCCATAAGGCTGCAGCGGAAGGAGGGGGAGGCTGAACTTCTGGGTCAGATCGCTGCGCCAGTCTGACTTGGAAGTGGGGGTGGGTACCTGTCAATCCAGGTACCCGTCCCCCCTACCCCAAACAAGTGCCAAATGTGACAGTGGAGGGGGGCAGGGGAATATAGAGGTCAGTAGAGGCAACCTATGAGTTTCTCCCAATATAGTTTTCCTTTAGGACTTTCCAATAGCACTCACAGGCCCCAGTTATTCTTATTTGCCCCAGTAACCATGTCATCAGGATGTGTATGTCGCACTACATAGTAACACAAATATTAAACAGCAATGTGCAGATAGACGTATTGCAATTGATACCACACAACAATATAGAGAAGCCTTTCAGCTGTTATCTAAAACAAATTCCTCTGTCATTGCACTTTTTCAGAAGGGATTTACACCTCTACATGTGGCTGCTAAATATGGAAGCCTGGATGTTGCAAAATTACTTCTCCAGCGCCGTGCACCACCCGATTCTGCTGGAAAGGTGAATCCATGTGATTAAGTATATAGAGTTGAATAGAATATTATATGATTATGAATATGCCTAAGTATAGTACTCAACATAATTATTTATTCTTAAATGTTAACAACAATGTTTACACTGTTAAAATGTTGTATTCCCTCTAACATACACCATGCACCATTCATGTTCTTGTTAGTCTTACACAATTAATATGAAAGCCATTTTGTAGGATTACAATGCAAACGTGTATAACTGTAGAGCTTCAGTAACTAACTGTTTTAACCCTCATAACCAACACGCCCTTTGCAGAATGGGCTCACACCACTCCATGTTGCTGCTCACTATGACAACCAGAAGGTGGCGATGTTGTTACTGGATAAAGGTGCTTCTCCCCATGTCACAGCTAAGGTGAGGTTTTATATGTATGACTTTACACTAACCATGTGTTTGTAGCTGGGCGATATTGTAATGGTGTTGTAACAATGTTGTTATTTAGAATGTCACTTAAGTCAGGATCAATATAGATGCTTGAAAATTAAATATATTGCCCTAGATGAGAGGCTAAGACCTCTTTCACACAGGCGGTTGTTCTGCCGCTAAGTGCATGTTTTTTTATTTTGAAATTCCAACACTCCTGGCACAGAGATCACTTGCGTTTATACATTGCGTTTATCTGCGTTTACATGTGGCTGCGTTTAGCTGCTGTAGTAAATTCTTGCCTTATCTATAGCAATTTATTTTTTCTTTGTACTGCGATTAACTGCATTTATGTACAGATAGCTGCGGTACATCGCTGCTGGACGCTGTCAACTTTATTTTTCCGAAACGCATAAAACCGTATGTTATGAAAACGTTGCTAAACGTAGTGTGTGAATGGAGCCAGAGATGCATTGTCTGCATTTAGCTGTGATAAAGAAGTTCCTCTAGCCACAGCTAAAAGCTGAAATCTAACCGCCAATGTGAAAGGGGCATTAAAGTGCAAAGCAACAGAAAGTATGCCATTAAAGTAGATCTAAAACAAGCCACTAAATTTCACGTAAGCGTCAACATATTATTGTAATTTGTTTTTTTTAGCCTTTTTAAATGTACAGTTTTCTCTAAAAGAATACCTGTTGATCCTGCAGTCCTGCAGGGTCATTGTTTAGGCACTTCTTGTTATGGGGTCTCAATTGTATCTTATTTATGCTCCTGCATTGTGACCCCATCACAGGCACCCCTGGTTGAACCCACAAAAGGCTGTGCCAGTACACATTGTGAAGGCATGGTCCATTATTGTCACCATCAGGAATCTGGTGATGACAATGACTGTACTTCAGTGCATGTAGATATGAAGTAGTATAATTCCTTCCTGCCCCTCCAGGCAGCCCTATAACTGGGTTTTAATGCCAGGAGGTGGATTTTACTTGCTGATCACGTGATCACTGTGATTGGCTGTCAAAGTGGTCACATGATAGTGAGCCTTGAACAGAGACTGGGAACTGTCTGTGACAGCTTGGTCACTGTGCTGGGGGCATGCAGTGAGCATGCTCTCATATGCATGGCGTGTGGGTGCTGAGGACCACCCCCCCGACAGTGCACATCTGAGCTGCATGGATGGCAAAAGGTTAAGGATGCTGGAAGAGATCAGGAGCAGTACAATGAAAAAGGTGAAAATAGTATATATATAAAAAAAAGCAAAAAACACTTCAATTAAACTTGACAATAAATCCTGGAAACTGAGTGGTTCCTATGCACAGCTGCACCAGGTTCTGTGTGCATCAGTTTTAGTAAATCTCCCCCTGAACGTCATTCAGTTGGGAATTAGATCTCCATTAAAGAAGAAATGAACGTAGTTTAAGAACCAATAATATTTCAAATTACAAAAACAAGACTACTAAAAGATACATTCTGATTGGCTGCAATTTGCTGTGTATTCTTTGTGTCCTTAAAGTGGTTGTAAATGCTTACAACCTTTTATTTTTTTAAATAACAAACAGATTTATACTTACATGCTCTCTGCAAGTAAAATTGCACAGAGAAGCCCTAAACCTCCTATTCTTGGGTCTCCCGCTGGCACTACAGGCTCCTCCCCTGTGCCTAATGCCCCCATAGAAAGCCTATTTATGTGGGGGCACTTGTGCAGGCTCGCTCCTGAGTCTTGCTGTCTGCATGTATTGCCACAGACAGTGGGACTACCCTGCCCCCCCCTCTCTCATCACTGATTGATAGCAGCAGGAGCCAGTGGCTCCCACTGTCTCAGCAAAGCCTGTAAGACCAGAAAGTGAGGGGAGAGACGAGATGCAGATGTGCACAGCGCTAAATTGAATGAGGGATTAGGAAAGTAAAAGGGGGGATACTGATGCCTAAATATTTTTTACCTAATGCAACAGAAACAATTGAGTACTGTCCGTGATACCTTTTTTATTTGCACTAACATACAATTTTGAGGACAAGCTTTCAGGGAGTGTCCCCTTCTTCAAGGTCCTAGCAATACTATAGTATAGTATAGTAGCAGTAGTATAGTACTGCTTGGACCTTGAAGAAGGGGACACTCCCTGAAAGCTTGTCCTCAAAATTGTATGTTAGTGCAAATAAAAAAAGTATCACGGGCAGTACTCAATTGTTTCGGTCGCAAATGCACTAATACGGCTACAATCACCTCTTGCCTAATGCAAGGAATGCATTAAGGTAATAAAAATGTTTAGGCTTTATAAGCACTTTAAGTAAAACTTTATTAAACAAATGCACGCAGTTTTTAAGGAATGATTTAATAGGAGGATTCCAGTGTAATTTGTTAAATTACAATAATGGATTAAAATTAAAACCCAATAAAAAAACTAGGATGTTGAAATCCTGTTCTCTTTGTATTGCTTCCTTTGTGTAAAATCCCTGGAGTTTCCTGCCAGTCTCTCTGATTTCCTATTAAAAACTGACCACACTAGCCATGAGAGCACACTGTGGTCAGTTCTCTAGCTATGCTGGGAACTGGGATTTCTGTCCTCCAATGATCAGACTTGTCCTGACATTCCCCCCTCCCCAACCCCCACTGCACAGTCTTTCATTGGGAAGATCAGTGTTCTGCTGTTTTTCCTCCCCCAGCTCTAATGCAGCTGAGAACAGAGGGTATGTTATCATTTAGAAAAAAAATTAAAAGGTATTTATAGTGTTTTTCATATCTATACACAAATGTTTTGTCTTTAATTTCTATTTTAAAATAAATGGGAGTAGCAGTGTCATCTTGGTGAAATATTAGTCATAAATATTGTAGTGGAGAGAAGGTAAAATGTTGTCTTTCTTCTAACATTATAGAATGGTTACACTCCTCTGCATATTGCTGCTAAAAAGAAACAGATGCAGATAGCTACTACCCTACTGAACTATGGAGCAGAAACCAACATTCTAACCAAGCAAGGAGTGACCCCTCTCCACCTTGCAGCTCAGGAAGGTCATACTGACATGGTGACACTTCTGCTCAACAAACAAGCCAATATTCACGTTGGAACAAAGGTGGGCTTTGGTTTTATCGTAAAGATTCATCTACACTTCAGATGTTTGGTTTTAACAATAAAGCATGTAACAGTGCAGCAGATTGTTGTATTGTTTTCTTTATATTAGTTCTATCTGGTCAACTCTCCTTTAAAGGGAATTATAGCGTTATTACAGCAAGTCATGTTAAGACTTTCTGTTATTATTGGCGTATTTTATGTTATTCTTGTCTATTATAAGCACATCTTTGATTATTTTGCCATTTTGCACAACATTTGGAAGAAAGCTGTGTGAGTTTAAAATGAATATTTCAGACATTACATTCCATATAGCATGGATCAAATCTGGACAAAGTTATTATCAGAGTGTTTAACATCCATTGTAGATTTTATCATAAGCAGTCTCCCCCTTCCATTATCCTGGACTTATTTTGAAGCAAACCTGTACTGAAAAAGTAAAGGGTCTGCCATTGCTAATCTCCCTTCTGAAAGTGCTAGTGACCTGGCTATCATGTTGGCTTTAGTGTTTTCTAAATCATTAACATGAAGCAAATACACAGATAAGAAGTGTTGTCTTCACTACCTTGATCAACACGTTTTTTCTAGGTCATTGTCACAGGAAATATGGAAGGCAAAGACTGCATGGCAACTAATATTTTCAGAATGAGGTCACCAATGGCAGCCATTAAATACCTTGTAGTACATGTTCATTTAAAAGTTAAAGCCCAACTCCAGGCAAATAAAATAATATCCTTTGCAAGGGGGCGTGCCCACAGTGCAAGGGCTAATGTCTTGTTTATTTCTAGGGGAAAAAAATAAAAGATTTACTTACCCCATCTTCCACTCGTCCCCACAACTAGACCGGTCCCTGCACCCCGCGCTCCAAAATAACCCCTAGCATTGGTGTCAGTGAACACAATAAAAACCTCCAGCATTGGTGTCAGTGAACAAATTAATACCCCCCAGCATTGGTATCAGTGGATGTAATAAAAGTCCTCAGCATTGGTGTCAGTGGACACAATAATAACCCCCAGCATTGGTAGCAATGGATGCAATAATGAACCCCAGCATTGGTGTAAGTGAACACAACAAACCCCAGCAATAGTGTCAGTGAATAAATTAATACTTCCAGCACTGGTGTCAGTGGATGAAAAACCCTCAGCACTGGTGTCAGTGAACGCAATAACAACTCCCAACATTGGTGACAGTGGATGAATTAATCCCCCCTCCTACTGGTGTCTTTGGATAAAATAATAATCCCCAGAATTGTTGTCAGAGACCACAATAATAGCATTGGTGTCTGTGGCTACAATGATAACCCCCACCGTTAGTGTCAATTGATCCAGTAATAACCCTCAGCATAGGTGTCAGTGGATGCAATAATAACCCCCAGCATAAGTGTCAGTAGATGCAATAATAACCCCTGGCATTAGTGTCTTTGGATGGAACCCCAGCATTGGTGTCAGTGAACACAATAATAATTCTAAGCATTGATGTCAGGGTGTATGTGAACACAATATTAACCCCCAGCATTGGTGTCAGTGAACAAAATAATACCCCCAGTACTGGTGCCGTTACTAAGCATTTACACGTCATGTACTCATGCAAATGCTGTGCTACTAAAACCAATACCGTTTTAATACTGACACGGTCATAAAATAGGTCACCTGTAAAAGAAAATCTTCCGCATCTCTGCTCCTTTGCTGCTGTAAGTATTCTACACTTTTGTGTGTGTAGAATACTTGCTCTCCCTCTGAATAGTCTAAACAGAGGTCTAGAGCTCCATCTGGTGGCAGGAAAACAAAAATATCAAGTATTTATATATAACATTTTGTACTTCAAAAAATAAAAAAAGCGCATTGGTATCAGAGACCACAATAATGACCTCAGCATTGGTGTCAGTTGCTTCAATAATAACCCCCAGTGTTGGTGTCAGTGGACCCAATAGCTCTTAGCATTTGTGTCAGTGCTACTGACACCGCCATCCCCTACATTGGTGATTAGTGGCAGTGCTATTTACACCCCCAGGCTCCCCCACTGGTAAATAGTGGCATTTTACTCCCCCCTCCCTCTTCCCTATTAGTAGTCAGTGTTTTCTAAACACCCCTACTCCCCTGCATTGGTGGTCAGTGACAGTGAATTTCACCCCCAGCATTGGTGATCACTTACCTGATTACACGTTCCTTTGTCACTCTCTCTTTCCCTGAGCCAGGGATTTTACTTGTATTGTGCACAGAGATCACCCCACCCACTTCACCCACATTGTTCTCTCTACACCGGGTACTAGAAAGCAGGGACTGTTTCAGTGCCTGGCACCTGCAGCCATTCTGCTGCCCAATTATTGACCACTGATTTCATGACTGGATAAGCAGAAACATTTTTTATTGATCTGCAATAAAGATTGTGATAGTACAATCAGTTTGTGCCATACATGGCAAACTCCAGTGCACGTTAAGTGCATATCTTTGCAGAAGGATGAGACATGCCCTAGATAGCTAAAGCTCATCTAATACATTACAGTCTGATTATATCTCCTAGGGTGGTAAATCTAAAGGAGGTTGTATGAAGATTGAACAGTCAAATTGTAACGTGTACGGTGTGTCTTGTATGTGGTTTTTTTACATGTATGAATTCTAGCCAAGACTGGAACAATCTGTTTTGTTTAGTATTTTTTCTATGTATGTTTTATTTTCCTTACACAGACTGGACTGACTCCATTGCACCTAGCAGCTCAGGAGGACAGGATCAATGTAGCAGAAATATTAGCAAAACAAGGAGCCAATTTGGATGCTCAGACAAAGGTAACCAGGAATAAAGGAATTTAATGAAGCTATTGAGAGTATCTATCTGTAGAATTCAGCCCAAAATAAGATGGGGCAACATTTCCAGTTTTGGAAATTTTGTTGAACATACTGTATATATTCTACAATATTGGTGGCTTGCATAAACTGATCATCAGACTAAGTTCAATGAACATTTCACCCATGTACATGTCGACATTTCCTTTAATTATCTCCATTTCACAAGGCCACAAGCTATTATTGGTGTTTCTGGTTTCCACTAAATAAATCTCTTTCTTCCAGCTGGGATATACGCCTCTAATTGTTGCTTGTCACTACGGAAACATTAAGATGGTGAATTTCCTTCTGTCACGTGGAGCTTGTGTCACAGCTAAAACAAAGGTAATACATTTTGTAACAAGTAATTGATAAAGAAAGGATATTGCTGAATATGCTGTGTGACGCGTCGATGGGTCATGCCATAAAGGTCATGTGACAGTCATAGCAATAATTCTAAGGCAGCCTCTAGTCAGCTTTTTTTCCTTTTTTATATATCTGAGAAGTTCTGGTCAGCTTTCATTTTGTAACTTTCTAGGATATGTTGACATTTTCCAATGAATAATTTGCTGCATATAGTAAAAACTGACGGTGCTATATAAAGACCTGGACCTGTTATAAATAAATAAATGTGTTCAATTACATGTTATTTAAAGGAGAAGTACAGCCTCTTTTGGCTATACTTCTGTAGATCACAGGAGTGCAGTTCGTTCTGCACTCCTGTGACCCGTTTTCAGCTGACAGGGGCTGAAGCCCGCTTTCAGCTGATGTCACTCAGCTGGTCCAGGCTGGGGAAAGATCCCGATTTTAAAGTCGGGATCCACCCTACAGTCTGGAGAGGCATGTGGCTCAGCTTTTGAGCAATTTGCTGAGGGCCAGAGCCAACCGCTCCCTCCCCCTTCACAGCCCAGCGCTCCAGTGAGCACTGGGGAGCAGAGCAGACAGCAGTCTGACAGTCATCAATCTCTGCTCAGAGCGGCTGGGAGAAATCAGCGATCAGCAGTCACGTGATCACTGAGTTCTCACACTTGGAACCGGTGGTGGACAGATTCAGCATCAGACCGATGCTGCATCCACCTAGCTTAGTATAATTGGGCAAAAAAAGAAAAAAAAACTACTTCTCCTTTAATGCTAGGGTATTATTAAAATCATTATGGTTATACCTAAGTGTGGCTAAGATAAACACACAGCTCTTTTACTGTCTATATACAGTATGCCTTTTATGTATGTATTGGACTTATTTCTTTGTACATGAAAAGTCTTGCTGTCTCACCACATGGATGAGCACAAGGATTGTATTGGTAATCTGGCAGCTCTGGTATTTGTCAGAAGGGCTTCTTTGTTTGTATTGGAGATATAACAAATCCCGGCACCTTATTACAAGGAAAAAACCCAGTAGTTGCTTATCCCTATCATGGGTCTCTGATCTCAGTTGCAATTATTCCTTTCGTACCTATAGCCATGAGCATCATTGATCTAAAAAAAAATTCATATTTGCTTAATAGAGAATGTATGCTATCCTAATAGCTTACAAAAAAAAAAATCACATTTGCATATCATTCTTTAAATCTGTGCATTAATGTGTTGTATTGTTTGTGTTATTTACTTTTCACAGAATGGCTACACTCCTTTACATCAGGCTGCCCAGCAGGGACATACCCATATCATCAATGTTTTGCTGCAAAATGGTGCCAAACCAAATGCCACCACTACTGTAAGTTCTATATAATTAAATCCATTATGTTTCTCTTTGTCCATGCTTTTTGTAGTTGAGACTCTCAAGCTTTTTAATTTTAGTTTTAGATGAGAGTTAAAACTAACCTGTGGGTCCCTCAGTAATTGTGAAGTCCCTGTGGCAACCTGTGGGTCCCTCAGTAAAAAGTGCTCGTTACCTTGTGGCAAAGGGCCTCAGAAACTCTGTTATAACTGTACTTCCATGCCCCCCGTCAATCATCTTCAGGTTTGCCATCGTTTAGCGATGCCATCCTTTGCAGGAGACTAAACAGTAGTGAAATGCAAAGGGTAAACAGAGTCAGTGACCACATAAACTGCTTATTGATTTATAATAAAGAGACTTGGGTTTTTGGGAGTACCAAAGCACTCTAAAGACCAAAAAAGATCAAAGTGAAGGCACCTGAAGATAACAGCTAATTTGCACTTCACTACTAATTTACTAATTCAAGAGCCAATGGGTTTGCCATAATTTAACAGTGAGCTTGTAAATGTTGGACACCTAAAGTACCCAGAAAAACACCTTAGGGCCAGTTTACATCTGTGTTTTTAGTGCCTCACATTTTAGGCGCGTTTTCGGTGGCTACCATTGAACATTATACAACCTGCAGTTTGATGAATGCGCATGCATGCGTTTTCTAATAGAGTTCAATGGTAGTGCAGCTACAAATGTGTGTAAAACTTGCCTAAAACACAACACTCTAAAAATGCACCGAACAGATGTAAACTGGCCTTTTTTACAAATTCTGTGACTGTATTTTTAGATTGTTTCCATTAATGATTTGTGTGTGCACTGATTGCTGCTACATTTTTTTTAAAATGGCAGTAAACTATTTGAATTTTGCTCCAGTGGATTGGATAATGTGGTTGCACAGAACTGCCTTTCTGTTGCCTCTCAAATGATATTTTCAGTTGGCACCTATTTGAACTACCATTATCTGTCAGATTTAGTCATTGCCAAGAATGACCAAATCTTTTTCAGATCAGACTGTTGAGAAAGAAAATGCTCCTATGGCCTAATTTTCAGGTGTATAAATCAACTGTAAGAGACATTATAGTATAAGGGAGACTCTCAGTTTATTAATCGGATTAGTGAGTTGTGATGAAGAGTTTGCTCTAGTTCACGCAAAGTATAAATAATGGCAGCACCGATACATGCTTTATCAGTAATAAGTAGGTGTTTAGCTGCTTGAAGATGTTGGCCAGAAAATACGTATTTATTAGGCACCTTTCCGCATGGTGCACACCAATGTGTTTTTAGTGCTTTCTGCTTTTTGCAGAAACGCACTACAGTCCATTTAACATGGTTTCCCCAGGGACATCTTCACATCTATGCTTTTTTGAGCTGCTGCATTTTTGGAAAGGGTCAGGGACTTTTTTAAAAGCAAACAGCAGCATTTTTGCTTCAATAGAGTTCAATGGAGAAGCTGCTGAAATGCATGTAGTGCATTTTTTGGTGCATTTTTTGAGCGTTTTTGTTTTTTTGCATTTTTATTCTGCCCATCCGAAAATAAAAAATCCCCTTTAACCAAAATGCAAAACACACTAAAATCGTGACAAAAGTGCACATGCAAAAAGCACTGCAAAATGAGCAAAAAGCACAATACATTGGTGTGAACCAGGCCTTAGGCCCCTTTCACACAGGGCGGACCCGTCAGTGGATCTGCTTGCTCAGCAGGGGATCTTTTTGCTGATCCCTGCATGAGCAAGCAAATGACAGGTCTATCCGCTCCGCTGCTGCAGAGGAGCAGACACAGCCCTCTGTCCTGTATGGGTGGTCAGATGGAACCAGACCACTTGTCCGTTTCCATCCGACTGTCATCCGATCCAACGGACAGAAGGGGAACAGATCCCCATCTGTCTCATTTTGGTGGATCGGATTGGATGTTGGCAGGTGTAAACGGACACATGTCTGTTTGCACCCACCGCTCCACAGAGGAGAATAGAGGTTCCCATTGGTTCTACCTGAAAAATGGGCAAGTAGACCCAATCAGAATGGGAAAGGGGCCTAAGACCTGAACACAGCATTGGAGGCTTCTTCCTAACAAAAATTCTTGGAAGACAATGAACTTCAGACCCTGATCTGGGATTACAAAATCTAGAGAAAACTGAAAACCAAGCCTTCTCTGCTCAGACACAACCCTCTGGAGCTCCTCAAACTGTATCTTTGAGAACCCTGTGTGCCTTTTACCTATGTTCACAAAGTGGGAGGATCTAGCACTGTCACAATATATGTAAAAATAGATAGATATACAGTTGTGCTCAAATGTTGGCATACCCTGGCAGAAATTGTGACATTTTGGCTTTGATATTGAAAATAGAACTGATCATGCCAAAAAATTGTCTTTTATTTAAAGATAGTGATCATATGAAGCCATTTATTATCACATAGTTGTTTGGCTCCTTTTTAAATCATAATGATAACAGAAATCACCCAAATGGCCCTGATCAAAAGTTTACATACCCTGGAATTTTTGGCCCTGGTACAGACACACAAGGTGGCACACAAAGGTTAAAATGGCAATTAAAGGTTAATGTCCCACATCTGTGGCCTTTTTAAATGCAAATAGTGCTTGTGTATAAATAGTTGGTGAGTCTGTTAGCTCTCATGTGGATGAACTGAGCAGGCTAGATACTGAGCCTTGGGAGCAGAAAAGAACTGTCAAAAGACCTGTGTAACAAGGTAATGAAACTTCATACAGATGGAAAAGGATATAAAAAGATGTCCAAAGCCTTGAATATGCCAGTCAGTACTGTTCAATCATTTTTTAAGAAGTGGAATATTTGGGAATCTCTTGATACCAAGCCAAGATCAGGTAGATCAAGAAAGACTTCAGCCCTAACCGCCAGAAGAGTTGGTTGGAATACAACGAAAAACCCATAGGTCACCTCAGGAGAAATACAGGCTGCTCTGGAAAAAGATGGTGTGCTTGTTTCAAGGAGCACAATACGACGATACTTGAACAAAAATGAGCTGCACGGTCGAGTTGCCAGAAAGAAGCCTTTACTGTGCCAATGCCACAAAAAAGCCTGGTTACAATATGCCAACACCTTGACATGCCTCATAGCTTCTGGCACAGTGTAATTTGGAGTGACAAGACCAAAATAGAGCTCTATGGTAACAACCATAAGCGCTATATTTGGAGAGGGGTTCAACAGCGACCAGAATACCATCCTCACTGTGAAGCATGGTGGTGGCTTACCTATGGTTTGGGGGGTGTAAGCTCTAAAGGCACAGGTAATCTTGTGAAAAGTGATGGCAAGATGAATGCAACCTGTTATAAAAAAAATACTGGCAGACAATTTGCATTCTTTTGCATGAAAGCTGCACAGCTGCACAAGGTCCGCTCATGGACATTCCAGCACAACAATGACCCTAAGCACAAGGCCAAGTTGACCCTCCAGTGGTCACAGCAGAAGAACGTGAAGGTTCTGGAGTGGCCATCACAGTTTCCTGACCTTAATATCATCGAGCCAATCTGAGGAGATCTCAAATGTGAGGTTCATGCAAGAAGACCAAAGACTTTGCATGACCTGGAGGCATTTTGCCAAGATGAATGGGCAGCTATAGCACCTACAAGAATTTTGGGGCCTCATAGACAACTATTACAAAAGACTGCATGCTGTCATTGATGCTAAAGGAGGCAATACACAGTATTAAGAACTAAGGGAATGCAGACTTTTGAACAGGGGTCATTTCATTTGTTTACTTGTTGCCATGTTTTGTTTTATCATTGTGTCATTCTGTTTTGACCTACAGTTGAATATAAATCCCATACAAAATAAAAGAAATGTGTTTTGCCTGCTCACTTTCTTTAAAAATGGTACTGTATATTACCACTTCTTCAAGGGTATGAAAACTTTTGAGCACAACTGTAGATATACACAGTATATAGAACTCTGTATATTAAACTGAATGGGATTTCTGGTTTCAGTACAGTTACTCTCTGTACTGAATGGTATTAGCATTTTACTGAATTATATTTTTTGCATGGACTTGTTTTTTTTATGCTTTGTGAAAATGACACATTCATCTGTGAAATATTTTAAGCTAACAAGAGGATAAATGTCAGGTGTTTCTAGAGCATATATTTTATGGTTTTACAATGTCAGTTATTTGTAGACAGTAGACTTAGAATTTCCTCTATGGAAATTACCCGTACTTCTCCTAAATGACTGTCAGATGTGTTTATGTAGCTTTATTTTTCTTAAGGGAGCACTGAATTCAAATGAATCCAAGCTTTACCGTCTGTTCGCTTCCCTGGTTAAAACGGACAATGCGATCCATTTCATAGTACTGTTTCTTACAAAACATGTTTTAAAAATACTAAATGGAACTCTATTCTATTTCAAACATCAGGGTAGCTAATCCTGCATTTGGAAGCATCTTAAGCAGCTAGCTTTTAAGGCAAATTGTGCTGGTGTGTGACAGCCTTAAAGCAGACAGTACATTTTTATGCAGAGAAGCTGGCAGATGTCAGTGTGTTGTGTTGCTATGGGGATTAAAAACCGCACAGAAAGACTTCAGAAGTGAATTACAGATTTGTGAAGCGCCTTTTCCTGTGTTTGGTGCCTTGTTTTGGATGGGAAGGCTGGCTCACTTGCTGTACTGGAATTTGCTTACAGTTTTACCACTCTTTTCCTCACTCCTTCTTCCCCTGCAGAATGGTAACACTGCACTTGCGATTGCCAGGCGACTGGGATACATCTCTGTGGTGGACACATTGAAGGTTGTCACAGAGGAGATCATCACAACTACCACTGTGAGTACCTCTATACGTTCAGTTTTACTTCTTAAATCAGTAGCATCATGTCGGTGCATGCATTATAGCTTAGAGAACTGAACCTATTCACAATGAATTGTTGCTGTGTATTGTGGCCCACAGAATAAACTCCTACAATGTATATGCTGTACATTGCTAGAGTATATACTGTATACTTGGATGTTTATACATACAGCCATTTGATTAGCACCTTTAAAATTTCTTATTGGAAAGCATGTATTGATTTAATAAATAGTGTAAGAAGAAAAGTGCTAAATGCAGTAATTGTAACATCCAGCCCTTCTTTTATTGTCCGATTTCAGTGAAGCCCATTCTGATTGGTTGCTGTTGTTTTCTGTAGACAGTGCTTAGTTCTTTGCTGTTTGTGTTATTTGATGAATGTAAAACCCTTATGCTTGTAGTATACAGTATTGCCATTAACATATCTGTATTAGATGAAACCTGTAAGAGTAGAACTATGATAGCTTCTGCTACTGATCTGACTTTCAATGGTACAAGCCTTCAAGCAGATCGTTGCTTCACTGTCTAAAAAGTCACTAACCTTGAACAAGCATACATCTGGGCAGCACAGTGGCTAAGTGGTTAGCACTTCCGCCTGGCAGTATTAGTACTAGTTGCTGGTTTGAATCCCAGCCACGGCACCACCTGCCTGGAGTTTGCATGTTCTCCCTGTGTCTGTGTGGGTTTCCTCCCACCCTCCAAAGACATGCTGGTAGATTAATTGGATCCTGTCTAAACTGGCCCTAGTATGTGCATGTATGTGTGAGTTAGGGACCTTAGATTGTACACCCCTTGAGGGTTAGGGACTGATGTGAATGTACAATATATATGTAAAACACTGCATAAATTGATGGCACTATATAAGTACCTGACATAAATCATAAAGTCTCAACTTTCCTCCTGTATGCTTGTCAGTGACTGCCTACAGTATGACAGGAAAAGGATAAATAATTTAGAGCCTGTACCTTTAAGAAACAGCTCCCGTATTTCTATCCCCACAGGTATCCTTAAATAATTGTTTCCAAGCTTTGTGCCATGTACAATACTTTACCTTTTAATCTCATAACACACTGATACATTTGTTCCATTTACTGATTCGCAAGTTAGAAAAAAAATATTACAGTTAACCTTTCACAAAGCTGTGCTATTGAACTTGAGCTCTGAGACCTAGAGATACAGTTCTTTTAAAAGTCAGGTTTAGGTCCACCCTTTATCTACTAAGCCTGCTTGACAATCAGTGTGTCTGCATCACTCTAGAGCAGGGGTCTCCAAACTTTCTAAACAAAGTGTCAGTTTGCTGTCTTACAGACTGTACGGGGCTGGAACTGTGGCCAGTGGAAGTAGAAATTGTCCTGGTATCACTGGGAGTAAACAATGCTTCTTTGGTATTAGGGGGAAGAAAAGCACCCAGTCATTGGTGTCAGTGGGAGGAATAGTGTCCTGTGCTTGGTAATAGTGGAAGCAATAGTGCTCCATTGTTGGTGTCAGTGGGAGGATTATTGCCCTATCATTGGTGTCAGTGGGAGGAATACTGTCCCATCATTGGTGTCAGTGGGAGAAATAGTGCCCCATCACTGGTGTACGTGGGAGGAATAGTGTCCTATGCTTGGTAATAGTGGGAGGAATAGTGTCTCATCATTGGTGTCAGTTTGAGGAATAGTGCCCCATCATTGGTGTCAGTGGGAGGAATAGTGTCCCATCATTGGTGTCAGTTTGAGGAATAGTGCCCCATCATTGGTGATAGTGGGAGAAATAGTGCCCCATTATTGGTGTCAGTGGGAGGAAGAGTGCCCCATCATTGGTACCAGCGGAAGAAATAGTGCCCCATCCTTGGTGTCAGTGGGAGGATTATTGCCCCATGATTGGTATCAGTGGGAGGAATTGTGTCCTATCATTGGTGTCAGTGGGAGGAATACTGTCCCATCACTGGTGTCAGTGGGAGAAATAGTACCCCATCACTGGTGTAAGTGGGAGGAATAGTGTCCTATGCTTGGTAATAGTGGGAGGAATAGTGTCCCATCGTTGGTGTCAGTTTGAGAAATACTGTCCCATCATTGGTGTTAGTGGGAGGAATAGTGCCCCATCATTGGTGTCTATAGGTGAACTAGTGCCTCATTATTGATGTCAGTAGCAGGGATTATGCCCCATTGTTGGTGTCAGTGGGAGATATAGTATCTTGTATCTGTGGGAGAAGAAGTGCCCCTTTGGCCAGATAAGGTGAGCAAAGGGACGCATCCGGCCCCCAGGCCGCAGTTTGGAGACCACTGCTCTAGAGCACCTATAGGGAAGCCCAAGAGGTGGAATGGGCAGGGTCAAGCTTGACTTTACATGACAAGTCAAGCTTTTCATATTGTTCCACTGCCTATAATTCTGGAGCTACAGATTGTTTCAACCTCTGCTTATGTATGTCTTCAACATACGCTCACTTGCATTACTGCAATGCAATTCTTAGACTTGCTTATTTTACACCACATATTGCATTTAGTTGTATTTAACACATTTAGGCAACGTATAACTTGCCCACCATGCAACTTCGTTCCTATTCACTGCAAGTAAACAGACACAGAACACAATCTGGGGTTATGCAAGAAGAAAAATAATATTAATTATTGAAATGTGTTAGTTCTAATTCACATATTTTTGTGATCTGCTTCTTGGAGATCTTAGAAAAAACTGAAAATCTATTGCAATGTTTAAGGGTGTTAAATTAGGTTATTTTCTTAGAAATATAATACAATACATAAAGAGTTTGCATATCTTAAATTCTGTATCTTACTTTGTTAAATGGGGTTAATTTTTTCTCTGAGTGAGAAATAAAGCAGATGTGGCAGCCACAGTTTGTTAGTAGGATGCCATTAATTTACTGATAATCAGCAGTATGTTAAATTATCAACAGATAAAAAAACAGACTTCTATCACATGATTCATTGCTTTGTGCAGTAATTGCAGATCTTTGTGTGTAATAGCCAGCCATTTAATAATCTTTCTTTATGTCCCTGCTTCATGAAATGACTGTACAGCAAATAAAAAGCTCAGTTACTTGATAGTTGCTGTGTAACTCATACAGAATGACATTGGTAGGTCCAAAACTGAATCTCCATACAGTGATATCACTGGTAGATTTGCATTGAGTGGGAGAGGTACATAAAAACAGCTGAAAATCTGCTGGTTGTTTAGTACTACTTTTCACTGTGATGTAATCCTAGGCAAATAAAAGAACAGTTCCTCTTTTCCGTAGCTACACAACTGGACCTAATAACTATTGACATGCCCAGATATACACTTAGCACCTCGGGGTAAAGCCGCCTTAACAAATGCAGCACACTAACCCTTATTTGTGTATAGATCAGGGGTGGACTGACCATTTGGAAAATCGGGCACTGCCCGAGGGCCCGGGGTCAGTAGGGGGCCCCATGAGATGCCCCTGGTACCTTTTTCATAGGCTTTTTTGAGTTTGGGCAAGGACACAGGGGCCCCATGAGTTGTCAGTCCGCCCCTGGTATAGATATATATATATTAATGCTAACCCAGCCTATAACAGTAATATTAACCTAAAGATATACAAACTGAAGAAATTTCAGTATGTCTGGCAGTCCTAGCAAACTAGAACTCATAGAGAATGCCACCTGCTTGAGGTGACAGCAGCCACAAATAGACCCAGATGGGGCAAATTTCTTAACAATAGCTAGAATTGTTGCATTGCTCTTCCTCACCTGTGTGCAAAACCCAATCACTATTCACCTATAAATATCACCTACTGTATATAAAACCAGAGCTTGAGTAAGAGTGAAAAACAGTCTTGGGTGATGCAGCACACCAACCGGTTTTTTGTGCATGTTGCAAGAGTTTTTTTTTTTCTACAACTCACAAACCAGTAGCATTTATGCATAGCTTCATAATCTGGGTATGTTCTGATGAGTACTGCTGCCTTGTTAAAATGGGTCTAATAGAAGATGAGCATTCCATGGAAGCTGAAATGTTTTATAACACGATGCAAAGAAGTCGGCAGATTGCCAATATTCACAGCATTTTCAAAGAAGACCTTGGCATCAGCTCTGCATAATTTTATGGCTGTCAAAATCTTGGTTTGTTCCTTTACATAACTGTCTAAAATTCACTGCCAAACTAACTTTTCCAAGTTTCCTGCTTGCTTACCAGGCATGTCGTGCATTTATACAAACCACAAACTGGGGTTCTTGTGAAATCTGTACTATATGTATGCATCCCAGTCCCCACCCTCTCCTCCTCTGCACCAACTTCAGTGCTGCCCACCTGCCGGCTGTTATATCTATCTATCTTTGTCTATAAAAATCTGTCACAGATTCAGAGAAAAAAAACAAACACATTTTAACTCATCAGCAGCTCAAGAAACCCCTGCATTGTTCAAAATAATTCATGTCCAGCTTCCACACAATTGTTAGGCTGATATACAGTAAATACTTTATTGAGATTAAGGGCTAAGTTCGGCTTTTGTGAAAAATAATAAATGCACATATTTGTGCTGGAAAATGTGTGCATTTATTGTTTTCTCACACGGGAGCCTGCAAAGCATTGCACTCGTGATCAGTGGATCATGGGTGCAACGTAAGGCTCATGCAGACAAGCCCTACAACTTTCAGTCGGTACTTCTCTACAGGCTTTTATTTTGAAAGCTGCAGGGCTAGCGAATGAACTATGAGTGTGCTTATCTTCACCCTTGCTGTTTACTCAGGACAACAAGCCATCTGCCACTGTGGCAGACGGGACTTATAGTTGTCTCATTCACAAATTCCTGTCATGGGGAAAGGTGGAAAGAAGGTTGGGGGGATCAGAGCGGTGAGGAGTACTTCTACTTGAGCATGTTACACCCTAAATATGGGTGTAATGTGTAACGTGCTGCAGAAGGTGAACTTATCCTTTAAATTTTAAAGCTAAGAGTGGATGTATCATTGTCTACAAAACACAGTGCTGCAAAGGAGAAGAGTACAGAGTGAATTTAGATTTTTTGCCAATTATGATTAATTTAGTTCTTTTTATTGGAAACAGTAACCCTTCAGTAATTTTTTTTCAATCCTCCCCATTACACGTTCATTCATTATCATTTATGCATATTAAATATTATATATATAGTTAATATTTGTTCTTGTTTAACTTCACAGGTTAATTCTTTAAAAAACCTATTGGCAATGATATGGGTATTCACATAGTTAAATATTCTTAGCAAGCAATAATATGAGCTTTACATCAAGTATTCACTGACCTTTGTACCTGCAGGCACTGTGGAAGAACACTAAAGTTCATTCTCTGGACTCACCACACCTAGTAGTGAATCAGCTGCTTTCCTGCCTTCAAATCTGTAATGTAAACACAGGAAGGGGAGCTGGGTGGTTTGTTGTCTTAGAGAAGGACCTAAAGGATTTCAGTGCTTCTGCTTCGAACTTTGAGGGTGACTTGCTCCACAATGCCTGCAGCACAAATAGCAGTGATAGATTATTTTAAAGCGCCTTTCTCTATCTTCTATTGAGGGACATAGTACAAAATTAGGGTTATACTGCAGCCTATCAGCAAAATAGATAGTAGGCTCATAAGAAATATATTAGCAAACAAGATTTTCTTAGTATATTTAGTATACTGGTGATCTCTATGTGATAGTCCCTTTGTTGGTAGTGAATATCCCTTTGTGGTCCATTTACAGAGAACTCCACTATTCAGGTCAGCTCTTCTACTCCTGTCTCTGAAGACTCACTTCTTGTGAGTGGCTTGTATGCTGTGTTGAAAAATGTTTTCTTCTTATGTTCCCTAGGCCTGTGTATGTGCTACATCTTTACAGATCAGGCTGTCATTGAGCGCCTCTTTTGTGAAGTGAAATTTCTCTTTTAACTTCTGGACTTGCCTTATACTTGGCTTTTACTTTATGTAATTTGCAAGCTGGCTACGTGGAGGTATCCTCCTCTTTATTTTCTATATCAGTGAGCTGAACTTTAGTTTTGAGAGTGGAGCACCCTTCTTGTTATTCTTCTGTTTACTTGGTCACCAGGCAGGGTTACACATCCCTCCCCTAATTCCTTGATGGTGAAGCACAGAGTGGGGAGACTTTATGAGTGTGCACATGCACAGGAATGCACTCCGGAGAAAAGGCACACATGTATCAAGCCCCTTTTGTAGTGGTCATCTAGTGATTAGTGTCTCACTGCTGTGAGCGCTTCCTGTTCTTAGAATTATGTGTGCACTTAGCCAAGATTTTGCCATTGGTGTCTGCACACAAGGTTAACAGGACAGCAACTTTTGCTGTGCTTAGGTGGCCCTAGAGCAGCTTTGTAAAATGGCTTTGTTATGCCTACCCAAGTGGTAAGCCAATCTTTCTGTCTTTTCATTGGAGAAAGTGTAAAAGTTCCTTTCATTCCTTCATGCCAGATTGCAGTTCCCAAATCCAGGCCTTCTTTCACTATTTCAGGTTCAGGGGGTCCTAAATGTCTTTGACAAACTAAGGGATCAAAACCTGTGAATAACCGCACCTCTGCATGCAGGTTCACCCCACCCCACCCCAGATCATTCCTGTTATCTCACAAAATGATCTTCCACTCTAATTCTGAGTCACTGGCTTTGATAACCTAACCGTTAAAACCCAGGGTCATTTCAGATTTTGAAATCTGGTCCATGGTAACAGCTCATAAAGCTTTTTCCTGCAGGATGTATAATGGAATCTGGAAGACTTCTTTTCACTCTTGTGATTCTCTGGGGGTTTCCCCATGTGCCTTTTTGGTGGGCTGTGTTTTTTCAGCCCTCTAGATAGGGATAGAAGAACATATGGCCCATGACATCAAAGGCAAGGTGTCTTCCCTGTCTGTTTATTTCCAACGTCCTCTTACGAATCATGCGATGATTAGCACTGTTATACAAGGGTTTACATGTGTTGCTCCTCCTGTCTGTACTCCACTAGATTTTAAATCTTGCATTGTCACCGTTACAAAGACCTCCTTTTGAACCTATGTGTGACATCTCCTTGCTATTACTATGCCTTTCTTGTGGCCATTACTTCAGCCAGATTGGTTTCTGAGTTGTCAGTGTTCTTATGTTGGGAGCTGCATTTGATCTTATATAAAAACAAGGTTGTTATGAAATGAAGAACCTCCTTTACCGTAAGTGGCCTCTGCCTTACACCTTTTTAAGGATATTGTGATCCCTTCCCTAAATCTGACACTGGTTAATCCCAAGGAGATTTCTCTCCATTACTTCGATGTGGTGAAGTCCAGGATTTACCTTTCTGACACTACCTTTTTTAGGCAGATGGATTTTATTTTTGTCATCCCGGTACATCCTAAAAGAGTTTCTCCAGCTTCCATATCCACTATTTCTAAGTGAATTAGACAGGTTACTGTGCAGTCCTATGTGTTGCTTCCTTTTCCTGTTAAATTCCACTATCTTAGGACAGTGAATGTTTCTTAGACTTTTCATCACCAGGCTTGGGTGCCACAGATTTATAAGGCTATGTCCTGGTCTTCTGTACATACTTTCTCTAAGTTTTACAAAGTTGATGCTTCTGCTTCCACATATGCTATTTAATGCCCTTGGTATCCCTTTCATTTTGTTTTTTTTTTCTGTTCGGCTTTGCCCGTTTTGTTGGGTGTGCCTGACATTCAGATTGGATTGCATTAGGATGTCCCTAGTGTGTAATTATCTTCAAGGTGTGCCCCTTGATAAGTGGCTTATAGAGAAAATAGGATATTTGTACTCGCCAAAAAACTTTTCTGAGCTCATTGTGGGACCAGCTCCCTCTGCTGATATGTTTTCCCCTTCTCTTGTACTACTTGCCACAGCTGAGCAGGTATCAGGTGGGAGGGGTTATAGCCTCTAACAGTCTGTCTTTCCGTCTTTATGTGCCTAGTGTCTATTTCTCTTGTAGGTGGCAGTATAACACTAAGTTGCTTAATTATCATCAAACTGTGTCCCTCAGTGGACTCGAAGAAAAATATTTTATGGTGCGTAGCACAATCCTATTTTTCTGCTTGTTAAGAACATGCAAATACCTAAATTTTCATAGCATGACCCCTGATTCACTTTAACCACTTCTGCTGTGAATGATGAGGATGATTTACTCAACAGTGCCTGCAGCTACAGAGTTCAGTGAGAACTTATTAAATCTAATTTACTACATATACACAATGAAGTCATATAAATGGGTTGATGTTACATGCTTATTTGATTTATGGTTTATTAAACAACAGGTACTAAATTAGACAATGTTGCTTTTGATGTCTGTTGTATAGAGCCTCTTGCTTGTTTAATAAGCTTTCTATCAAGCAGGCAAACAATGTGGACCTGTTTATGTGAACTGATCATGTGAAAGTAGGACAAAGCAAAGTGCCTGATTATAATTTGCTTAGTGGATGCAGTGTCTCCGTTCCAACAGAAATTCAGTTATATGAGCTTATTTACTGCTTGTTAAAACCCAAATCCAGCATAATAAAAAAAATAGCTAACATACAAAAAACAACTGTTCCCTGAATAAAGTTCTTTCTGCTACTAGATGATGCACCTCCAGGTCTTCTGCAGGGAGCTCTGTTTGCAGAATTCATAATCCATTCCTTGCTGAGGATAGAACCGGACCCTTGTTGTCACTTGAATGAGACCGAAGACTGGTGTGTGTGTGTGTGTGTGTGTGTGTGTGATGGCTGTAAGAATATATAAATACCTGAATGTCCATATCCTGACCACAGGCCCACGTTAATATATTAAATACTCAAGAAATATATCACTTTGAATAAGTAAAAAGGTTTAACTTCTCTAACTTCTCACACAGAAAGTAATATGACAAGTCCATGAAAGAATCCTCTTTTATGATCATTGTTGAGTTTGTTTCCTCTTGTTCATTGTGTAATGCATTATGAGATGATTTGTTTTGTTACAGGATGCTGTAGAATTACAGTATAACATTGAGAACTGCATTTTCTTGCCATATGTTGATGTTGGCTTTGTTTTTTGCAGACTGTGACAGAGAAACACAAGTTGAATGTTCCAGAGACAATGACTGAGGTGCTGGATGTCTCCGATGAAGAAGGTGAGTTTCAAAACACTTCTACTGTTGCCAATTTCTAAATGTTATATAAACATTCCTTTCTTGTATTTTAGCATTACTTAATAAAAATTGCCTTCTGCATGCCTCAAAAATGTCCAAACTTTTATTATAAGTATATAGGGACTGCCATTGCTGGACCATTTTTAAAAATGCTACCTGACCAGTCACAGTGCACATGCATGTCGAAGAGTGCCATACTTATTTTGTATGTGTGCGTTCTGGTTCAGTTACTGAATGCATTGAAGCAATAGCATTAACAGGACAACCAGAAAACTAGTATTTTCAAAAGGTGAGGTAAAAATTGGCAGCCTACCAATTGCTGTCATGACAGTGGTACTTTGAGGTTTGATATGGCACTGCCACTTCCCGCTAAGCATTGCCATAATTCTGAGTGGTTTGTGTTAGTAGACACAGGAGAGAGAGAGGCTAATTCAGCCATATACTCTTCCACTTGTTAGAACTCCATCTCTTTTGGGCAGAAGGTACATCCACTTTGTCAAATAACAAATCCCGCATGGGAAGGTACAGTATAGAAGAGGTGTAGAGTATATTAGAGCATATAAAATGTGGATGATCTGCATGTAGCACATGCCTTGGCTTCAAGAATACCTGGGGTAAGGATTAACTTCCAAAAGTAATAAAAAAATTATATATAAGTATCCTTTTGTGCATTTCATAAGGAAATAGCAAAAAATATTAGGACAACAATACTGGCAGTAAAGCATACACTGATGCATTAAGTAGTAGCTTGCTATAAAGAGGATTAATATTAGATACTGTAGACTAACATTTGATTCAGCTTCATGATCAAGTAGGTGGTATGATGACTGTTAATGTTGTTCCAGGAAGAATGATCAGTAAGTGGATGATGCAAAACGTAGTTGCGTCAATAAAGGCAGGAATAATATTGGAGTGGAAAAATCAGAGAGAAAAAACTGAAGTCCCTTAACAGCTTCATACTTGTGTATGCTTTTTTTGGATGCATTACTTGCATTAAAAAAAAATGTTATTGGCCTGTAAGCATCTCAACCGTCCTGTAAAATTATACTGTATTTTGTATTTATTGTGCACAATAACCATGGCCAAGCTATACTAAAGTGTTAAAAAAGCTTCTGGAAATGGTTAGTTTTGGAATTTTTTTAAAAATAGATACCCAGCATCCAAGTCTCATGTACATGTACATTTACATGTAAATTATTCACTGGAGGGACCCTTTTATAACATGCAGGGGTATTAAAAGTTCTGGTAATTGCTATTATTTCCCAGTGAATGACAATATTGTATTAGTCCACAGGTTTGCAGGTCCTAATCATAAGTAACTAACGTGCTTCTCCTAAAACTATGGGATCTATGACATTATGCAAAGTTGTTTCACCGTATTTGTATAGTTGTAAGTGGAAAGAACTGGGAAAGGTACATGTTTGGCACATTTTCATTATCTAGTTTATTTTCTTCTTCTACATTATTTCTACGTTATTTCTGCATTCACATTTCCTCAGCAACTTAGAGTATCTATTACGAGATACCCTGCAGGGTCTCTTATTATCTCTATAAATCTCCTTCACTTGTTTTACTTCTAAAATGTGCTCTGTGCAGCTTTTAAATTATTTGCTGATGAGCTCTTTTCTGATGAAGACCTTAGTGAGCAAGGTATTGGTATATGCAGGATATGGAGGAATGCTGTGGATATTGCTTTGTTTTGTGGTGATTTTGACCATTGACAATTTCTAATATTACATTCTCAATATAACATATGCAGGAGAGTAAAACCACTGAACTGCTAACAATGGCAATGTGTGTAGTGGTGCTTAAAAGAACTACTTATAAAAAGCATGCTGTGTAATAAACCTAGCATTTTGAAGTGTAATACCTCAGTTCACTGCCCCATATTTGTAATAGCTATATTTATTTATTCATAGGTGTGGGTACATAGATTGTTGCCGTCTGTTATGTAAAGTGGTAAAGGAGCTCACTTAGCAGTTTACCATTGGCATTTAACAACATCAATTTACAGCCCTGGCCAAAAGTTTTGAGAATGATACAAATATTAATTTTCCAAAGTCTGCTGCTTCAGTGTTTTTTTATCTTTTTGTCAGACGTTACTATGGTATACTGAAGTATAATTACAAGCATTTCATAAGTGTCAAAGGCTTTTATTGACAGTATTTGCAGAGTCAACATTTGCAGGGTTGACCTTCTTTATTACAGCCTCTGCAATTTGCCCTGACATGCTGTCAGCCAACTTCTGGGCCACATCCTGACTGATGGCAGCCCATTCTTGCATAATCAATGCTTGGAGTTTGTCAGGGTTTGTGGGGTTTTTTTTTGTTTACCTGCCTCTTGAAGATTGACCACATGTTCTCAATGGGATTAAGGTCTGGTGGAGTTACCTGGCTATTGACCCAAAATTACAATGTTTTGTTTCCCAAGCCACTTATGCCTTATGGCAAGGTTCTGCATTATGCTGGAAAAGGCATTGTTTGCACCAAACTGTTTTTGGATGTTTTTGTACCATTCTCTATTCATGGCTGTGTTCTGCAAAATTGTACACTCCCTTGACTGAGAAGCAACCCCACACATGAATGGTCTCAGGATGTTTTACTGTTGGCATAATGCCGGACTGATGGTAGTGTTCACCTTTTCTTCTCCGGACAAGGATTTTTCTGGATGCCCCAAACAATTAGAAAGGGGATTCATCAGAGAAAATGACTTTACCCCAGTCTTCAGCAGTCCAATCCCTGTACCTTTTGCAGAATATTAGTCTGTCCCTGATGTTTTTCCTAGAGAGAAGTGGCTTCTTTGCTGACACCAGGCCATCCTCCAAAAGTCTTCACCCCACTGTGAGTTTTAAATGCAGAGGGTGTTTTAAACTTCTATTTCCAGATTTTTCCAAAAAGGAAAAAATGTTTTGTGACCTATAGAATCTTATTTTATATCACCACTCTATCCCAGGCACTAGGGATGCTGAGGAACACATTACCTGTAGATATAGGGCACTGGTGCTAAGAAAACAGTAGGAGAAGGAGTGAGGAGAAAAGAAAATAGTGAAGTGAATGATGGGATGAAGGGATGAAGTTGGGTAAGAATGGAGGGGTAAAGGAGAGGGCACAGGGGTATGGGGATGGGGGGGGGGGGGGGGGGGGGTTTGGAAGTCCCTTTTTGTTAAGCAAAACAAAAAAATTTATGTAAGTCAAGCAGTGTTCTGAGAATGACAGAAACACAGTGCAGACACATTTGCTGGTAGCTTTTTACCTAGAAGCTTTACTTCTAGCATGTGGAAAACAAAGGCTAGTTCTGCTGTTTCATCTACTGCAGTAATGTAGCTCAGTATGTTACTTTTTTACAATTCCATACTTGACACCTGAGTCTGATCAGTTCCTATCCTTGTTTCGGCCCTTTTTCCCCCTGGAACAATCATATTGCTTTGCTGCTGCAAAGCAATATGACAAACCTTCTGTTTACTTAACTGTATTAGATTAGATTCGTCAGTTAAGAAAAAAGAGAACAGTATAGATTTGTCCTAAACATATAGATAATTTAAGGTTCCTTCCTTCCTATACACTTGGAACTCAAGTAGTTATGAGTGGCTAATTATGATTGTCTAATGGTAATGCATGAAAGCAACACCTTACTATAGTGCATGGTTACCAAAATACTAATTTAACCATATATGAGTTTGTATAATTAGTGATCTATCATAGAACACCAAAATGATCTGTCTTCAACTGCAAGGTACTGTAGACCATTGTTCTTTGTATCATTTATTAAATAACTCCAGTAGATTAGTGCTTACACTGAGAAATGAATATAGAGTGCATTTCCTTCCTGCTCTTTGCTATTAAAAATGTTTGCCCTGTTTTGGCCTTGATTTTTAGATCGGTGTTCACAATAGCATGTTGCTGTGATGCAGCATGCATGCGTAGGTTTGTTGCAGTGCCATTCATTTTGAGTGGAACCCCAATGTGCCAATAGAGCACAATGAGTGCACAGCAGTGTACCACAACTCACAATGCAGTTTATCCCTTATTTTATGTGTTGAGGTGCATTACAGTTCAATAATTTTAAATGGCCTGTCCAAGGCAGTGCCTTGCAAAGCACATCAATGCAGGAAAATGTATGGGGATTGTAATAAGGTGGGAATAGTAGGAGATAAAGAAAAGTTTTAGTGAGCAAAATATATGGGTTGCCAGTCTGTCTGCGGCGGCTTCATTATGTTCTTAGTGACCTGGAACTAGAATGCAGATTAAAAATGTCTGAGGTCTTAACTCCTAATCTGCATACTTATTCCAGGTCTTGCTTCGTAAAGTATTACAGCCATTTTATCAGCATTGCAGCCAGGCAAGTAGCATTTTCAGAAGGCAAAGTCAGCAATTGTAGCCTCTCAGTACATGTTTCTCTGCAACCCAACAGCAATGAATAATATGTGCAAAAGTTGTGTATGAAGTAGAAAACATATGACTGCCTTGCCTGGGTACATTATCTCCTGCCCAATTTTTGAACAAAGTGGGGAAAGAATAGAACCTTTTTTTAAAAAAAATGTATTTGTAGTCTGCAACCCAGTTTAATAGATTTTCGCCTAACTTCCTGTTGGAACAAGAAGTGATAGGAAATATCTCCAGTAGGACTACAACAAAACACATTTTCCAGTGAATTAGCAAAGAGTTAGAATCAGGTTACTATTACTATCTGCTATCCAATTCCAATTTTGTTTTCACTGCTGTCACAGGAATAAGAAATTTGGTGAAATCTCCCAATGGGATAGGTATAAAAAAAACTTGACAGCATTATTTGTTCCTTCCAAGCCTTTACAAAAATTAAGCAAAAAATTGTGGGCAAGCCTTCTGTAGTTATTTAAAGAAGAACTCCGGGATAGGCAAAATGATCATCCATTAGAACACCCCCTACACAAACTACAAAACAGTTAATACCATTTTGAAAATCCCTACCATTTAGGAGAAAATTGGCATTGCATTTTCATGACCTTATCTCTCTAATTCAAAAAGATAACATCATCTTCTCTGAGGTGTAACATCAGAGATTACATCATATCCCCTGCTCTCTCTTTCTGCAGTAAAGGAAACTACAGTTCCCATCAACAAAAGGGAATTGTAGTGAATGTGAGTGGGTACACTAGGCCTGTACATATTGAATGTGTCTGAGAGTCTCGGTCCACCCACCACTGTAAGTGGAGCTGAATTACATCATCACTGCTTCCTGGAGAAAGAACTACAGAAGGGATGTGCCATGACTAGTGACTGGGGGAATAGAAGGCATAGCAGCCACCGATCTTACAAACATGAAACCAAAATAGAATTAACTGTTTGATTTGAAAATAAATAGGCTATTTCAGAGCTACTATTGAGTGAACCAAAAGAAGGATGACATAATCAGCAACAAGGACATGTAAAGACGTTTTTGCCTGGAGTTCTGTTTTAAATATATTGTTTTTTTCTATACGCAATCAAATAAAGCATATGGCCATGCAATGATACAATATTCTAATATTTTGCACTGATCATTTTCAGATCTATGATATATGGTGATGGGTGTAACATGTAATAATAGCAACTATTTATTGTTAAGTATTAAGTTTTGTATTTGATTTTTTACAAGGAGATGATACAATGACCGGCGATGGTGGGGAGTACCTGCGGCCAGAAGACTTAAAAGAACTAGGAGATGACTCTCTGCCAAGCAGCCAGTATTTGGATGGTATGACCTATTTGAGGTACAGCTTGGAGGGTGGACGCTCAGACAGGTATGTAGGAATAACCATTGTGTTTAATACATACAAAATAGAGTTAATGGTATGAGTTATACTGTTTAATGAGCTTGGACTATACCAATGTACTCTTTAGCTGTGAAAACAGAGAAAATGGAAGCAGATGAAACAGAAATTTTAATCAAAATCGCAGAAAGAATGTGGCTCCCTGTGCCAGGTGTCATTTAACAAAAATAAAACTTCATTAACTCCAGCCTTGAATTCCCATAACAAAGGCTGACAGAAGAGCCTAGCTCCAAAACTGGAAGTACTACTACCTCATAACCTGCATGTTTTAGAAATCATAAAACTGTGGAAGCTGACTGGTTTCTATGCAGAGCTGCACCAGATTTTGCACTCTCCAATTTTAGTAAATCAACCCCAGTGTGTCACTCATCTGCACATAGATCACAAAAAAACTGGAAAAAACTAAATAACTGCAGTGCCTCCCAATGACTGAATACTTATGCAACAGACATAGCTTGTAGTTTATCACACTGGGCATAACTCATTAAGCAATATTTTATCGCATCCGAGTATGCGGCAAAATAACGCACAGCGTTAAAAAAAAAAAAGTATGATTCACAAAGAAACACTCCTTAAAATCTCATGTGTTATATTTCCGAATTATGCTGGTATGACATAGCTTCTCTGGGTTGAGGGCTCAAGCTACCCTGGGGGGTTGATTTACTAAAGGCTAATAGACCATGCACTGCAAGTGCACTGAAAGTGCAGTTGCTCTAAATCTGAGGGGAACATGCAAGAAAAAAAAAAGAAGCATTTCTGCTTGCACATGATTGGATCAAAGAAATCAACAGAGCTTCATTTCATAGCTTCCCCTCGGATATAAAGCAACTGCACTTGCAGTGCACAGCATATTTACCTTTAGTAAATCAACCCCTATAAGTTTTTATACAGCTTCATAATTAGTGCCTTGGATATCCGGAACTTCTGCAGGGTATCAGCATCCATGTATTTATACTGTACAGCAATGTTCACTCCTTAAAGCATCTTTCCTTTAAACTCTAGACCACTCTAGATCTTCTTCTCCTCCTCTTCTGCATTACTTTAAATTCCAGAAGACTAGATTCAAAGGGTTCCATCTTCTGTGCTATGCAGTCTGCCAGCCTTTATTGACAACGTCTGAGTGGAATCTAGCTGCCACCTGCTCCAGCTCTTTAAACCAATCACTGACCTCTTACCCTGGGTCTGACCATTGCCATACTTATTGCATAGTTATCGCATGGTTGGACCACTGCTTAATTACCGCATGCATTTATTTATTTCCTTCTCTGAATAGACTTTAACGCCTTTTATGCAATATTATCAAGCATTTTTAGTGTGTGCGCTAAATACCGCATACAAGCAATAGTGAATTCACATTTTCATTATCGCATGCGTTAAGAGGTCACGTGACTGTCATAACGAATGTGATAACCTTTAGTGAATTGTGCCCTATATATAGATGGGTATCCTATTTGTAAACTTTGTAGTGTGTAAAGTTTTCTTACATAACACATTTTTGTTGTGTAAGGAAGAAATATCCTTTTTAAAAGCCAGTATAATTATGTGACAGCAGTGTCATAACTGAGCTTCTGTTGGATCTTACATTTATCTGTGGGTGATGGATATCTGATTCCAGTGTATGATGTATTTTTTTTTAACCTCTCTGTAATTAGCTTTAGTCCTCATGCACACTGGACAATTTTACAGCTGCTGCTTTTGGCATTTTTTCTACAGCCAGTAAACTCCCCAGCATGTTATCCTATGTGCCCATGCACACATAAGCTTTAATTAGCGTTTTATGCCAGGGGCATTTTATGGCTGGAAAAAAACCTAGAACTACTGGGTTTCTAGAGGAGTTTTTTAGCTGCAAAAACGCTCTAACGCTGGTAAATGCGGAAAAAACATGGTAAAACAATATAAACGCGGCAAACCGGCATTTTGCTAATGCAAAAATGTTAAAAAACATTGACAACTTTGTGTTTTTAACACAACTTTGCACAGCAAATGCTACCAGCATTATTAAAACGCCCAGTGTACATGGAGCCTTATGGTTTGCTAAACTGCTGTTTTAAATTCAGAGTCAATAATTACAGCTTATCTTAACACTGGAGACAAAGCTGAGCAAAAAAAAAACTGTAAAAAATATAAAAAGGGAAAACCTAACATACAATAACAGTAAACCTAGCACTAGTAGCATGATTTCAAAGCCGCTAGTTAGTGCGATTTCATGTGCAGTTTTCCTGACATCTGTGTGACTTCATGCACAGATGTCTATGCAAGTCACACATGAAATCCTCAAAAATAGTGCAGGAAACTTTTTTCAAAATTGGTGCCACATTGCAAAGTCGGAGTTGCATCGATTTGAATGGTCCCATAGGCACAAATAGGGTGCGACTTGTCATGTGATTTTGAACTGTCAAATTGCATGACACGTCGCACCGGTGTGAACCAGCTCAGGGTGTAAAGCTCCTTCTGTGCCCACAATACTGGATTAGAGTAAACTTGTTGTCCCATCTACAGTGTATAGGACCATACATTATGACTGTACATGGACAGCATCAGCTGACTACCACTCATATCTAGCATCCTCGTAACCAATGAATGTAAAGAAACATAGAGAATCCCAACCTCATCATAGGTATAGAGTTATGATTTTGTATCCAGACCTTAATATAAAAAAAACTCTTTAGTTAAGAAAAATAAAAGTCTATGAAATTCGTAGCTTGAAAATGTAATCTTTTTGTTATGGTGAATGTGTGATATTGTACAAAGCAACCCACAGCCTACCGTTACAAATCCTTGAAGTATTTATACAAAGTAGGAAGAGTGTTCATCAATTTGGAATAGTAAAAACAATCCTTTTCACTAACATCACCAGCATATCCATTTTACTGAAGTAAATGGTTCATTTTAACTACTCAACTATTTTTTTTTTAATGATTTATGCTCTACTTGTTTTTCTCTGACTAATGCAACAGTTACCCTTTATTTCTTAACAGTTTTTCTGTCATTATTCCCTTTGTTTTTCTTCCTTCCATTTATATGGATTTAATCCCACAGTACTATGCCTAGGTAGGTATGACATTGCATGAGATGACTGTGTCCCCTAGGTTCACCCTGTACCTCCCAGCATATAGTATATGTTCTTCCATAAAAATGCTTATTGTGACCTTCGCAGCACTACCTCTATGTTGTGTGTTAATATTAAGTCAATGGGCTGCATATTGAGCGTTCAGTCTTCAGTGACCCACATATACACTAAGGATGTTATACTGAATCATTAGCTTAGTGAATACTATGATCAGTAAAAATTCTCTAGTTCTGTAGTAAATCAACACCATCAAGTAGTACCATCAGGACATGTAAACTTCAACACAACCTCTATCACAACTGAAGCCACAAAGCATTGAACAGGAAGTTTTAATATGTTAGTCATTTTATCTCTTCATTACAGTTATTAAGTTTTTCAATTACATTTTTTGGGTAGTCATTTATGCCATAGGGATAGTACCTGCATTGTCTTATCCTGCTGCACATAGCCAGTATAAATTTGTATTTTAATCCTTATACTTGTTAGTTGTTTCCTATAATATAATGATTTTATAAAACAGATAAAAATTAAAGCCCATTTATTTAGTAAAGATTTCTTTTTTCTGGGTCAGTGAAACTTTGTTGATTTTAAGCACCCAAGCAACTTTGCTGAAACACACACATACAGAAAATAATCCTTCATTTTGACTTCCTCTTTGAACAAACACAGGCCACCGCTTTAGTAAACTACCCCTATTTTTTCAGGGATTCCTGGGTTTGGGGTACTCTAACTTTATATGGAAGAAATTCAGGTTTAAATTTTTATTACATAATTCCAAAACAAGTTTGGTTGACCAAGCTCTCATTTACCTAGGTGATTTTGTATTTTTATAGCTGTGGCTTTTATTAAAATGTTTAATTCACTGTTCCTTGTAACATTCTTAATGTTGTCTGTTTTTGTAGTTGTGAAATCTGTACCCAGCTTTTGTGTGATGCTTTCTATGCTTTATTTGTGTCTTTGGCATCAGCATCATGTAAGTGACTTTAAAAGAGCATGAAGCTGATTCGGTGTTAGTGCAGTTTGTATCTTCCAGGGGATGTTCTGCATGCCATTATACATGCAGTTACACTAAAGTTACTCTTTGTGTACACATTTATCCAGAGGTTAATGAGTTAAGAATGCCATTCTCTAATATTAGACCACATGCTATATTAAGGTTCCTGTTTTATGACTTTACTATTTTACCCATATTAAACTGTTTTATGTTTATTGCATTTAAATGTGGTCTTTTGAGACTTTATAGTCTCCCTGGAAGCTGCATAGATGCTAATTGCTAATGGTTTCATTCTCTGGCTTGTCCTTCCATCCCACCTTCCCAAACCCAACACTACTGCTGATGTGTATATGTGTGAACCGACCAGCCTGCGATCCTTCAGTTCAGACAGGTCCCACACGATGAGCCATTCGCATACCTCAGAGGCAGTGCCATGATAGATGATACTGTTATCATACCCCAGGAGCAGGTGGGTACATTTACTGCTTTTATAATTTTTTTTGCATTGCTCATATAATAAGTAATATGTTTTGAAATTATAAATGAAGAATGGTGATTTTAATTAAGTATATGCTTGTTGTAATGTATTTGAAATCACTATCACATTTTACAGACCTGCCTTCTTTACTATTTAAAGTGGTTGTAAAGCTCATTTATGGAATATGAGCAAAGCACAAATATCTGTAGTGTATACTTGTCTCTCTGCAAAGCTCTAAGTGTAATTTCTCTCTGGTGCTTCACTCTTCTGTTATCAGCACAAGTCACTTCTGATAAGTTTTCCCCACATACAAGATAAATTTGTGTCTGGGAGGAGGGAGGAGGGGGCTCAGCAAAGAGCTTATCTATTCACAACATAGCCCCTGTGTGTTATATGTGTGTGTGGGGGGGAGGGTCCCTTTCTTCCAATCAGCTAACACAGAGCTCAAACTGCAGCTTCCTGCCCCCACCTCTGTGATGCTGACCTAAAATTTTACCTAAAATCAGAACTTTTGAAGGTATGTAAAAAAGAGAAAACTGCAGATAAACAAGTAACACTTATGTAGGAGAATTTGTTTCATCTCTGTGTATCACCTGGCCAGTCACTTCACTAGGTTTATGTGAGGGTTTGCCACTTACTTTCTTACTTTAAATTCTCACTTTCATTTGTATTAATGCATTCTTCTCACTAGGGGACAAAATAAATGTAGTACTTTGTCCCACCTTCCTATGTGCTGTCTAAAGCTAGCTGTGAGGTTGAGACAGGGTGACCCCCTCCTCTCTCCACTGCTGTCCGACAATACAGCTAGCAAGGAGACAGCTGGTTTGACAAACAGCACTTTTCTCTGTCTCCAAACACTTTCCCGCTTGCCTGGATCATTTTAGCTGACAAGCCCCCCATTTCTTGTGAGACATTTGTATAGGCAAAAATCCCATCAGTCACAGCAGCCACCTCCTTGCTAGTTTGGTGACCATGGAAGGAGGAAAGGCACACTGTCTGACCTCACAGCTAGCACTTAGGATAATGAGACAAGGTACTGCACTTACTTTGTCCCCGGGGAACAGATCACATTAGTAAAAACTGAAGTTAGGTTTCTTCTTTAACATAAACCTGTATTAAGTGAAATACATCTGCAAATTGGGTGGGGAGTAGCACCAGATCTGAAAAAGTTTCCATTGTTTGATATTGTAGCTTTCAAACATAAGTGTGGTTATTAGGCCTTTTCTTAAGTGACAACTGCACCTTTGATTTAAAATCAATATTTTAATGGATTTAGCATAATTCTGTTGCTAAAATCAGCCTAAATAGTGGCTGCTGACAATGTAAGTAACTGACCATACATGCTCCTTTGGGGGAGTGTACAGGAAGTACTATCCTGTACTCTACATCATTCAATGCATCTGAGAAGCCAGCCAACCAATGTGCTAACTAGTGGGGAGGAAGGATGAACAGAGGGGGTGCCAGTTAGTTGAAACTTAGAAATTCATGTATGCTTACTGGGTGGGCCGTGTTTGTAATGATGAGGAGGGATGGGGGAGTGTATCGCACTATTGTTCAGTGCTGGTGGTGAGCTTGTGAATGCTGTACATCACATGGCTAACAGGTGGGTAGGACAAACAGAGGGGAGAGGATGGGGAGTGAGTTTCCTCTGATACATTAAATGCTGGAATCTTTTAGACCACAGGATATTACTTCCTGCATATCTGTTCCTCCAAAGGAGCCTAGATGGTCACTTAGTGATGATGTCAGCTCAGTGGGCACCATTTTTGTTGATATAGCAGCAGAATTAATTTAGGCAGGCCATGGCAAAATCTAAGTTTATATGGTAAATAGGTAAAGTATTTATACTGCTAATTTAATGTGTGCTAGCCTCTTGATTTTTAAAACAAATCTGAAGTTGTCTTTATGGCAGAATTTTCCTGTAAGACCTTGGATAAATATCAGTTGTAGTACATCAAAGCTCTATGGGGACTGCCATTGCTGGATACTTGGCACTTTTTGTGAGCAAAGGTTTCAGTACGTTCAGAGTTGACCTGCAAGAAATATAATAATTAGCAAAGTCTGAAGAAAACATTATGTCCTTATCTGCAAACTTGATACATACCAGTTGTTTAGGCACTGAAGCAAGAGGAACAGCATGACAACAAGGTAATTAGAACATTCAGTAGAGCTGGGCTAGGCAGCTTTTATGTTCCCTTCATGGCAGGGAGAGATGGGGGGATCTCTCACAGATAAAACTACGTTGTGGGATATGAGCTCTTTGTAGTTTGAGTTATGTGCTGCCAGAATCCATTGCCATCACAACATGGTAGATGGCAGCACATACAATAAAGGCCACCTTCACACTATGCTCGAATTTACTACTATATATATATATATATATATATATATAATTATGGATTAAACATAGCAACATGTTTTTTCAAAACATTAGCATATACTGATGAATATTTACATCAAGCTGTTAGGCCCATACATTCACTTTAAGTTATACTGGTGCAGAAGCCATTAAATTAAATGAGCTCTAGGTTTCAGAATCTGTTTGGCAGCTTTATATTTACATTTCATGTGCCATGAAATACACATTAAGGTCTGACAATGCTGGCAGACTGGGAGTGCAAGCAGGAATACGCCAAAAGCAGAGTGCATAAAGTTCAGGTTTCCTTTCATCAGGGCTTGATACTGTTTAACTAAGTGTATACTAGAGTAATAGAGTTGTAGGAATCTTGCAAGGTATTAATATGATACCTCCAGATGCTAGCAAGATCAAGATCCCCTCAAGATCCAGTACCCCACACCTTTCTTCTACTTCCTGAGCCCTAAATATTTACTACTTCTCGAACCCTAAATATTTAGCCAAAATGCTCTGAGTTAAAATTGTGTATATAGAGATGCATCTCAATAAATTAGAATATCATCAAAAAGTTAATTTATTTCAGTAATTCAATTCAAAACATGAGACTTATACACTACATAGATTCATTACACACAAAGTGATATATTTCAAACATTTCTTTATTTTATTTTGATGATTATGGCTTATAGCTAGTGAAAATCCAAAATTCAGTATCTCAGAAAATTAGAATATTGTGAAAAAGTTCAATATTGTAAACTCATGGTGTCACATTCTAATCAGTTAATTAACTCAAAACACCTCTAAAGATTTCCTGAGCCTTTGAATGGTCTCTCAGTTTGGTTCAGTAGGTTACACAATCACGGGGAAGACTGCTGACTTGATAGGTGTCCAGAAGATAGTCATTGACACCTTCCACAAGGAGAGAAATTCACAAAAGGTCATTGCTAAAGAAGCTGGCTGTTCACAGAGTGCTGTATCCAAGCATATTATTGGAAAGTTGAGTGGAAGGAAAAAGTGTTGAGTCTTGAGCCTGAGCAGAAGAGTATGCACTAGCAATAGGGATAACCGCTGCCTTGAGAGGATTGTGAAGCAAAGGCCATTCAAGAATTTGGGAGAGATTCACAAGGAGTGGACTGCGGCTGGTGTCAGTTCTTCGAGAGCCACCACACACAGACGTATCCAGGGTATGAGCTACAACTGTTGCATTCCTTGTCTACCTGGGCTAAGGAGAAAAATGACTGGACTTGCTCAGTGGTCCGAAGTCCTCTTTTCGGATTAATGTAAATTTTTCATTTCATTTGGAAATCAAGGTCCCAGAGTCTGGAGGAAGAGTGGAGAGGTGCAGATCCCAACTTGCATGAGGTCCATTGTGAAGTTTCCATAGTCAGTGATGATTTGGGGAGCCATGTTATCTGCTGGTGTTGGTCCACTGTGTTTTATCAAGTCTAAAGTCAGCACAGCCCTCTACCTGGAAATTCTAGAGCACATGTTTTCCTCTGTTGACCAGCTTTATGGAGATGCTAATTTCATTTTCCAGCAGGACTTGCCAAAAGTACCAATACCTGGTTTAGTGATCATGGTACCACTGTGCTTAATTGGCCAGCAAACTCGTCTGACCTAAACCCCTTAGAGAATCTGTATGGTACTGTCAAGAGAAAAATTAAAGACACCAGACCCAACAATGCAGATGAGCTGAAGGTCGCTATCGAAGCAACATGGGCTTTTATAACACCTCAGAAGTGCCACAGGCTGATCACCTCCATGCCACACCACATTGATGCTGTAATTCATGCAAAAGGAGCCCCAACCAAGTACTGAGTGCATACTATACTGTACATGGACATATGTTTCAGTAAGCCAACATTTCTGTATTAAAATCCTTTTTTTTATTGGTCTTATGTAATATTCTGATTTTTGGAGATACTGAATTTTGGGTTTTAAATAGCTATAAGCCATAATCATCAAAATTAAAAGAAAGAAATGCTTGAAATATATCACTCTGTGTGTAATGAATCTATATAATATAAGTTTCACTTTTTGAAATTGTTTCTGAAATAAATTAACTTTTTGATGATATTCTAATCTGTTGAGATCCACCTGTATACACAACGCAATGTTTTTGGCAGGTTGAAAACATTATGTAAATTAATAATGCTTTCAGAAATAGAAGTGTTCATAGTTTATTTTTATCAATTAACAAAATGGAATCTAAATGAACAAAAGAGAAATCCAAACCAAATCAATATTTGGTGTGACCACCCTTTGTCTTCAAAACAGCATCAATTCTTCAAATCTTCTAGGTACTGCTTGTACCCAGTTTTTGAAGGAACTCAGCAGGTAGGTTGTTCCAAACGTCTTGGAGAACTATCCACAGACCTTCTGTGGATGTAGGCTCTCTCAAATCCTTCTGTCTCTTCATGCAATTCCGGACAGACTTCATGATGTTGAGATCAGGGCTCTGTGGTTCCCAAACCATCACTTTCAGGACTCCTTGTTCTTCTTTACACTGAAGATACTTCTTAATGACATGGACTGTATGTGTGGGGCCGTTGTCCTGCTGCAGAATAAATTTGGGGCCAGTCACACACCTCCTTGATGGTATTGCCGGATGGATACATTTCTGTCTGTATTTCTCAGCACAACGTTGACCAAATCTCCAACTCCATTTGCAGAAATGCAGCCCCAAACATGTAAGGAACCTCCACCATGCTTCACTCTTGCCTGTAGACACTCATTATTGTACTGCTTTCCAGCCCTTTGGGAAACAACTGCCACCTGCTACAATCAAATATTTCAAAATTTGACTCATCAGTCCAGAGCAGCTGCTGTCATTTTTCCTGTACCCCCGTTCCTATGTTTTCCTGCATAGTTAAGTTGCATAGCCTTTTTTCAATGTTGGAGGTATGGCTTTTTGGCCACAGTTCTTCCATGAAGATCATTCTAGCCTGACTTTTGATGTGTGTACCTGGGTCCCACTCGTGTTCACCAGTTATGTGCTGATGGCACTGCTGGACATCTGCAATGTCGAAGGGAAGTAAGCATGATGTTGTAATGGATGTGCGCATGAGGCACATGAAAGCTGCAGGCGACATCCATCTTATTCAGGTCACAAGCCTTCCATGGCATTTTGTCAGAAGATTGAAATGGCCACAGTGAGCTTTTTCCTCTCTCTTCTCCCACCTACTTTCAGCTTTACAATCCACAAAATCTTAGTTGCTAGCAGCAGATGCCTCTTATCAACCTGGCAATAGGATCAGCAGAATATACATCCCAATATACATTGCAGAGCCCATAAAAGTGTCTGACATAGCCACTTCAATTACCAGAAAGTTACCAAACATTGGGTCATAAATACCTTAGTTGGAAGCCAGGAGAATACACATCCCTGATGGACTAGCCATAAAACAATGTATGCAGCGCTAATAAGTATAGAACACATTCACATGAATGAATAAGACAATAAATAGGCATATATAAATAAATAAATGAAATCAAGCCGCATGAAGTGCAAGAAGGCGTAACTGATGTGAAAGAGTCAATAAAGTTAGTATAGCAAGATAATCCTGACTCCTGTGATGGTGGAAATAGGTGTAGATTGCACTAACCAGATAGCAGAAGTGCTTGCGCATGGAGTAAATAAGACCTACTCCTGGTTCTCTGGATCTGGAACACTTGTAGTGGTAGTGGTCATCTGTATAACAGCCACAAGGTGTCATGCATCATGAATCCAGGGATAGCCTCAGGCAGTACCAATATCAGCCACCAGGGGGATCATCCAAGATACTATACATCAATATGGCAGGAGTCAGGAATCACCTTCAGAAAAGGGGGGGCTCCAATGCAAAAAAGGGGAGCCCCAGACAAAGCCTCTGATAGTGTAGTATTTTCTTTAATGGTGGAAATGCACATATAACATAAAAACACACTTACATTGATATTCCAAAATGGCCACCGGCCGTCTGTTACAGGCCATGCAGTCTGGTATAGCAGATAAAGGGCACCTCTGTGACGCGTTTCATGTACAGGACACATTATCAAAGCCCTTTGATAACGTGTGGAAACTTAAAGAGTTAATTGCTTAATTAACGTAACTCAGTGACAATCTCTCTCAGGCTCTAGCATCTAGATTGTGGTTCCATGAGCTGTGTAATCTTTGTGCAGGGTGCAGCTGAGGGTGGCATTATTACGTAAGTGACAGCACGGTGTGAGTTTGGCCTGTCCTTTGTCTTGAGTTAGTGAGAAAGGCAGGGGTCAGGCACCACGTTAGGCACAGATGTACCTTTCATCTGCTGCATTGTTTTCTTACCATTGCATGTATGGTCCTTAACCTTGGCTGTTTCTTTGTGCTTCTTCAAAAGAACTTGAACAGCACATCTTGAAACCCCAGTCTGCTTTGAAATCTTTGCCTGAGAGAGACCTTGCTGATGCAGTACAACTACCATGTGTATTATTGCTGTGCTCAGCCTTGTCATGGTGTATGACTTGTGACAGGAATATGTCTTCCCCAACCTCACCTTAGTAGCAGAGTTTGGCTGTTCCTCACCCAGTTTTAAGCTTCCTAGCCAGCTGTTTCTGCTTCAGTTAAAGACTGTGTTTCTACCTACTTATGAAATTGATGATCATTAGCACCTGCTTGGTATAATTGGTTAATTATACACCTGAATCTAATCCTACAAAATCCCCGACCATTGTGGGAAGAGTGCAGTTGTAAGAATTGATACTGGTTTGAAGCCAAAGGGTAGTCACACCAAATATTTGCATTTTGTAAAGTTATAAAAATAAACAATTAAAATATATTTTTTTTGAAATCATTCTTACTTTACAGCATTTCTCCACACCTGCCTAAAACTTTGCCCATATATATGCATACACTGCTCAAAAACATTAAAGGAACACTTTTTCCTATAGCATCAAGTCAATTAAACACCTGGGATATTGATCTGGTCAGTTAAGTAGCAGAGGGGGTAGTTAATCAGTTTCAGCAGCTTTGGTGTTAATGTAATTAACAACAGGTGCACTAGATGGGCAACAATGAGGCGATCCCCAAAACAGGAATGGTTTTACAGGTGGAAGCCACCGACATATTTTTCCCTACTCATCTTTTCAGACTGTTTTTCACTAGTTTTGCATTTGGCTAGGGGCAGTGTCACTACTGGTAGCATGAGGCGATACCTGGACCCTACTGAGGTTGCACAGGCAGTCCAACTCCTCCAGGATGGCACATAAATATGTGCCATTGCCAGGTTTGCTGTGTCTCACAGCACAGTCTCAAGAGCATGGAGAATATTCCAGGAGACAGGCAGTTACTCTAGGAGAGCTGTACAGGCTGTAGAAAGTCCTTAACCCATCAGCAGGACCGGTATCTGCTCCTTTGTGCAAGGATGAACGCTATCAGAGCCCTACAAAATGACCTCCAGCAGGCCACTGGTGTGTCCAACTCCTCCTGAATGGTACTATGAAAATGACAATACGTGCCATTGCCAGAAGATTTGCTGTGTCTCCCATCACTGTCACAAGAACATGGAGGAGATTCCAGGAGACAGGCAGTTACTCCAGCAGAGATGGGCAGGGCCGTAGAAGGTCCTTAACCCATGAGCAGGATCAGTATCTGCTCCTTTGTGCAAGGAGGAACAGGATGAGCACTGCCAGAGCCTTGTAAAATGACCTCCAGCAGGCCACTGGTGTGAATATCTCTGACCAAACAATCAGAAACAGGCTTCATGAAGGTGGCCTGAGGGCCCAATGTCCTCTAGTGGGCCCTGTGCTCACTGCCTGGCACTATAGAGCTCGATTGGCATTTGCCATTGAATACCAGAATTGGCAGATCCGCCACTGGCGCCCTGTGCTTTTCACAGATGAGAGCAGGGTCACCCTGAGCACATGTGACAAACGTGAAAGGGTCTGGAGAAGCCATGGAGAATGTTATGCTGCCTGTGACATCGTTCAGCATGAACATTGTGATGGTGAGCCAGTGATGGTCTGGGGAAGCATATCCATGGAGGGACACACAGACCTCTACAGGCTAGACAATTGCACCCTGTCTGCCATTAGGTATCGGGATGAATTCCTTGGACCCATTGCCAGACCCTATGCTGGCGCAGCGGGTTTTGAGTTCCTCCTGGCCTCATGTGGCAAGAGTATGCAGGCAGTTCCTGGAGGATGAAGTAATTAACACCAATGAATGGCCCCCATTCTCGCCTGACTTGAATCCAATAGAACACCTCTGGGATATAATGTTTCGGAACATCTGACGCCACCAGGTTGCGCCTCAGACTGTCCAGGAGCTCAGTGATGTCCTGGTCCAGATCTGGGAGGAAATACCCCAGGACACCATTTGTTGTCTCATTAGGAGCATGCCCCGACATTGTCAGGCATGCATACAAGCACGTGGGGATCATACAAACTACTGAGTACCATTTTGAGTTGCTGCAATAAAATTTCAGTAAAATTGACTAGCCTGCTGCATAATTTTTTTACTTTGATTTTTGAGGTGTCTTTGAATTCAGTCTTCTGCAGGTTGATAATTTTCATTTCCATCAAACGATGGGGCATCCTTATGTTCCTAACACATTACTCAGTCCATATCAGTATAGATATCCAGCATGATATTTTTCACCATTGAGATCTGATGTGTTTTCAAAGTGTTCCTTTAATTTTTTTGAGCAGTGTGTGTGTATATATATATATATATATATATATATATATATATATATATATATATATATTTTTTTTTATGAAAGCAGTGTAAGTCCATAAATATGCTCTGGTCTTATCTGGTATAAACTCCTGTACAGTAGGACTCCAACTGAAGAAGAGGGAAGGAGCAATACAAAGAGCTGGTCAGCTATGCTGCAGGGCTTATGTGCTAACAATGGATTTGCTGATAGGAAGGGCAGAATGACAGAGATAAGCTAATCAGTCTTCTGCTTCTCCTTACACTGTCCACTCACAGGTTGAGGGGAGGGGCAAAACCTGTATGTTTTACTTCCCTGCCTCAGGTGTGGCACAGCCATGTAACAGTTAGGACTGGATGGACAGAAATACAAATCCTTTGGCAGGATTTAACAGCCCTATATGTATTTCATCTCTGCATTTAACTGCATGCCTGGAGTTCAGTTTTATGCTATTCATATTTACCAGGGTATTGTTTCTTACTGATCTTCTTATATAATATTGGCAATGCCATTTTTATTTTGTGTTTCACCCTTCTCTGTTTAAACCATTGTGTATGCTCCTTTGTATGTTTAGTATGTTTACAAATTGGAACTTTATTTTTAAAAGTAGGACTATAGCCCAAACCTTTTTTTTTTGTTAGTGTTGGATAAACTGGGGAAAGGTTTGAATCATTGCAACCATGTAAGCTATTTTCTTTATTGCTGTTTGTTCTGTTGATGAGATTCCCCATCATTTTGTATTCCTGGTGACCACACAAGTAATTTGGGAAATTCGCGTTCAGTGATACAGACAACAACCAAGATCTGACAGGTTCAGCCTCTACCTAAAATTTAAGTAAAGTTAGTAAAAGTAAAGTTAACTGTATAAGTTGTCCATACAAAATAAGTTTTTTTTTATAGTTCCTTATATCATTCTTTATTGTAGGTTTCATACTTGACAAGAGCAGAGCAGAACACTTATCGGCTAAGCTGGGGAAACGATAACTTAGACAACGTTGCACTTTCTTCCAGTCCAATCCATTCTGGGTGAGTATACCTCATATAGTGTGATTAGCCTAGGGCTATCACTGAGTATTTTAAGTGGGACAGTAATATTCTTTATGGATGACAGAACAATACTGTTGTTTGTGCTTGTCACCAGATTTAGTGTGTGAATTCTGTATTGTGAAGGTAGAGATTTAACTAGACTGTCACCAGGAGGTGGCAGTCTAGTTAAACAAAAAAAAAAAAATATATTCTCCTATGTCAGATGCAATTATTATTCACACTTGACTCACCCTGCATATGGGATTGTGAGTGACACTGTGTGATGTATGCATATTCTTTTAAGATTCTTTATTTTATTTTTTTTCAAGTTTACAGTGAAACATATAAAAATTATACTGGTCATATACATGAAGGAACATCACAAAAAGTTGAATTAAGACAGATCTTATACACCTAAATAGTGAACGCTATGTATGCATCCTTGACATACTAATATATTGTAAGGAAAAGTAATATGATATTTTAAACTCATTTTAGTTAAGGTGAAATCCCTCTATCTTGTGGGCTTACACTGAACATTTTTTGGCCTTACAATGGATAAATCTTATATCACATTGGCACGGTTATTTCAACCAACAGGGCAAAGAGTAAAGTGTACTCATGAATGCCAAACAATAAAATGACATTAGTCAGACTGTAGGTCTCCTCTTGAGTGACTTTGCTTTGTATGTCAGATTTTCTTGCTGCATCGACTAGCTGAAGAAGCCTGCAAATGTGAGCACAACTGCAATGGCAGCATTTATCAGGCTAGTACAAAATGGGGTTGATTTACTAAAACTGGAGAGTGCAAAATCTGGTGCAGCTGTGCATGGTAGCCAATCAGCTTCTAACTGCAGGTTGTTTAATTAAGATTTGACAAAAAAAACCCTGGAAACGGATTGGTTTCTATGTAGAGCTGCTCCGGATTTTGCCCGCTTCAGTTTTAGTAAATCTACCCCAATGTGTTCTTAGTTCACATTATTATTTGAATACAGAAATTCTTTTATGAATGTATTTTATATAAGGTTATGTCAGTGTGTAAGTTGCTTTTGTTTGTACCCAAGCTTAAGCTATGTAGATTCACAAATATGAGGTGTGTTCTTACATGCGTGTTAATGTGTCATATCATACGTTAACATGCTTTGCAGTAAGGCAGCCCATTCTTTTTTGAATGGATTGTCAATGCCTCACAATAGACCTTTTAACGTACATGCCACTTTTTTAAAACAAAAAAATAATAGATGTTTTACATCTTTGTGTTGTGGTGGGCTAAAATACAGGTCCATTGTGGTGCTTTGGGAATGTGTGTTGGGATGTTATTCAAAATGAATATCAGGGCAACATCACACTATAGTTCACACATCACCACAAAGTTGTGAATCTGTCTTTAATGTTTTGAGTGATGGTGACACAACCCACTTTGAGAGTATATGTATTAGAGCTTTGGATACGTGGGTGACTTGAATCTTGTTCCTGAAAAATGTAACCACTTGTTGAAATTCACTTTATTTGCAGCATGCTGCCAATTACATGGTTGTTAACAAGTGGTTAAATATCTCAGAAACTGAAAACCATATAAAATTTCACACTATACTATCAAAGTATTAGTTGTTTAATGTAATACCAGTTTACTATGGGATTATATTATACCCTATTAATAAATAAAATATATAAATGAATCATAAAGTGCAAATATTTCATCCTCAAAAGTGTTAATATCTTCATGCAAATATAAACATAAACAATATGAAATAATCAATACTAAATAATGACTATAAATCTAGCACCAACGATTTTCTTACATGTGTAATGTGAAATCTTCTGTATGTCAACACAGCTATGAAAATAATGTTTATCCAATCATGTGCAGATGAAATTAGTAAGCAAGCATTTTCTTTTCACGTAATTGGATAACCGACGTGATTGTCACACATTTTATTGTATGAACATTTTCAAATATTTTAGTAAATAAGCCTTAAACTGAATTCCAAAGTCTTCAACCAAGGTTCAAATATCCTCCGCCTTTGCTCTCACCAAGGTTTATATGCATGCCAGGTATGAAAGACCATTCTCCTAAATTAGGTAAAATTTCTGCTAAATCTTTTGAAACAGAATTTCCATCGAAATCAAAACAATTATTTATGATCAATACAGTTTTTTCTTATAGCATGCCACGTTGGATGGAACTCATTCAGCACATACATCAATCACTCTGGTTGACGGCTTTGGAACACAGTTTTTTTATTGCTATGTGGACAAAGAAGATGTCACATAACACAACATGTATGAAAATAATTGGAGGTTTAGGCCCCATTCACACCTGTGTGTTCTGGGAACGGGCACAGAAATCCAAGTTTCTGCATGCATTCCCAGAAGGCACAAAAACGGGCTAAAATGTGCAATGTGCTTGCACTTCCATTTATTTTAATTCTTAATGGCACCCCAAACGCAGCTAGTAATCACATGGTAAAAATCATGTAAGAGGCTTGCCACCCCAAAAAAAGGGGAAGGAACTACTTTGGCAAGTTTGTCACATGTAGGGTAGCCCATTCAAATGAATGGGCTGCCCTAAGCTGTTGTGTGACAAATATGCAAAAAAGTGCATAAATGCAACACCCAGGTTTGAATGGGGCCTTAAGAATTGGATCTGTACACTTAATTTCATATTGATTACATTATTTTGTTTCTGTATGGTGTTATTTGCAGTTTTCATGCTGGGTATTTTTTGCATTTTTTATGGGTCTGTTCATGAATGCTTTTACACAAGATTCACACAACTTTTACACAGGATTCATGCATATTCTAATTGGATATATGTGAATTTTGGGTGAAAGCTGCGTGAATCATGTGTGAAAACATTGATGAATAGACCACCATATCATGGGTCAGACATAATATTATGACCATCCATTGTATAAATCTCTCATTAGCAAACATTCTCCCATGTAGCCCTAGCCAGATTTCATAAGTATTTCTTGACTTCTTTCTCTTTCCTTTTTCTGTGCTTTCTCACTGCTAAATAATCTGTTCTGTTGCAGCCACATATCTCCTTGTCTTGAGAGAGACCACAGCAGGTGATCCTAAACTTTGTGTTCAATATGTGATTGCGTTGCTTTCATATTGTTTTCAGTAACTCACATCAGGATGCTTTAGTGTGTTTACCCCAACTAATCACCTAAAATATGAAATAATACAGCATAATTACAGTTATCATGCAATAATTACACAGTTCATGTGTAAATACGCTTTCACGTACACCTTGTAAGCATTTTCAAAAGCTGGATGAGTCCATCAGAATAATGCAGATGCATGTGCAGGGCTCCGACAACAGATAAAAATGCCAGGGAAGCAGAAAATAAAGGAATGATATCTGCAAATCACAAGGCTTCTACATAATGCAAAAATATGATCCTGACAGATTATATATTTATCAGGTTTGCCTTATATTAAAATTTATTTTTTCATACTTACCTTACTAGCTGGGTGTTTCTTCATAGTTACCTGTTATCTTCATATCAACATAGCAGCTTACACGTAAACATATTATAAAAATAAGGGTTAGGGTTAAAGTTTCAGGTGTCCTTTAATAAAAGCTACTTCTAATTGAAATGATGCATGAAGCCATTTTTAATAGAAGTAGATGTAAGTATAATTTAATGCTGAAAACTACTAAAACAGCTAAATGCATAAGGCAGCTTTTTACCTGCTAAAGGATTTGTGCAGTATTTCTGTCCAACCAGTCCTGAGATTTACAGAGCACTGCCAGACATCATAGTTAGTCTGGTGCCCTACCTGTTCTCTGCTGTAGTATTATATAATATAGGTAGGTCTTGGACCCTGTCCCTAGTCCATAACTGGACAGTACAAATGAGAAGTGGCAGAGTGATGAGTTCACCTCTGTCATTCTGCTCTCTTCTCTTATCAGTATTTTCCTTGCTAGCACATGAGCACTGCAGTACAAAATATTTGCTCCATGTGCTGCTTCTCCCTCTCTGTTTGAGCTCTGCTATACATACAGTGTATTGTAGGAGGCTAATACAAAAGAAAAAAAAAAATATTAATAATATTAAAGTGTTACTAAACCCACAACAGTAAAATCAGTCTGTATATGCAGTAAAGCATGCTTTTTGTTGGAACCTATCAGGCTAATCCTCTGCATTGAGTAAAAAGGCTGTTTAATCCTGTCTTATCTTCTTATCTGATCCTCCCCTTCTTCTACTGTCTCCAATCCATCTGCTGATACTACACAGCTCTAGGAGTCACTCTGCACATGCTCATTTTGGTGTGTATTGTTAGAGAGGTTTTTTTTTTTCTTTGGGAGAGTGTATGTGATCAGCACAGGCAATCAATCAGCACTGTCCAGTCAAAGGGTCAGGGGTTATGCAGCCCCATAGGACAGTTAGAGCAGAATAAAAAATCCTCCTACATGATTAACCAGTGCTCTGCTGGACACTGATAGAATTCTGCTATATACTGCTGATTTATTTATTTACTAAAATAATTTCACTTCCATGTTCTGTGTACAGAGGGAGACCAGATATAGTGAATGCAGGGTTTGGGGTTTAGTAACACTTTAAATGAACTCAAATAAATTAGATTTATTTATTTATTTATTTTTTGCATTGGAGCCTGCAGAGCATTGCAGCTGCGATCAGTGGATCACAAGTGCCGTGCACAGGCTCCTGCAGACTTTTCTTTCAGTCACTGGTCCATGTCAAGTTACGGACCTTTGGTTATGCAGCTGGAAGAAGTGTCAATAGACTACAAGTGTGGTGACATACTGTGATCCATTGATCCCTCTACAGCAGTGGTAGATGAGACTTGTTGTCTCTCCATTCACAGATGCACCAAATTAAAACAAATGACAGGGACAGCAGGGGAAGAAGAACCCTGGATTCAGTAAGGTGGGTGGACTGAGGGGTGGTAGTGATTTTAATGGTATACTGATGAATTTACAAAGCTTTGTGTCTTTTTTAGCTGCCTGGAGTTCATTATTAACAGTAGCCTGATGGTTTTATGGTATGTAATGCCATCAGACCTGGCAATCACCAGATGACAGATTGTATCATGCCCAGTATATTTTATTGGCAGTGGGGTGTGCCCAAAATTCAATATGCACTCTTTTAGTGTATTTGGGCAAATTTCAGAGGTGATCACAACTTTATTGCTAGTAATGCGCTTACAGTTTAATTAAATACTATTTTTAAAAAAAAAAATTAATCCGCTTGTTGCATTAGGCAAACCTTGTTTGCTGAATATTTTTGGCAACATGGAACTAGTCACTTGGACAATGTAGGCTTAAGGTGCTGTCAATCAACTTGCTAGCAGGATGCAGTAGCTGTAGTGGCCTGCCACTGTAGGCTTCTGTTGCTGTCTGTATGTGTGGATGCACGCAGCATAGGGACACTCAGTTTTAGTCCTGGCTGGGAACACACACACATAGAATGGGACCGTGCAAGGGGATGGAGGAACGGGTGAAGATTCCCTTTAACGCAGATAGAATGCAAAACAACTAGAGGCTTTATAAGAATAATACACAGCAAACCTAATAAGTTCTGAGGTCTGCAGCACTATAGGCTTTTTTCTTACATTTTGGGTTTATAAACACTTTAAACCTAGATTCACACTAAATAGCACAGGAAGCATGCTGCATTCCTGTGTAATGCACATGCGATTCAGTGCGGTGCGATTTGAGCTAATTCATTTTGAGCCTAGATTCACACTGTGAACCGCATTTGAATGGTACAAGAATTGCACTGCAGTCTTGTGCAAATCACATTGCAGGGTAATATGAGCCTATTCATTGTGAATGGTTCTAATCATACTGCATCTGCATCAAAAAGTTGTGGACAACTTTTTTTTTTTTAATTCGTGCTGGAACCAGATCACACTGCATTTGCAACCTGCTTTTGGGGTGTTGTTAACTTTTAATTGACCCCCTCAGAAGATGGTAGAACACAGTGTGATTGCTATGCGGTATGGAAAATGCACAGGAATTGCTGCGTTTCCTGCACCACATCAGTGTGAATCAGGGCTGAATAGGCTCAAATCACATAAATTTTACAAACACACATTTTGCATCATGCAATCTAGTGCAGGCAAATGCACTGCATTTGTGACCTGCGTTTGGGGTTTAGTTAACATGGCACTGACACTCTCTGCCGATTGCAAGGGCACTGCAATTTGAACAGGAAACATACACTGATTGCAGGTTTCCTGCACTACTTTCTAGTGTGAACCAGTCTGCAACACAGTTATCTGTACAATTACATACTAAAATATTTTTGCTGTATCTGCTAAAGTTTGTATTGCCTAATAGTAAACACTGAAGCACCCTGATTATTTTATTAAAGAAAAATATCATTTTTGTACTCTGAACTTGTATTGGTATTCAGAAAACAAACCCGTAACAGTCATCTTCATTTAGCATGGAATCATTACTGGAAGATGTGTATGGTACATTTACAATTCTGCCTTTGCTTGGGCAAAGTATTTGCATTTATGTTTTGAATTGATCACAAATGGGCATAATTAATAATCTAGTGTTAAGATCTATGGTGTGTTGTTGATCATAGTAGCCAATCACGTCAGCTTTAAACATCACATTAGCTTTCTGAATGCTAATGTCTGAATTACTTATTTGTTTTTCCTCCATTTTTCTTTGTATTGTTTTTAAATAGCCCCCCATACACACACACACGTAAAAATATAAAGGCGACACTGTATTACTCACATTATAGCAAATCGTTGTTGCTCTGTGGTGAGTTATGTTGGGTGGCCTTTTTCTGTGTTTTTTGTATACAGTAGGATATCAGATTTACAGAATTAGAAGGTAAGAGAAACAGAAAATGGTAGGTTATCTCAATTACCAAACCCAGCATTGTAATAAACTCCTATCATTCAAAGAAAAGATGTGCTTAAAGGAACATAGTGTTATTGCTATCCTCTCCTTCTGAACAATGGAGACACTTTTGAACTGCAGAACTCAGCCTGGGGAAAGGGTAGTGTTAGATGTTAAAGCCTAACTGAAAGTTGACACTTTTTAAGCAGTTAAAGCAACATTATTTTCCAGATTTAGTGGGCAGATCAAGTAAAAATAAAATAAAAAAAGCCTAAAAAACAAAACAAATGCAGCTGTCACATCTAAAAACTGGTAAACTGCAATGTGATACATTTTTTGTGGGGATTTATTACTTGTTTAGGGGCCTGTAACTGATGGCCTTCCTTTGAAAATTTGGCTGGCTGCTATATTGGATTACTGGCTTTAATACCTTGTTAGTCAGCAATCGTAAACATGGTTGCAGTCCTTATATTTACTTGTTCCAAGTCAGTGTTTCCACTTATTGCATAAGGGGGGGGGGAGTCTGCTAGACAGCCAGGAAACTAGCATTTTTTAGGATAAGAGGCTATAGCAGCCTTCAGGACAAGCTCTATGTGATAAATGATGGATTTCCATCTGACATTTTATACTTTGAAAACTGACTTTTCTACATTTTCTTGTCCTGAATTTTGAATATGTTTTGGCTTTGAGTGAAATAGATTGGGAATCTATCACAGATATAGATGTGTTGTGGGAGATTAGCTCTATGTAGTTTTAATCAGGTGCTGCATTCCACTGCATTCTTCTTGCCATTTCAACACAATGGTACAGTAAGCTCCATGAGCAGGGCCCTCCTACTCCTTCTTTTTTGAACTGTGTTGTAATTGCTCTGTCCCACTTTAGGCCCCTTTCACATGAGCAAACCGATCAGGTCCGTTTGCTGTTTTTCAAGCTGACCCGATTGGACGCTCTATTACTTTCTATGGAGCTAAGGATATAAATGGATATGTGTCCATTTACATCAACCTGCATCCAATCCTGTCCGCTAAAATCAAGCGGATTGGGATCCATTCCCCATCCATCTGGCAGATCAGATCAGATGACAGTCAAATGGAAACTGACAGGCAGTCTGTTTCCATCCAACAGCCCATAGAAGACAATGGACAGTGGACCTGTCATCCACTTGCTCAGTGAGGATCAGTGGACAGATCCCCCTCTAAACAAGCGGATCCGAAGACAGGTCGGCCCTGTGTGAAAGGGGCCTTATATTGTAAAGCTCTGCACAAACTGTTGGTGCTATATATATCCTATATACAAAAAATAATCATAATAATTAAGGCACATACATGGAAAGAGGGTTTTTACTGGAGACACTTATTATTGTGCCAGTGTAAACCCACCACAAATTATGCTCAGATTTATTGTGTCACTTTCTGTTCTTGGGACATATATGGACACTGTTTTTTATGCCCTATCATGATGTATAATAATTGGGTGGGACAACTTGATTCTGAGATTTTTCATACTTAGAGAATTTTAGGTTTACTTGCTTAACAGCCAATGACAAATACATTTCTGTGAGGCCAAGACCTGGGGGCCCAAGCTCTGGCCTTATTAGTAATGCATATCTCTTGCCCCCTTATACAGCCATACATCTAATTACTGTTGATGTGTACTGTAACTTATTGGGTTTATTTATGTCATTTTAACTGATAATGAAGAGGGATTAAATTAAATAAATTTTAGATCATGTAGAAAAATTAGTGCATCTGCCACAGCCCTCAGGTGATGTCAGTCCTGGTGTATGCAAAGTGCCGTACTACATCTTTCAAAGTACACATCTGCCACCTCTGTTCTTGGTGATTTACTCTTTTAATAAGGAAATTACTGTTCAGAGGTTGGACATGTTGCAATATGATTCAATTGGGTAGAGTAAAATAAGTTCTAAGTTTTAATACAGCCCATTTGTCTCAATAGTTTATTCTCCTTGCTAAGCAGTATTTTTAACTCTTTGCATTAGCCTATTAGTCAGTCGTCCAGGTAGATTTTTAAAATTGTGTATCAATTTAAATTTTATTTAAAAAAAAAATTAAAAAAACATTTTGATAATGTCATGGACTGTAAACTGCATGCTCAAACTGCTTGCACCTTTTATATGCATTATGGGTGCATGCTCACTTGTCTGTATATGTGTGTGTGAATAAAAAAAAAAAAAAGATATATATATATATATATATATATGTGTGTGTGTGTGCGTATGTGTGTATATATATATATATATATATATATATATATTTACAGTATATATTGGACAAGGAGGTAAATTATTAACCGGCTAGATGTATACATATCCTCTAATCAGCAGCATGCAGACCCACTTTTTGTGTTGCAGATATGTGGATTTTCACAGCTTGTAATTTTCTAATACTGTTGCCTTGCTATCTTTCTATTATAAACTATTTAAAAACACACCTATATAATATTCAGTACACAAAGTAGATTGTCATTTTATTTTGCTTGCTATTTAATTTATAAAATCTATAAATTATAGAATAATACATCTATAAAAATAAATGAAAACATTAAAGCAGAAGTTTGGCCATAAAAAAAGACATTCTATATGACTTTATCAAGCTAACTTACCTTTATTGAAGAATTTCGATGACGGCTGGATCCTGTACAGAGCTTCACTGCAGGGAAATTTCTGTCAATACATTTCTGGTGCTGTGGGGGTTAATAGTTTCATATCTTCTGTGAAGCTGCTGTGAAAAATTTCCCACCAATGAGCATTCTCCTCCTCCACTGAAAAATTATCCGGAAATCTTCTTTTATTGCTTTCACTGCCTGTAACATGATCTGTGAATAGGTAAGTGAATCCTGTTACTTACCAGACTTTTCCTCACAGATTGAGAGGCCAGAAGTGAAAGCAATAAAATAACATTGGTGGCAGAGGGAGGGGGGGAGGGGCGGTTACTCATGGGAACTTTTTCACAGCAGTTTTACAGAAGACCTGAAGGTACTCCTGTAGCTGTGTAAGTTCAGCAGTAGGAAGAGGACCGGGCATCCCTGCAGTGAAGATTTCCACAGGATCCAGCTGCCTGCATGACATGGGACATCTTTCATTACAGGTAAGTTAACTGACTAAGTCAATAGATAATTTTTTATTCTCATGACTAAACCAACTGTAATATTATATGATCATTTGTTGCAGATGTTACCCTTCTGATTTAGAATGTTGTGAAACAAATTACTGACTTTAATTATTGCGTAGTACTTACATACATTTGGGCAGTGATTTAATCTCTTTGGGACTTTGTTTTGTGCTGACTTTTATGGTTATTTTGCTCTTTCTCAGTTTCTTGGTTAGCTTTATGGTGGATGCCCGCGGAGGTGCCATGAGAGGTTGCAGGCACAATGGACTGAGAATAATAATTCCCCCTCGGAAATGCACTGCCCCCACAAGAGTGACCTGCCGTTTGGTGAAGCGACATCGATTGGCCACTATGCCACCTATGGTAGAAGGAGAAGGTCTGGCTAGTCGTCTCATTGAAGTTGGCCCTTCTGGAGCTCAGTTCCTTGGGTAGGTTCAGATGCTAACCATTCATAGCTTAATCTATTTTACATGTCATGCAAATATCCACACTTTCAAAGTGTGCTTATTTATTTTTTTAATCAATGACACTTATGATTGTTTAAGGGTATTGTATAGTAAAATCTCAATTAGATTAGAATATTACTGTCCATATGGAGCTTTCCCAATGACCTTTGCTAAGAGGTAGAGATCAGAGAAAGATTTGCTATGTAAATTAGTATGCAGGAGTTCCTATTGTGTTCACAACAATATCACTGTGACATGTACAATAATGTCAGTGACGATCCTTTGGAACCCTGACAGAGAAGTAAGTGAATGCAGAGAAGAAAAGTTAATAGACCAATGAACACAGTTACTTCAGCCATAAATGTCTACATCAGTTAAACAGTTGAGCAGTCTTTCCTCCAACTATGAGCACACAACATTTGTATAGCACTAGTTTATGTATTTATGCAATAAGCAGACAACCTATGCACCAGCCTTATTGGATAGTAACAATGGTGATATCCTATTGACTTCTACCTTGAAACTGGTCAGCCAGGGGTGTCTTCTCACATCTGACATATTGCTTAGTCAGATAAGAAGATAATATTTACTGTTTGTGACCAACTTTAGTAAATATCAGACCTATAGGAGAAGCATGGTGGAATAGTAACGCAGAGGTAAGTAACATTTAGGCACAAACACTGAAGCAGAATGGTGCAGGAAAGGGTTAATCTTCAAACAAAATTAGGAAATAAACACAGTATTCACTCACATGAACAATGTCCAAGGATAAGCACAGTAACCACGTATCAGCACTGCTAGAGGATGAAGACAGGATGGACTGAAAACTGGCAACCTGTCATTCCTAAAGCCAGAACTGGTGTGCTGATCCTGCTCAGCTGTTAAAGTAAGCAGTATCTCAGGCAGCTGAAGGCACACATAGAAGAGGAAACCTTGAGAAAGGGGGCACGTCCCTGAACACGTTGCCTGCCATCACCATTGATTATCCTCTTCCACGTGTGCCTTCTTCTGCCTGAAACACTGCTTAATTTGACAGCTGAGGAGGTCCAACGCTCCAATGCCAACTTTAGAAATTGCAGGTTGCTGGTTTTACAAGCACTTGAGGTTCCTCCATGTGCCCGCAGCAGCTTCCAAAGCCCTGCTCTGATGGCTTTGGCTTTCTGACAGGCAAACTCTGGCACATTTAGATAGTGTTGGAGTTTTCTGCTACCTCCCCGTTCTTACACATTCCTTTCTCTCATTAATTTGACGGGCTGCCCTGAAGCCAGTAGTAAAGTGCAGGAGGCTGTAAGGAGTTGGCAATCCATGCTGGGGCTTTGCTTGGTATTTGGCCGTAATGGCAGGGGGAGCTCTTTGCAGACAGCTTCAGGTACCTACATTTTACACCCGCATTATTTTTTTTCTGCTAACAGGGTCTCTTTTAAGTTCTAAACTTTTTGAAAGCTGTAGTGTTTGAGTTACATATTGCATTGAAATTTGTATTGGTTTAGTTGACTAGTAAATTGTACTTACAGGGAAATAATGTTTACAATTTGGCTTATTTTTGCTGTGTTTATTTAATTATTGCTTTACTCTGATGTGAAAAGAGATGATAGGTAAGCTATACTAACTGTTTGAAGAATACTGTATACCTAATGCTGCACATACTGTACACACTGTGATATTTTGCAGTGATGTTGAACAGTTTACCCAACATTGTAGCGGGAAAGTTATGCCTTTGGCTTAACTTTTACTGCACAAGTGATTCTCTGTACTGAAGAAAATTATTTTGCTGATTTGTAGAGAGAAAAGCAAAAATATATATAAACAATTTTACTTTATAAAATAGGTTGACACGTGTGCCAACTGCAAAATCTTTACTTGTATAGCAGACTTAGCAACCATTGATTATTTGATTTGTTCATAAGAATCTGGAGTTAATCACCAGATTTGCAATTCAAATGGCATTTACCATTTTATTTTAACTTATTTTGATAAATTTAAGAAGACTCTTTGTTCTGCTTCTTGAGTTCAGTCACACAAAATCCTTTACGATATGGCATAGCAGATACTATGGAAGATTCAATAACTAATAAACATTACACCTTTGTTGCATGACAGAGTGCAGTAAATGAAAACCATTGTACCTTCCTGACCAACAAATAACAAACTCTGTCATCTGGCACTTAACTTTGAATGTCTCCATCTTCCCATGTTTTCATCTTTGCTTCCCATGAATGTTGATGCACACAGTATAGGGGTAAATGAGTGAATAGATAGTTCATAGAGCATTTGCATTGTTTAGATTTGGGTGGAGGGTGGTTAAATCTGCCTCTCATAATGCCCTTGCAAAGAGCTCCCCAGTACCTTCCAGTTCTCTTTTGTGGAGTGCAATATCTGTTTATTCGTATGAAGAATACATACCACAAGAGGAAATGAGAAGTGGACAAAACTGTGTTGACAATGTATTTAGGACACTTGGTTGAACTCTCCACACTGCACCCAAAGCTAAAAAAAGGCACTGGGTAGAGTCTAGCTTTAACCGCATGTGCTAAAAACTATATATCGATATGACATGACATATGTGCTGTGAACAAATGCTACCTTTTATAAATCTACAAATAATTTTTTCTGATAATTTATTCTGTTAGTGCCTTTGACAGATTTGAACATGTAAAACAGATTGAAACGATTGATCCCATGGGCCTACTGAGGTAGTGGGATAGAATACTACTTTGTTTTCCTTTTTACCTTTAGCTGGCATGTAACACACATTTTTCTACTCCCAAACTGTGGCATTTCACCTCTAACACAAGCTGAAATTACTCTTACCTATGTTCTTTCTCCCACTGCTGCTTTGGATGTACTCAGTAAACTCCACCTTCCTACGGCTCCCCCCCCTCTAAATGAGGGAGAAAGCTTGGTCAGCCGAATCCTTCAACTGGGACCTCCTGGAACCAAATTCCTTGGGTAGGAGAGACTTTAGATCAAGTTGATGGATGCCGGCCTCCCTATTCGTCCCTGTTGTTCTCCAACATAATTTATTTATTTCTGTCAGTGATTTTTTTCCATGATCTGTGTGATTTTTTTTTTTCGTTTTATAAATGTGTCCTGATGAGGCATTTTAATCCCTGTGACTGTTTTTGTTTTAGTGCAGTAGTATGTGTGCCTTGTTCTTTTGACTTTTATTGTGAAGTGGTGTTGCTTTTTGCTTGAGCATGTTTTTTTTTTTTAACTAGTGATTGACTTTCAATCTGTGTCAGAGCACACTGGATCACAAGCTTAGACAACATGTTTTTTGTCAATGACGGAAATCCAAGTGCAATTTAACACTGAACGTTATTTAGATGCATGACACGTCACAAAACAACGACACTTTCTGTGTTATATTTAATCAGAATTTTCAACACATACAATTTGTCTAAAACACAGTAAAGCTGCAGTAATAAACTGTCTATAATTTTCTGATGCAGTAAATCTGTTGACTTCACCAATGTTTGTGTGTGTGCTTGCAAATTAGGAACTCTAGGTTTCCTTTGTCCACTAATAAATCACTTGCCTCATTAATTTCTGAATGTATATTGTTATTTAGACCTGTTATTGTGGAGATCCCTCATTTTGCGGCTTTGCGTGGAAATGAGCGTGAACTAGTGATACTGCGCAGCGAGACTGGGGATAATTGGAAAGAACATTTCTGTGAATTTACTGAAGATGAATTGAATGAGATCCTTAATGGAATGGATGAAGGTATTATTGTTATTTACATATATGAATATCATATAATATGTATTAATACTTGGTCAGAGCTTTATGCTGTATCTATGGGGTGTACAGCTAATTTCAGATGCTTTTACACTGAATATTATGATACATGTGGTAATTATACACCTCAGGGGAGTAAGAAAAGCACTCTTACAGTCTCATATGTCTGAGATGACATCAAATAGGCATATTTATATGTTCATATGCGCATTGAGTTTGTGACAGCCTCAATGCTAGTCTCCTCAATAGAGATAAGATGAAAAAGTCCAACCCAAATAACCAAGTATTTCACTAAGAAGAGATAGCTAGCTTGCCACATGGTGTCACATGGTTCCCATACAGATAAGATCATTGCTGATTTAGGCTGGTATGGTTGACAGCCATTTTATGTTTCTGAGTATATTAACTAAGAAAAAATTTGTGAAATGCGTGTTATCTTTTTGAATGTTAAATAGGTAGTGTAAAAAATGCGACTGTATGATGTCTTCCTCACTCAGCGTGTGTGGTCATTAAATTGTATCTCTGCCATCTCTTTGCAGTTCTTGACTCTCCAGAGGAACTGGAAAAGAAGCGCATTTGTCGTATTATCACACGGGACTTTCCGCAGTATTTTGCAGTGGTCTCCCGAGTAAAACAGGACAACAACCTGATTGGACCTGAAGGAGGAATTCTGAGCAGCAATGTGGTACCTCAAGTCCAGGCTGTTTTTCCAGAGGGTGCCCTAACTAAGAGAATTCGTGTTGGCCTTCAGGTATGGAAATGAAAAGATATTACACTTCAAATACTGGCTAACTGACTTTTTAATTGACTTAGTTAGTTTGACATACGTTCAAATCCTGGTCCCTAAGGGTGATTTAAAAAACTCCAGGCTGACTTCCTGAACCTTATTTGGGGTATAAGTGTCACAGACTATTCAACTGTATCCTATGTACACTCAAAACCCTATGGGTACTTGAAAAAAAAACTTGTGGCACTGAACTTCCAGCTCTACTTTTTTGGCATACAGTATTATAACATGGACTGAAATTGAGAAACTCTACCTTGCTCCCATCCATCCTAACTCCATGTTATGGAGCACCTTCTTAACGATTCCCACTTCTAAAATCCTTCCTCCTATGAAGTTCACTCACCATTTCTGGAGAAAAGAAAAACAAAAAAACAAATATCATCTAATGTCTTCATATTCAAATATGACTATATTTGGACCCCAGCTATCCCAGATAGCTTGACTTTACACATAGCTCAAACCTGAATAGACTTGGCCAGCTGACTAATCCCTGCAGCAGGGGCCTGCTTTCTTTCTCTATGCTTACATGATCAATATGAAATTCTTAGGATGGCTTTACTTTATAGCTATATTATGTTTGCTGTTATGCTGATTCCTTGTCAAGGATCTTAACTTTTAGTAGGCGTATCCCCTTTGAGTACATCTACAGGGATGGACCTTCTATGAAAGGTTTTGTTTCAAAAATACACAAAATTTTAGTAGTGATACCTGAAGGTGCTGGAGGTGCAAGTCACAGGTGGGTACCCTCTTTCACGTGTTTTGGACCCATCCAAATATCTTCTCCTGTTGGGAGGAAATTAATACCTTGATACCACACCTAGCAGGCTGCCCTGTCCCCGTTGGATTATCACACACATGCTAGGTCTTCCTAGGATATCCCCAAACCCACTTAAAAGCTTATCAAACACATCTTAGCACCAAGTCAGCATTTCTTAGATTTCAAGTGGAGATTAGCTACCCTTCCCACTAAAGGGGAAATACATAATAGTTTTAAAAAGAATAAAATGACAGTAAAGTTAAAGTACATTTTCTAAATATAAAGAAAGATAAGACTTAACTGCTCTATGCAACAATATTGCACAGAAATGTCACTTTTCTCGTCTTGTTGCAGAGGCACTGAAGGTTTTTACCCTCTTCCGGGTGACTCCTGAAGCACAACAGGTGCTAAAGAAGCACCCATGTGTGCACACTCCTATTGGGTCCTCCACCCAGTTGTGTGCATCCATAGACACACACAGTTTGGAAAGCTGCACCCCTGCTACCGCTTCACAGCAATTTGACTGATGACGGCAGCATCCTATGGTCTGCAGCACTCAATATCTCCTGTAAAACCAGGAATGTGAGTAATGCTGGAGCCAGGGACAGTGTTTTTTGGGCATACTTCTCATGTGGGTCACAGGAGTGCTTTTTTTTCTGCACTCCCAAAATCAGCAAAGGGGGCTAAAGCATGCTGTCAGCTGACGTTTAGAGCCAATCCAAGCAGGCTCTTTGTTCAGTCAAGACCGAGAACTAAACGATCAGTGGTTATGTTTTTAACACTTTCTGAAACATTTCTTTCTTTTAGGCCCAGCCAGTGCACCATGAACTTGTGAAGAAAATTTTAGGCAACAAAGCATCATTCAGTCCTATAGTGACACTAGAACCAAGAAGAAGAAAATTCCACAAACCTATAACAATGACTATCCCTGTGCCCAAAGCCTCCAGTGAGGCAATGCTGAATGGATATGGTGGTGACACACCTACATTAAGACTACTATGCAGTATAACTGGTAAGTTTAGTTATTATAGCCCCACTGTCACATGTGATGGATAGTCAGGCCTGAATTTGTGAAAAACAGTAGATTTTCAAACATTCATACAAAAAATCAGTACATTCAATAATGTGCACAGAGGCTTGATGAAAGTCAGTAGTATTCTTATTATACAGGATTTATAAAGTGTCAACAGTTTGCGCAGCACTTTACAACGTGAAGGCAAACAGTACAGTTACAATACAATTCAATACAGGAGGAATGAGAGGGCCCTGCTTGTTAGAGCTTACAGTCTAAAAGGGAGGGTCAAGTGAAACAAAAGGTAATAACTGTGGGGAATGAGCTGATGGAGAGAATACATGTACAGTTGTTAGGTGGAGGCAGGATAGGCTTCTCTGAAGAGAAAACTTTTCAGGGTTCGCCTAAAAGTGGACAGAGTAGGAGATAGTCGAACAGATTGGGGTAGGAAATTCCATAGGATGGGAGAGGCTCAGAAGAAGTCCTGGAGGCAAGCATGGAAGATGGCGACAAGGGAACTAGAGAGCAGGAGGTCTAGAGAGGAACGAAGATAGCGATTTGGTCGATATTTTGAGACTAGGTTAGTGATGCAGCTAGGGACTGAGTTATGGATAGCTTTATAAGTTGTTAGTATTTTGAATTTGAATGTCATTCAAAATTACTTAAAAATTTTGTTTGCTATTACATTTGCTTTTCATACGAATTGAAGCACATACTCTATTGGACATTTTTTCAAGAAAAACTTTCCATCCTACTCTTTTGAATTTTCTCATCACCTATGGCCAAAAACAACTGTCAGTTTAACCTCACTAACCATTAGAAAAGCAAATGAACTCTGTGAAAACAAACATTTGCAAATAAAATTCTACTATAGTATAGCTAGCTTAAGTAGGGAATGGAAAAATCGAAATCCCCTTTTAATTGCAGAACACTTATTTGATAAAACATTTAAAGAAACTTGTGTTCTCAAATCATTTTTAGATTGTAAACTCCACGAGCAGGGCCCTCCTATTCCTTCTGTACTGAAATGTATTGTAATTGTACTGTCTCCCTTATATTGTAAAGCGCTGCGCAAACTGATCCTAACAACCAAGGATCCAGCACTGCAGAATGACGGTCCGGACTGGGCTACCAGTAGGTCCGGATCCGGACCGAGGTCCGCTATTTCGTGAAGGCTGCTGTAGCTGATGTAATGTATATTCTTCCTTACATTATTATGTAATTTATTTTATTTTTGTATTTCCTTTAGCAGTCAATCGCTTTTTTTCATTATCCAGTCACTGCAGTAATTGGATTGGTGTTACAACATATGAGAAAAACCTTCATATACCCTAGCTCCAGTTTTGTATAAATTACTCTCAGTATTCTGCAGAAATATGTTGCATATAAGCACATTTCATTTTTCTTTGCTTTTCTTTAGGTGGTACAACCCCAGCACAATGGGAGGATATCACTGGAACCACACCACTTACATTCGTTAATGAATGTGTTTCTTTTACTACTAATGTATCTGCCAGGTCAGTTTTTTCACACATAGTTTTGTAAAAAGAAAAAAAAAAAATCTAACAATACTGTGTATGGTCACATTTACAAAGAGGTTATTGTATCCTACATTTGTCCACAAAATGTTCTCTTTGGACATTGTGTGATAACTTATATAAATATCCCAAAGTTCTCTTCTGCTATATGTACTATTGCCATGTTTAATACTATTTGTTTTTCTTTTTTTCCTGTAGGTTCTGGTTAATTGATTGCCGACAAATCCAAGAATCAGTTACATTTGCTAGCCAAGTTTATAGAGAAATTATATGTGTTCCTTATATGGCCAAGTTTGTTGTATTTGCCAAATCCCATGACCCCATTGAAGCACGTCTGAGATGTTTCTGTATGACAGATGACAAGGTGGACAAGACACTGGAACAGCAGGAAAACTTTGCAGAAGTTGCTAGGAGTAGAGACGTAGAGGTTAGCCTGTGAAACCACTGAACATTTTGATACATCTAACATGCTAACCCACATCTTTTCATTACAGCTCTAAAATTATTTGCTTCAGTTCTGACTGGTTATTCACCCAATCTATTTTTATTGTATTTATTTATTTTCAAATTAAATATTAAAACCCGCTGTGCGGTACCAACCTGAATATATACATGCATACACAGAAGACCAGCTTGTGTGCGAGCTCACTGTTTTACTGATAGTTAACTACTGAACTAAGGCCTAACTGTAAATCATCATCTTTGGCAAATAACGAATCTATGCTGGACGAGGATGCGTATCCCTACGCACCTTCTGGCCAATTGATGAATCTAAAATATAATTTTTATTGAGATATATATAAAAAATGTATGCTAAGCTGCAATTGATACCGTTTGGAGTGGAATGCACTGAGTGCAACAATATGACCAGATACCATTACAATCGTTTACCTTACATCCAAATGGTTAATAATACCAGACCAGATCAAATACCATACTGGGGGCGTGGTCACGCTATGGCGGAGTGAGGATGTGTCTCTCTGGAACTCCACACTGACCCCCCGGCTACAGTCTGGTCACCTGCACTCACCCAGGACTAAAACTATGCCAAAAGGGGCAAGGAAGCCACAGGGTACTGGTCTGGTGACCTGGAGCTCCTTCGTGCTGGACTTCTTCTCTCCTAGAGTGGCGGTATCCGGAGCCCTGGAGGGACTTAACATGGTGCCTGGAGCACATGGCGTTGCGGATGCTGCGTGGGTGGGGGCGCTTACAGATGACTCCTTACCTCTGCTATCGGGTGAGTTTCCCCAGGACCTCTTGCCCCCAGTACCATCAGATCTCACCCAGGCGGACTTGGCCTCTTAGAAAGCAGATAGTTTGTCCCCCTGGCTGGTTACTTCGGGCCTTCCGGCCATTCTGCCAGATCCTGAGGCGCAATTGTTTTTAGCTACCCTTACCACTAAAAGGGATATTCAGATGCTAGCTATGACCCTGCGGCGAACTTTTAAGGAGGAATTCTGGGAGTTTAAAGATACCCTAAACTCCCTCAATGTGCGGGTGGGTGGGCTTGCTACGAGTCAGTCGGCCGTTGAGCAGAGAGTCACGGCCCTGGTGTCCACAGTGTTGCAGTATCGGCAACTCCTGTACACCTTGAGCCTACACCAGGACAATCTTGAGAATAGGAGTAGGAGGAATAACATTAAATTGTGGGGTATTCCATAAGCAACCTCACCCAGTGACCTCCGTACCACTGTGACAGCCATACTGAACACTATGTTAGATAGAGCTCCAGATGCTGCTTTGGAGCTTGATACAGTCCATCTCATCCATGGACCTGCTCCCTTGGAAGAGGGGCCCATGAGATACTCTGTGTAGAGTGCATTTGTACAATCTAAAGAAGGAGATCCTTCGTAGAGCGTCGTATAGGGGTCCATTGGACTTTGATGAGGTGACTATTCAAATCCTCCTGGATCTCTCTAGACGTACTCTACTGCTATGCTGCAACTTGAAACCCTTTTTGGAAAAGATTCGGGAAGCTGATGCTACCTACAGATGGGGTTTCCCCTTTTTCCTATCAGTTCGGAAAGGTAATCATTCGATGATGCTACGCACTCCAACACAACTGCCGGACCTCTTTGCTTTGCTTGGAGTCCCAGCTATCTTGGTCCCCGGACTGGACTACCCTGGACTTACTTTCACAACGTACACCGTTGCCACAGCGGCCTCATGCATCCTCTGCAAGGTGGAAAACTTTTGTTTTCTGATCACAGGCTAGGACAATTCCTTGATCAATATGTATTTGAATAATGTAAGGTTGAAGTTATAAAAATATGCTACATGCTAGCATTTTGAGCTCAGGGGGAGGTTAAGTAAGAAAGTAGACCTCATGTTCAGATGCATGAGGTGCCTGCTGGGATGTACCTTTGGCGGTTTTGCATTTTTTAAATAACTTCATGTACATTTAAAATGGTTGTAAACCCTTATATATACCCAGTGATTTGACTGATCTCAGGTGACACAGAGGTAAAACAAATCCTCCTACATATGTTTTATCTGTCTATCTGCAGTCTTCTGTTCTCTACATCCGTTCATAGTGCTGAATTTATAAACTTGTCTGAGAGTTCAGAAAAAAGATGGTGGAGAGATGACATTACATTCTCAGTGAGGAGAGTTCTGAGAGCTGATTGGAGGGAAGAGACACCCCCCTTCCCACAGCACATAGGAACAGAGCTGAGGTTGTCAATCTGCTGGAAGTCCCTCCCCGTCACCATTTTTACCTTGGTGTCAGGAAAACATGTCAGAAGTGATTTGTGCTGATAGATGAGGAACGAAGCAGCAGACAGAAATCACACTTAGTGGCCTTAATTAAGACAAGTACACACTATAGAGGGATAAACTTTGTTCATATTTCATGTCTGAGGTTATAACCATTTTAACCGCAGTATAGCCTGTCACACACTTGGTTGTGTTGTCTGGCATGACTGTGTTGACTACAAACTGGATGGACAGGTCTACAAATCACTTGGCCAGTAAACCAATTCACATGTGCACATTCCCTTTTTAACTCTCTGTTTGCTTAGGTAGTTATTATTAAATGAATGATACAAAATGAAAAAAAAAATCACAATAAAAACTTATTACTTCAGAGTATCAATGTTTTACATCACTCCTTGCTTTTTTTTTTTATTTAACAGAATTTATAATCTGGAGCTTTACTGTATAGATTTTCATGCTGTTTTTGCCATGTTCATGACCAAGAAGGAGGTCAGATGGGGTGGTTTAGAACAGAGTTTCTCAACCTTTTTCCAGTCAGGCGCCCTTGAAAAGTATTTTCAGTCATGAGGCGCCCCTGTCCAAGGCTTGGCTCATGTTACTGTGGGTCACGGAATGCATGTGAAATCACGCTCATTCCTGACACGCAGACAAGTGCTCTGCTCTTTAGGCGTACCCCCATACATTGGCAAACGCGGGGAGTTTTTGGTGTGGTTTAATTTTAAAACTAAGGCCAGGGACGACTTTCCCTGCATTTCTGATAGTAAGGCAGCCCATTGAAATGAATGGGCTGCCCTACACACAGTCACACAGATGTGAACCAAGAGCCTGTTCACCTGTGAGATGGATGGAATTGATCTGCTTTTTCCACCCCCAACTGCTCCCCCTTTAGCTGCAGAAACAGATGCTGTTGCCACAGATGAAACTATACCTCCAGGTGAATGGGGTTGAACTACAACCACCCCGCAACTGTGTGCGCATTGCACGCAGTTGTGGTGTGGTAATTGATGCTACTTTTTCCAGGGTTAAACTAGGTGGTGAGGAGGCAACATATTGCCTCTTTACCACCTGTCAAATGCCTCTAAAAAGCAATCTGAGCATGTATTGCTTTTCAGAGGAGTAGCAGTCCTTGCTGCTATTACGAACAAGTCCTAAAAAAGCAGTTCTGAAAGGACAGGACTAGGGATTCGAGATTAAAAGTAAAATACATATATACACATATAAAAACAAACACAAACATACAAACACACACACAGAGTCATACACATGTACGTACACACACGCCCACACACGTACGTACACACACACATACACATGTACACACACACACATGTACACATACACACACATATACACACACACGTACACATACACACACATGTACACATACACATGTACACACACACGTACACATACACACACATGTACACACATACATGTACATATACACACATGTACACACATACATGTACACGTACATGTATGTGTACACATACATGTACACATACACACATGTACACACATACAGGCACATATATACAGCATTATGAAAAGTTACAGTACCTTAGCTTCCATCACACAAGCAGGTACTGCACTCTAGAGGGAAGCAGAGAGCACAGAAGACACTCCCCTTCCCTTTCCTTTGCTGAGCGGCGTGACGGCTCCCAGTGTCAATGTACAGTGTGGCTAGAGATTTGGGGCTCAAGTGACAGCCATTCTCCCCACGGCACCCCTGAAGACCCTTGCGGAACCCTGGGGTGCCTTGGCACCCTGGTTGAGAAAAGCTGGTTTAGAATGTCAGTTCTGACCAAACCTCAGACTCAAGCACACAACCCCTTACAAAGGAAGCCCATACATACAGTTGACTATGTTTATTGTCATAGCTTAGTTTTCTAACATTTATATCACAAAGAGGCAGTGCTGCCACATATGCTTTAATTGAAACAAATATTGTGTAAGAGGAATTTCCCATTACTAAGAAAATACGTATTAATTTTTATAATTGGAACTTGCAGCCTTATGCAGCCATTGATATTGTGTTTTTTTCAGGTCCTGGAAGGAAAACCTATCTATGTAGACTGCTTTGGAAACCTAGTACCGTTAATAAAGAGTGGGCAACACCATATATTTAGTTTCTATGCCTTTAAAGAGAACAGACTGCCATTATTTGTCAAGGTACGAATACGTAGTTGATAGAACAATTTATTCCCTTAACATTCTATGCATTCCATTTTATTAAGGACAATATGGATGTACTTGGCCACACATCATCAGATCTTCTAATTAATATGTTTTTCTTTCTGTTTTCTGATGTTACCTGTCTGATTTTCTTTTATCCTCAATTACCATTAAAAACTGGATGTGCAGTGTTGTATATGCTGTTCAATGTGACCTGCTGAGACAATATAATATTAAGAGCTCTATTATTTCCTAATATCAGGTACGAGACACAACTCAAGAGCCTTGCGGACGCCTATCTTTCATGAAGGAACCAAAATCTACTAGGGGCCTTGTACATCAAGCTATCTGCAATCTAAATATCACATTGCCAGTTTATTACAAGGTAAGAGTTTTGTTCAGTGTTTTAAGCCAGATGTTAAAATGATAATAAACATGAAGAGCTACTGGCAGGGGCGGATTGACAACTCATGGGGCCCCCGGGCAATAGGGGTTAATGGGGCCCCTGTGTCCTTGCACAAACTCAAAAAAGCCTATGAAAAAGGTACCAGGGGCATCTCATGGGGCCCCCTACTGACCCCGGGCCCTCGGGCAGTGGCCGAGTTTCCAAATGGTCAGTCCGCCCCTGGCTACTGGTTATCATTTTGTTTCATATTTTTCATTCTCGTGTCTTGTGAGTCAAGCTTAAAATATAAGTTCATGTCTGCAGCTTGGAGAATGAATAACTCATGCACACATCACATGTGCTGATGCAGTACTTTTTTAAAAATTATTCATGTTCCAGTGACCTATTCCCTACATTTCAAATACCTTATATGTTTAAATCATTACAATTTTTAAACATTTTTTTACAATTGTCATTGGGTAGGCATTAATAAAAAAAAAAAATCACTGAAACTTCTACAAATGCACAAATCCCTATCTGAAGTTGTTGTGAACTGTTGAGGACACTCATGCTGGCTTGCTCTATTGACACACATAGTGTGGCTTGGCCCCATCCCCTTCTCCTCACAGGCTGTGATTGACAACAGCAGGAGCCAATGACTCCTGCTGCTGCTGAGCCTCCTGTGTGAGAGGGGAGCCAAGAGCAGCACTGCTGTGGAAGGCCACATCGCTGGATTGTGAATGGACTCAAGTAACTATAAGGGGAGGCTGGGTAGGGAACTGGTCACAGAAGGTTTTTACCTTAAAGTGGTCTCAAGGTTTTTTACCTTCATGCATTCTATGCATGAAGGTAAAAAACCTTCTGTGTGTGGCAGCCCCCCAGCCCCCTCTAACACTTACCTGAACCCTCTCTTGATTCAGTGATGTCCACGAGAACCATGGTTCTCCTGGGACTCACACTCCTGATTGGCTGAGGCAGCAGTGGGAGCAGTTATTACAAAAACAATAATCCTAAGTACAAAGTATAAGAAGACAAACAGTTTTATTATTAAGTTTTGATTAGAACACCGATGTGGATTCCAAGCGGCTAAACCAACAAATAAAGATCATGAAAAACAAAAAAGACAAGACAAACAAAAAATGAATAAACGCGTCCGGACACATGTAGAGTCACACATGGGTTACATACTGCAGCAAATCGCTGTTCATGATGTAGGAAGTCACATATAAGGTATCCCCCATGTGTAAGTCTAGGAATTCTGAGGCCCTGATACACTACCGTTTAGCGAAACACGTTGATGTTACACATCACGTCACGTGACGCAACTCTTCGCACATGGGAACTTTGTGGTGATGGCATCTCGGAAGTTTGGCGTAAACAAATGGAGACACTTGCTATGCATTGAATCTTAAGGAGCAGCTGCCATTTCAGCACATGGATCGGCCTGATATTGTGAACTTTTGGAAGCATTTTGGACAAGCGGAAGAGCGGTAATGTATGTGCCGCTCCCACTGGGAAGTAGTGAACACCTTTAAAGACACAAGACCTTTTCATACTTCATGCACATTAGGTCCAGTTGGACCAGAAGAAATACGGAATAAATAGTGTCATACAATATTGGCCACATCTTCCCAGTTATTGCTGTCCACATTTATTCCATACCAGTAATAAGTGTTGCTGGACACTTGCCACGTAACGACGCTGCTCAGTATTCATTTATACAACAGTCCAAATATCTTATAGCATTAGTAGATGTGTCCAGTGTCTGCCACACCCCATACAAGGACTTATGTGGTGAATGGAATTTCTTTGATCCCACATGAGATACAATTATTCATTGGATGAACTTCCTTACATAGACTGCCACACTGATCCAAAAGGACTTGCCCGCCCCCCCCCCCCCCCCCTCCAAGCTTAGTACAGCCCAATAGGCCAGGATATTTGTTAGGTATTTTATTGCCCTTGTGTCCTTTTTGGAATATCGGGGCCTCAGAATTTCTAGACTCACACATGGAGGATACCTTATATGTGACTTCCTACCTCATGAGCAGTGATTTGCTGCAGTATGTAACCCATGTGTGACTCTACATGCATCTGGACATTTATTAATTTTTTTCTTTTTCTTGTCTTTTTTGTTTTTTCATGATCTTATTTGTTGCAATCACAATTATAGCCGCTTGGAATCCACGTTGGTGTTTCAATCAAAACTTAATAATAAAACTGTTTGTCTTATTATACTTTGCACTTAGGATTATTATTTTTCTGATACCTTAGCCCAGCAAATATTTGTCACCAATAGTAACCTCTTACAGTGCCTACTTTGGCAGTTCGTTTTTTGTCTACATATTTTCCGGTTATGATGACAACATTTAACTTAAGCGAAAGCGTGCAGGTATATACACATTAACTCTTTTCTACCTCAAATTTTCTTTTTTTGAATCAGGTAAGTATAACATGTTTGTTTTTTTAAAAAAAAAAAACAAGACTTTAGTATCACTTTAATGCATAGAATGCTTTCAGGTACAAAAAAACCTTCTGCTTTAGAAACACTTTAAAGTAAGAAACAATAGAATTAGGTAGTTAAATGGGACTTTAAGTATACCTCTGGTGTTCATCAAGAAACTAAAATAAACCAAATATACATATATAAGGTTTGGTGGTTGGTACTGCTATTCTGGCCTGTACTTATAGGGTTCATTTTTGTGTGCAAAAGTTTAAAGATGAGCAAGCACAAAATGATACAGCCATCTGAGCAATCATGACAAGGGAGAAGTAATAAAATTAAGAAACAGGCCAAAGTTATCTTTATTGTTCATTGAGGGACACAACTTGATGGTATTTAAGCAACATAGGGATGTACTGCCACCTACAGGAGAAATGGACACTAGGTACATGAGCTGGACTGATTTTCCTAAGCCACAGGATCTGCTGGTGAATACAGCAGATACCTTGAAAGCAAGGAGTTGTACATGTTGCTTCTTTTATTGGAGGTCCAATACACTCCAACCATGGGATCTAAATTTAGTATTGTATGTGTTTTAAGGCCCCCATTTGACCATTTTTTAAACTGTCCTTCATGTTGTGATCATGTAAGTTAACCTCTTTTGTAGCCAACACTGCTGCTAAAATGTCTCTAAGTTATCAACATTGTCCTATAAGGAACTCCATGTCATGTTACACAAAGGCAAACTTTTTTCTTTGTAAACAAGAGACGGAGGTTTCTCCATTTTCTGGATGTAGAGAAGGCAGCTGGAGTTTATCTCTTGCCCATTTCTTCATTTAGGCAGAAGTTCCTAAAGGGATTCATTGGCTTCCTGAGTCCCTATTTCAAAATTAATTGAACAGATTGGTATGCAGATTGTTATGAGATAAATTCCTCCTTTTCCCAGGTGTAAGCACACTTTCGTCTTTCAGCTGTAATGGAACTACAAGTTCCATGAGGCATTGGAAGGCTTTGACAGATACAGGCATGACTCCTGGAGGCAAAGGCAATAGCTGGAGGACTGAAGTTTGCCTACCCCTGCACTGGAGCAGGGAGTACTTCTTGGGTTTTTCAGCATCAGGTCTCCCTATCTCTGATCTGTGTGCCTGTGACCCATTCTTTGTATGTATATTCTCTGTGTGGTTGATACATATGTCTTGGCAGATGCTAGTTTTGGTTGAAAAGTTTTTCAAGTGGTTGCTTAATGCCCTTGATTTCTGTATTTTGTGTGCCCACCCCTCTGTCTACACTGCTTTTGGATGTCCTTATGTTGCTTAATTGTCATCAAGCTGTGCCTCTTAACCACTTCCTGTCTGGCGCATGTACATAAATGGCCGGACGGCAGCAGTGCAGGAGCGGGTTGCTGTTCATAAACGGCGCCCGCATTTTCAGGCTGTGCGTGCTACCTGGGAGTGTGCGGCACCGCGATCTGGTGCCTGCTGTGTCCTCCGGACACAGCAGAACACTGATCGCTGTACGGGACCTCTGTGTGAGGTCCCGATCGTGTGATCACTGATTGGCCAATCAGTGATCACATGAATAGTAGCAAGAAAGATGTCACGTCTGACATCATTGCTTACTATTAGTGAAATCTGTGAATGATCTCAGAGGTCACATGGTACAGGGCCATTCACAACAGCCTTGTACTTTGTGACAAGATGTGGCCAATCACAGCTCTCACAGTATTTCTCAATAGCTGCAAGAATGCAGCCAGAGAGAAGGAGAAATTATTGCTTTTACCGCCTTTATGGGTGTAAAAGCAATCAGTGTAAACAAAAAAAATCTTCATCACCCCCCACAAGTAGTACAGTGTCACTATGGTGACACTGTACTGCAAGAGTGACAGTATAAAAAAAAACCCCATAAATAATGATATAAAAATAAAATAAAAATGTAAAAAAGTTTTGAAAAATTATAAAATTTGGTTATAAACTAATTTGTTTTTTTTTTAGTTTTTTTTTACTAAAAATATAATCTAAGAAATTTTGGCCAAGATTTATGAAGAAAGATTATTTATTTGCAAAATCTTATAAGAAAAACACTTTTTTCAAAATTTTTGGACTTTTTCATTTATATAGCCAAAAAATAAAAAACCCAGTGGTGAATAAATGCCACTAAAAGAAAGTTTTATCTGTTTCAAAAAAATGCTAAAAAATTCATATGGGTACAGTGTTGCATGACCGCGCAATTGTCATTCAAAGTGTGATAGCACTGAAAGCTGAAAATTGGCCTGGACAGGAAGGGGGTGAAAGTGTCCGGAGTAGAAGTGGTTAATGGACAGTAGAGAAAGTAGTTTTTTTGTATTCATTGTAAAACCTTTCTCTTAGAGTCCTTTGAAGGACATAGCACCCTCTCTTTATTATCTCATTTTTGGACTGTGTGCTACAACTGAGCAGTTGGGAGGGGTTCTAGTACTAAAGGGGAAGGACTTCAGTATTTACGTATCTAGTGTCCATTTCTCTGTTAGGTAACAGTATAACCCTATGTTGCCTAATTATCATCAAGCTTTACCCCTCAATGGACTTTAATCTAAAAGGAAAGGTATCCAAAACATCCTACATAATTACCTCTTTTCTAAATTTTTTATTTTTTAAATGCAAGGAGTGTAAGTGCATGACTTTGATCTGGTAGGTGATATGAAGAAACAGCAAAAGTAGCCAGTCAGTTCAGTTGTGCTGACAAAAAGCATGCTACTTGGAGGAGAAAGCATCATCGCTGTGCTGCTCCTCCTTTCGTTGCCCAGACACAGACTGGGGTAGATGCAGGACAGTCAGGGCTCAGAAGAAATGGGCTAAACGATGCTGGTCTTGAGGCTGGGGGCATCTTGTGGCAGAAAAAAGTACTAAAGGGTAGAGTTCTAGATTGACACTGAATATTGAAACAAAAGCTGATTTTTCATTTTGTCTTTTAAAGAGTGATTCTCGTTTGTCTTGTTATTTTTGGCTGGAGTTCTGCTTTAATGTGATGTATACTTAATAGGATTTCTCTCTTTTTTTAACATTCTGTCTACCTGCCATCTTCTATTATGAAGGAATCTGAATCAGATCAAGAGGATGAGGTAATACAATTGCTGGATAAAAATACACTTTCTTAATATTACTCATTTTGTTAAGTTTAACAGAACTAGTCTAAAACGGCTAGTCTACCCAAAATGTGATATTTGATTTTTTGGCAGATTCTGGCAATTAATCCACCTGACAGCTTCATAAATCTCTCAAGGACTCTGCTATGTGATATTTTTCTGTCTGAGTCTCTGTTTCTGCACACCTGATGATGTCGATATGAGAGCCCTGATCTCTTTCAGTTTAATTCTAAATTTTATGTGTATCATTGAGAATATAGCATAACATGCTGGAACACACATACGTTTGTGTGGAGGTGGACGATCCAAGATGTATAAGACACCAGGCCCCAGGCTTAACCATTAACTAAAATATCAGTCTTAGGTAGACTGATCCTTTTACTGATTATTTAATTTTTATTTATTTTATAATAAATGTTTCCATTGATCTGCTTGCCATCAGCTGAGCTTTGATTTGTAGCTCTTCACTTTTCCACGCAGTTTTGTGTTTTAAATGTGAAGATTTGACTTATCCTGCATGTAAGTAACTTGTATGAATATTGCCATTGAATTAGTTGTTTGATCACATGCCCTTCCTAAGTAGGAATTGGTTTGTGTAAAGGTATTACCTGCGGTATGGAAGTGCTGTGTGCTATCCAGCTGCCATTCCAGTCCTGCTACTCAGTTCACACAAATTTACCAAGTGAGAAGTGAACAGTGCTTATGGATATAAACAAAACTAAGTATTGCAAAAAAATATCTAGATTTGTGTAATAAATTATACAAATCTCATGAATATCAGTGCTTGCTAGTGACTCTGTGTATGTTAAATACAAACATACATAAATCCAAGCAGAAAAATAAAAGGATTTGGCATTCATCCTCAGGCCTTGCTCTTTGGTGGATTAAAGGATTGGAGGAATTGCTTTAATACCTGGCATGCTTTGACCCTTCTGTGTAGAAAAGGGTCAGTAGCATTCGGTGAGTCTACATCTATGTGGGGCACATGAGCACGGCACAGAGTGTTGTTTTGAAGTGGAATTTCACTGTGATCAGAGCACAAGCACTTTCAACTGTTTTTCTACTATTTACTCTTTGAGGAATTTACTTTTGAGGATTTGTTTTCTGGCTGGATGTATATATGTTTGTATTTACGGTAATTTACACAGAGTCACTAACCAGCACTGATTTTTTAGATTTTATTTCATTTCTGTCCATAAGCACTGTTCACTCCGTAGTTTAATAAAAGTATAATAAGTATAATAAATATTCAGAGGTATATTCACAGCATCCTAGATGCCTGGAGCCTATGCATTTAGCTCTTTTCTATCAACCTAACAGATCAATCTAGAATTCATGGCTTTCTGTTATAGCCCATGAGTTACTCTGTAGTAGCAGAAGGATCCTAGAACCGTTGGAGCTACCAACATTCATACTTGGAAAAGGATGGGGAACATCACATATCGTTTTGGAAATTCCCTGTAGTTATATTGTAATCATTCACAAACTGCTATCACTTAATAAAGTAAAATCCTTGCAACGTTTTACATATATGTAAAGTATTGAAAGGAACTTAGTCTGAAATATCAAGGCTGCCATTGCAGACTACATTTTGAAAAATGTGTACTGCCAGTTATGCTTAGTTTCCAACTTACTGCCATAAAAAAATCAATGCAGTCAGTAAATTGAAAGTGAAGTCAAAACTTTGGACACATAAAGCTCAATTCTCAAACATCTAAAGCAGAACTAAAGCCTCCTATTCTTTACAGGCAAGACTGCCATAATAGACTCAGTTTGATCTGCTGTTGCCATAGTGCTGCACATGTGATCTGTTATGACACTAGCCATTTGATGGCTTGACAGATTGAAAGCAGAAGCAGCTGTGACAGTTATCATTCACGGCATGCCTTGCATGTACATTAACTGTTTTGAGAAACAAATTGATGTGTTTATTTCTGTTTCAACACTATCCTAAGGCTGGCCATATGCTACACATACTAATTGTATAATCTCTGTTCAAACTTCATTAGATGTACCAAGATTATATAATATAAAGACATACCTAAACAATCCATTTAGCCCCTTTCATGAAGGAGAGTAAAACAAATATTAATGCCTGAACACAGTTTAGCAATTTTAGTAAACTTTAGTGTTAGTAAAACTGTACATATAATAACTATTTAGTGTATCCAGGTGAATTATACCCTGTTTTTATCAGGACAAATTGGGATTTCATTTGGTGGTAAATAGAAATGGATATCTCCTGATTTTGCTTTTGTTATCAAAGGAAAACTGACACAAAAATAGTTAAAACTTTTTTTTTTTAAATGTAGCTGTATATTTCTACCACCAAAGAAAAGCCCAAAATAAATTCTCGTGCTCCTGACAATCCAGTCAATACCACATATGTATATGTTATTTGTTGTTTGTACCTGTAGTAGGGTCCAGAAACAATATTGCACATTTTGCTTCTCAGCAAAAACACAGCGGCACATATATGCAGCCCCACGGATAAAGATCCACTTCCGTGAGGCTGCATATATATGTGCGCTCAGTGGGAAGAGGTTAAATATGATGAAATCAGACAGGCCTTTGCACTACATAGTTAATGGTAGATCTAAAAAAGGTTGTACAGTTGGATTGTATAGTGAATGGACACCTTAAGGCACTCTGTTTCAGCCATGTACATGAAAATTTCAAATGTTAATAGGCTGAAAATAATTGTAGTATTTTTTTTTAAAATAAATATACTTTTTCTAGTGTATTAGCTTTGTGAATTGAGCCTAATGTTAGTTACTCAGCAAGTATTGATGCTTTTAGATTAAGATGACAGTGGGGCAACTAGCATTCAAAAGGAGAGGTCATATAATTGATGTCCCATATTTCTCACATGCTTACATTGCAGTAATACCTATTCCTTCTTATATGTTTATCCTTTAGTTTAGAAATATTTAGAGGGTTGTGCAGACATGTTTCATAAAATAATGCTAATTCCATGATGGAAAAATCTTCTAAATACTCTAGAGTGTTTTTATTCCTGTGAACATGTGACCACAATAACGCTTTCTATGTCTGTGCTAAGCATACCAGGACAGTAGGGAGTGTTGAAACTGCAGTGTCTGTTTACTGTAGATGATGCCACTGTCATTTCTAGGGTTATGGGCAACTCTTAGAGAAACACTGCTAGCCAGGTCTGAGGGCATGACTGTTGCTGTTGCTGTGCATTGACACACTGTCCTGCAGTCCACATGCAGGAGTGTATAGGAGGGAGAAACGCTACCACAGCATTAGGAGGCTGCGATTAGTGGTGCCACTCATTCAGAGGAAAGGAAAGAAACTAGCAGTATCAACAGGTATTACCTCTTCCCAAGCAATAACAATAAAAAACTTTATATATATTATTATGTATATTTAACATGCAGTAAGGGACCAATTTAGAGCACCTTAACTTCTGGATTTACATACACTTTAATGCTTCAGTGGATGAGAATATGTGGATTCATCTAAACTTATAGATGATATTTCTTATCTTTTAAAATGATAAAAGAGTCATGTGGATGACTTTATTGTGATATTTTGAAATAGTGTTTCCCATAGAGTGATACATGATGTTTCCCATAGTTGGTGGACAAGCTTTGGGCTACTAAAAGAGAGACTGTGGTAGAATTCATAGAAAAATGCGCTAATTCTTCTGACTAGTATCAGAAATTGAAACCTTCTCTCCATAACACATCGGATGCTGTGACAGTGGTACAGCACTGATTGGTAACAGTGCTGTACAATTATTCTTGGCAAATATTTTATCATTATATGAATTATTATTCTTAATATGATAATCATTATAATTTTTGTATGGTCATTTTATTTCATCACCATTTTCCTTTATTTTAGGGAAATCTCAACTCTGAGAAAAGTAAGTTATGTATTTTATATTGGTATAAATTAATTTTGTTTTGATTTTGTGAAACTAAAGCATGCAGTTTTCAAGCAGGCTAATTTTCACTAAACTAATACTAATGCTGCTTTGATGAAAATGCTACACATAATATACTAGCACTGTACCAATAACCTTATATAGGGTTATAAGCAATAACATTACTGTTTAAACTGCTAAAACCCTTCTTCCCTGTTACTGACTTATCCTGTTACCTTCCTTGTTATTCCTGCTACAATGCCCATTCCATTTTATGTTCTGCTGTGCATCTGTTGACATGACATTATCATATCATTAACCAGCTAAATTACTGTATCAGTTTGTCTGGCATCACCTACTGTCCTTGTGAAAGGCACTACCTCTAACCCTAATTAAATGGACATTGTGATGCTTGGTCAAAACAGATACCGTCTCCTTGCATTAGATGACAGTCAACATTACTGTGGTGAAGTTTAAAGCAACAAATAGAATCAGCCACCACCAATGCTACCTGGAAAATACACTGCTCGCAGTAAAATTAGAAAATGCACTCAAATCAGAATTTGATATATTCTACATTTCTTCTAGGAGGGAATGTAGCTTCTTATCAGACTATTCTGTGCAACCTATCTCTTTGAGCTTAGAACCAAAAAAAAAAATATAAAACGTACTTGCTCACATTTTTCCAGATTCAGAATCGGGGCATGAGTCATTCACTGGATTCTCCCTTGGAGAATCCTATGTCAAGTTCATCTTCAAAAAGTCTGGCTCTAATCCCAGACACCTGCAAGCCTCAATATACTTCTCAACTAGGGTGCCCCTTCTTACTGTAGTAGGTGTTTTGACTAATCACATTTCTGAGAGGTTACTTTTGGTTACATCAATGTCATAAAGTATACCTTAATATTAGGTTGAGCTGGAGAGCAGCTGACAAGCAGTCATGGTATGTGAAAAATACAGCACTCACACACATATAAATATCTATGAGGGTTCAAGCTGCTCGGCCATGGAACCCCATTCCATGAAGCTCTCTATGCACTGTGGTTGCTCTGATCAGAAGGCCACACAACGTTTGGAGGTCTTGAGCTAATGACTCTGCAGACAGTTGGCGACTTCTGTACACTGTGTGATTCAGCATGCGCTGACCCCGCTCTGTCATTTTATGTGGCATACCACTTCGTGGTTGAGTTGCTGTTGTTCCCAGTTGCTTCCACTTTGTTATAATACCACTAACAGTTGACTGTGGAATATTTAGTAACAAGGAAATTTCACAGATGGACTTGCACAGGTGACAACCTATCACGTACCATGCTTGAATTCACTGAGCTCCTGAGAGCGACCCATTTTTTCACAAATGTTTGTAGAAGCAGTCTGCATGCCTAGGTGCTTGATTTAATACACCTGTGGCCATGTAGGTGATTGGTACACCTGAATCCTGATTCGGAGGGTTGTTCCAATACTTTTGGCAATATAGTGTGTGTATATATATATATATATATATATATATATTGTTACATATTCTGGTTCTGTAACAAAAAAGTATTATAAAAAGAGGGTCAGCTTCACAGTCAGAAGAACATTGCAGAACATTGTTGTATTCCACAGTAGTTATACAAAATATAAAAATTACCAAGAATATCATATTACCTGAGATGCCATAACCCAGCAACTCTCTTAGCTTCAGTAGCCCTCCCAGTAAAAGAGAAAATGTTCATATTGTGAGATCCTGACAATGACACCCTTCACAGATCAAAAATAATAAATGCTTCACTTCACCACAGTATGTTGCAGATTTCTTTTCATATCATTTTATTTCCAGGTTATGATGGCAAACATAACCTGAACTTGTAGCCCCTTTGCTTTGCATGGAAATAACTTGACTTACATATACAGCGTGTGTGTGTTCTGTGTGGATGTTTCTGACCTTTTGTTTGCTGTGCATAACATCTTGTATTTCAAATCATTTTCTGTTGAGCCATAAATACTCCTTTTTTACCTTTTGATTTTCAACTCAAACCACACCTTATGTGTTCTCAACCTTATGAAGATTTTCCTGAGAGAACCATTCCTCCACCTTAAAAACATAAAAACACAGTCGCAGGCAATCATTCCTCCCATGATTCCCTCCTAGATGGAATTCTGGTTTGCAGCTGGTTCCTGTAATTTTGTCACCAGCTCTTTTGCTACAAGAGAGGATTCCATACTTTTATCTAAAAAGACAATTTAAGATAACCATAGACATGAGATGATTTGTTATGTATTCCAGGTTAAACAGGGAACATTCATATAGCCTTTGGTCAACCAGGCTTGGAGAAAGAATCGATCATCTTCCTCAAAAATAAGACCAATTACAAGATTTTATTTTTGATGCATAAGCATGCACATTAGGACAAAATTATTGTTATACCAGTGTTTATACAGATTGATATCACAGTGGTTGGATCTCTCAACATTCATCTCATGTCTATTGGTGCCCTATTGATTGTCTTGGGCAGGTTACATAATCGCTTTTCACAACAGAAGAGGGTTAAAGAAATACCTAATTATTTTGATATTCGGGCCTTTAAAGAATACCATCTTATATTGACTATAAATACTTAGCAATAAATAAAGGGGGAACTCCAGTCAAATGCAGATCTCACTAATCAGTTATCCTTCAAAGGAGGTTCAATTTGCTGCTTGACAGTGATCTCCACAGTGCTATACGTTTTCTTGCTTGTGTGTTTTACCAACAGCTGTTACAGGTCATTGCAGTACAGTAAAGAGTACAGTTCTGCTAAATGCACCATGGAGATGGCTGCCAGTGTGTAGGGAATGCAGGAAATATGTCCTGGCAGAATAGAAGTCTGCATATGAGGTGGTTTCCTCTTAAAATACTTCTGCAGCCCTGAGCTTGGGAAATTACTGTAACCTGACTCATTCATGTTCAAATTGTATTACCAAATTGACAGAGTAAAATCTAAGCTAAGATAAAAGCAATGATGAAGTAAAACAATTACATTTTTGCTGATACTACTAGCTTGGTAATAAATTGGAATAACTTGGTTCTCCTACAAACCTCTCTGACAGCAAAAGTTTATTCATAGTATATTCAAACACTGACACATACATATTCTATATATGATGTCACATTTTTAAATTCTACATTTTCTACCAGTCCTTTTAACCTGTTTTTCTGGCAGTTTGCTACCACTGGCTTTCTCCTATAGGCTATCGACAATCTACAGTCTTAGCTTCTGTTTCTTCTTTTTCTTTCTATTGATTGTATAGCATCTGAACAATCTTGAGATGCCTTGTTCAAAAATCCCATTTTTGTCTTGTTTTTTGTTAATTTATTTTTTTCATTTGATGTATTGTCTTAAATTTGTTGTTGTCCTTGTTGTGTTGTATGCGTGAATGTGGTGTAGTGCGCATTCTAAGCAAGTTATTTCCTGCCCATTTTCCTTCCCAGTTTCCTTTAGCATGACGTTCAAGACTGTTTGGATCCACCAACTACACCAGCCCATTCCAATCACTCCCCCCACCTCAACCGAAGTGATTATTTCCTTCATGATTACATTATTCAGTTTCTGTTTATTTATTGCCATTTTATGTTAATATTTCTCGTTCATCTCCAAGATGATGAAGAGACAGAATCCACAGAAACGTCCATCTTGAAAAGCCATCTTGTCAATGATGAACCAGTGTTAGCAAGCCCCGATTTGCTGTCTGAAGTGTGTGAGATGAAGCAAGATCTTATTAAAATGAGCGCTATACTAACCATTGATGTCACTCAAAAACCTGGTACCCTCAAAGCCAAGGACTTTGAAAAGTCAGAAGAGGATCCAGGAGAACCATTTGAAATAGTTGAAAAAGTCAAAGAAGATTTAGAAAAAGTGAATGAAATTCTTAGAACTGGGACTTACACCAGAGAAGAATTATTACATGATGGTGCCCACTCCTCAAAATCACATAAAAAAGATGAAGAATGGGTTATTTTAGGGGATGATGAAATTGAAGAAGCCAAACTAAATGCACTACTTGAAGTAGCAGAGCTAGCATGCATAGAAATAATAATAGATAGAGGTCAAAAACCAAAAGTAAAATCTGATACGAGCGAAATGGTAAATTACCTTACTAATGACCTAAATTCTTATTCAGCTGATTCAGCAGCTATTCCTGGAACTGAAGCAGAGAAAAAGGAGCAGCGTAAACTGCCGTTAGAAATAAAAAAACCGGTACGCAGAAAACTCAAAGAGAGACAAAGAGAAGAACTCCAAGGTGCAAGTGACCGTGCAAGTCTGACAAAGTTTAGTTCTGAAGAGTCATTAGATGATGAAACAGGCCTTACTCCAACAGCTGTTCCAAGTGTAAAAGAAGTATCTCCTGTGATTGAGGAGACACCAATCGGATCAATTAAAGACAAAGTAAAAGCACTTCAAAAGCGAGTTGAGGAAGAGCAAAAAGGAGTAACAAGCACATCAAGTAAGCCACAGGTGAAAGATATTGCAAGTGAGCCAACAAAGCAGCAAAACATAGAATGCGTAGTTCTACCACCTGTTTCTCCTTCAACTAAATCTGAGCAGCTAGAGGAAACCATGTCAGTACGTGAGTTAATGAAAGCTTTCCAGTCAGGTCATGACCCTTCTAAAGAGAAATCTGGGCTGTTTGAACACAGAACTGTAAAATCATCAGTACAAAAACAGACCTCTATAGAAAATAAATTAACAGAAAAAGTAATGACTGATAGCTCAGACTATGCTAAGTATAATTTGAATTCAGAAAAAGAACCAAGTTTAAACTATGGGGAAAGTGAACCTTCATCCCAACTAGACTCTAATAAATTAAAATCTGTTTCTGAACACATCAGACTGTATGAGCAAAGCAAAATATCTCTTCCTATTGCTACTGCAGAGGTAGACATGCAGAAACATATGAAAGAAACTGCTGGTTCGCTAGTTGACAGTGAAGCTGTTAAAGAAAAATCAAGTGTACGTTTAAGAGTGAGCATTAGTGACCAGGATGTAGATCCACAGATCAGTCCTGACAGAAAAACATCTACAGACTTTTCTGATGTTATTAAAGAGGAGCTTGAGGATAATGACAAATATTTACAATTTAGGCACCTTCCAGAAACAGAAGGTGCTCAGTTAAATTTAGATCAGGTTTTAATTAGTCCATTTAATATATCATTCCCATCTGAGTACGAGTCCGATGAATTCATACCTGCTTTACATTTACAAAGAGGTACCTGTGATGACAGCTCAGACAGCTTGAAACACGAAGCACCTGCAGACTCTCCAAGTGGCAGTTTATTGGAAGGTACACCTCATATGAGTTCAGAGGATAGTTTTAAACATGAAGGTCTTGCAGAAACTCCAGGGACAAGTCCTGAAAGCCTTTCATTTTCACCCAAGAAGTCTGATGACCTTAAGGCGTCTGAAACAAATACATATATGAAAGAAACTAAAACTGATGAAAAAAATACACAGTCCCTTAAGAAAACTACATCAAATATTAAGCAGGATTTGGTGAAACAGGACCAGACTATCATACATGAAACTGTAAACTCTGCTAAATCTATAGAAAATAAAGATTCCTCCATATGTACAGGTTCAGCAACAAAGGACAGTATTTATACTGTGAAAAGTCCTCAAGGTCTAGAACTTAATCTGCCATCAAAAATACTACAAGATGATGATGTTAATAGTCCCATGGCAGATGAGTCATTTGCAGTGAGCCACAAAGATTCACTGGAAGCAAGTCCAGTGTTGGAAGACAACTCTTCTCACAAAACACCTGATTCACTTGAACCGAGTCCATCAAAAGAATCACCATGCCGTGATTCCCTTGAGACTAGCCCAGTGGAGCAGAAGATTAAGTCTAGTGTTTTTATAGGTTCAGCCCTTCACTCTAATCTAAAAGCAGATTTGGCAGCAGAGCTGATTCACCGTTCAAGACTTTTAAGAGATCCAGATGGAAGTAATGAGGATGATAGCATTGAACAAACATCACTTATGGAAAGCTCGGGAAAGAGTCCACTTTCTCCAGACACACCCAGTTCTGAAGAAATAAGCTACGAGGTTACACCCAAATCTCAGGATGCACAGGCATTTTCAATGACTCCAAAGCCAGGCATGATTCCAGAGGTTTCAGAGGAGCAAGAAGATGATTATGAGAATGAGCCAAAGAAAAGATTTACTCCTGAAGAAGAAATGTTTAAAATGGTAACCAAGATTAAAATGTTTGATGAAAAAGTTCTTCCTCTTCAGAAAGTGAACCTGAATTAACACAGCTGAGGAAAGAAGCTGATTCTGGACTCTTGATGGATCCTGTTATCAGGGTCCAGCCTCCATCTCCTCTTCCACCAAGTGTAGAGTCTAATTCAAGCCCTGAAGAAACTACTTTTCAACCAATTACACATGCAAAAGATGCATTTTCTGTAGGAGAGCATCCCACTGTTGGATCTGACATGCAAGCAATGGACTCTGAGGAGCTTAACAGACATGGAAGCACTAACTCTTCAGAAGATGAAATTATTCAGTCTGAAAAGAAAGACAGTATTAATATAACAGCAGCGAAGGGCATAGATGCTGCTGCACCAATGAGCCCTAAAGGCCTAGTAGCTCAAAACCAAGTAGATATTGGCAAAATAGCTGAAGATGTAAAAGAAGAAAGAGCATTAAAAACTGTATCAGACCATACAGTTGAAACAGAACCTGAAATTACTCCAGAACATCATGCCACTCCGTGCCTACAACATACATCATATTATGACAATGCAACATTTGCAACACAAAGTGACTGTTCTTTTGTGACACCAGTAAATATTTACATCAAAGAAGCATATAATACAGGAACTATTTTACTTCACGATGATCATTGTTCAACAGAGTTTTCCCCCAATTCACGAAAAGAGGGCCCTGAGTTTGACAGTAGTGGTTATGTGCCAGAAATTACCAGTCCTTATGAAAATGTCCCAATAGAACGATTTTTTACAAGTGATGACATTCTTCCAGATCTAACAGATGATCAAAGAATTTTACCTTCACCACCCCCACCCCATAAAACTGGATCAAGTATACAAGATGAATGTAACTTGCAGCAGGACAAAGTGACATCAAGGCATTCTTCTTCCGGCACTGATTGTTTTACAGGAGATGATGTGTTACAAAGTACATCAGAGAGACAGAGTGAGAAAATTATTATCACTAAATCTGATACTGAGCCAGACTCATGGAGTGCAATCAGAGAGGATGATGAGGCTTTTGAAGCAAGAGTGAAAGAGGAGGAGCAAAAAATATTTGGATTAATGGTAGACAAACAGTCACAAGGAACAACCCCTGATACCACTCCAGCACGTACACCCACTGAAGATGGTACACCAACCACTGAGCAAAATCCATTTATGTTTCAGGAAGGTAAACTTTTTGAAATGACTCGCAGTGGAGCCATTGATATGACAAAAAGAAATTATGCAGATGAAAGCTTCCACTTTTTCCAGATAGGTCAGCAATGTGCAGAAGGCTTGCCAGAAGAAATTAAAGAGGAGAGTGGTGAAGAAGAATCTCCAATACCCGAGAGTTTATCTGACCCCTTTTCTACTGTAGACACTGATACAATGGAGGCATTGCAAGATACAACAGAGTCACCAGTTGATACGCTGTCAGTTTCTGACTCTGATTTTGATGGGGCAGATGATAAAGGCTCAGAAGCAGCAAAAGTTGAACAGAAATCAAGAATTCCAATTAAAATGGGCATTTCTGCAGCTTCAAAAACATTGAAGAAAGATAGTTCTGAAATAACTGTAGCAGAAATGCAATGCACAGATGTTTCAGAAACACAAGAAATCGTTGATAGTTCATCAGCTTCTTCTTTTTTATCATCTCCAGAGCAATCTGTGGTGGATATGAAAATAAACTTTACTACTTTTCCAAAGTTTGAAACTTGCGAACGTGATGGCTCACCAGATTCTTCACCAGAAGAACAAAAGTCAGTAATTGAAATTGCAAGTGCAGCCAAAGAATGTAGTCCTGCCCATGCATCAAAATCAAAAATTCCTGTAAGGTCTACTTCTTCAGTGTCCGAAGAGCATTCATCACCATCACCTGTTCTTACTGAAGAAAAATTATCTGCAGAAAGCCAAGTTGGTGAAGACCAAAAGCCAAAGTCCAAAATCCCTGTCAAATCAACAATAGCAAAATCTGAGCAATGTTTTACATTTACAGATGTGAAACCTACAGAAACTAACAACAAACTCCCTGTAAAACAAGATTGCAGAAGCAGATCTGAGTCTGATGCCAGTGTATCAGATTCTAAAGTGAGAGCAACTAAAACAAGAAGCTGTACAGAATCCCACTGTGAGTTTACTGAAAAAGCAAGTCAGTTTGTTCAAGGAGAAAGTATTGAAGTAACTAAGCCAAAGTCATATACTTCAAGACTGCCAGTGAAAACAAAGGGTTCACCTCTTTCCCAAACAGGAACAACAAGTGAACAGGATAGCTTCTTTGAGATGTATAAGAACTCTATAGATTTCTTTGAAGAAATTAGCGATGAAGCCTCAAAGTTAGTAGACAGACTCACCCAGGCTGAAAAGGAACAAGAACCAGTATCTGATGATGAGAGTAGTGCCTTTGATATTTCAGTCATTGAGAATACTACAGTGATTGAAACTCAGCCTAGCATCCAAGAAGACATCTTTGATTCAAGACCAATATGGGATGAATCAATTGAAACTCAAATTGAACGCATTCCAGATGATCATAGCCATTATAATGTACAAGGTATTTGCCACAAAATGTGTGATTCCCTCTACTATGCATGTCATAGATTTTTTTTTTATGTGTTCTGTGAAACATTAGTTGTTGTGATTGGTTTTGTTTGTGCATGTTTTGTCTGTTTTTATGTTGACAACGTCATGATTGTTTGTTAAAAGAAAAAAAAAAAAAATCTCAAGATTGAAAATTCATCAGGTTCAATGTGAAGGCCTGCATAGAATGCCCTTTGTTTGTTGTCGCATAATTTCTCACCATATATACTCATGTTTTTCAAAAAAAAAGTTATGGTTTAGGGTTTTTAGGAGAAAAGCTGTAGAGCAAAAAAAAATACTTTGGCCAGGATCACCGAACAAAGCTTCTTTAGCGGTTAAAACAAGCAAATATGTAATATAGTTATGAAATAATTGAGGGCCATCGTCCATTTAAATTTTAAAGCAATATGACCAATCGCAATCACTAAACACCCAGTTAAAGACTATTTAGCCATGTGTTGTGCCTCAGCTAAACTTTAGTTACAGTAAGATTAATGGTTGAATGCAAAGTTTAATATCCAATATACCAACTGTCTGATTTATTAATATGTTCAACAAACCATCCAAATAAATAAATGTAGGATACCTTTATACACCTAATAATCATAGGAACTGCTTTTTTATTAGTTGTTCACAGTTAGTAAAAAGCATGGTAACAATCTCATAATATATCAGTACCCCATCTGATGCATATGCAGGACAAATGTAACTGTATTGCATATAGTATGTATTTCTATCCATGTGGATATATCTAAGACTGACAATAAACCATTAGGTAAAATGGGGTCAATTCACTACCGCATGCAATAACACTGTCGTGTGACTCATTTGCCTAAATTATTGCATGCGGTAGCAACATGTCCAACTCATAGAAAAAAAATAACGATTCTGCGGTATTTAACGTAAAATAAAAAATGTGTCAGTAATATACCACAAAAAAAAAACATGTGGTAAGCTGTTAAGACCAATTCCTAAACACAACAGAAAGTAAAAAAAAAAAAATGCAATATTTATCAGCAGGGTTTTGCTGGCGGTATCACATGCGGTATTTTTTCACATGCAGTGAGGGGGCGCCCCTAACCCCTAATCGTCTGGAATGGATATTAAGGGGAACCCACACCAAAACATTTTTTTAAAATGGCGTGCGGTCCCCCCCAGATCCATACC